CAATTAATGTAAATAACTAATCTTATCTTAATGACTGGTTCTGTAGTAGTATGTAAAGTAAAGATTTACAAATGAATTATGGTATTGAGTTTCAATGTACATCTTCTGATGTTTTGAGATATAACTGAAGTATATATATATATGCACATGCATGTACAGAGGAGGAGACGGAGAAAATTGTATAGAAGAGGATCAAACCTCAGGAGAAGAGAGGAGAGGACTAGTGAGGCTATCGTTTCTGCTTCCTGAGAATCGAAGTGGGAGCAGAGCAGGATCTTGGTACGCACTGACCAAGTTATTATAAAACTCTGGCATTTTTGGATCGTTTCGATCTTCCTTGTCTCTCTTTGTCAACACCTAAAGAACCACAAAACACAGAGAGTTAATATCATTCATACATTTTGTTACGATTTCAACTTGCCTTTCTTTTTGTTTCTCTATGTTTCTATGGGATTTTTTTGTACCTCAGCAGGATAAGAAGTGAATATAGGCATGAAGCGTTTACGACAGAACTCGTTAAATAGAAGAGTGCATACGGGAAGAGGGACAAGCAAGTATGTAGCTAGTTCCATTTTCTTTAACGCGAATAGACCGATTGCAATTGCGTGCATGAGTACAAGAGAGAATATCATAGTATAGTGTATCATTGGCCAAAACAATCCAGCCGTATCAAACTTTGGAGCATACACATTCATAAACTGCATCAAGAAACGCAATTGAGTGCTTAGTTCTAGTGGAAGGAGAAATTTGAAGGACTATTAGATATGTGTAATACATACCTGGTTCCGGTAGATGATGTATGCAAGGCAAAAGTAGAGAAGGATAAAAGGAAGGATCAATGGAGCCAAGAAGAAGTATGTAATCCCAAGAAGCCCGAAAAAGAGAACTCTTGGAGTGTCTCTATGGTATCTCATTGGCGGGACGACAAATTCATTGTCATCTGATGGTTCAAAGGATCTTTTTATGTAACTGACCATGAAGGGAACTACACGGAAGAGTTCAGTCAGAGTATCCGTCCATCCTGTTGTGACAACATAGGCGATGAAAAATGATGCCTGCAAATGATGTAAATCACGTGGTAAAAATAAAGTTTGATTCTTGGCAGTAATCCATTTCAGTTATCAACGAAGAGTCGTAACCATTGTATGTGCTCAGTAAATGGTTGGAGAAGTTTTTTTACCTGAGCTGGAACAGCTACAGCCAACTTGACCGGAATTTCCTTTGGATCGAGAATTACAGAAAGCTTGTAGAAGGCTGACCCGGAGAAAACAGTTGCGAAAAAGACATTCCATATAGTGAACCAGATCACCTTGTTGCAAGCACTCTTTTGTATATCACTGTGGCAAATGTGCCCTTGGATAGAAGAGAGAAACTCCATGATGGGAGGTACGACTTTCAGAGACGTCTGAAGTATAAGACTTGGAAGATACCCAGTTATTATTTGACTTACAACTTTCCTGCAACATATAAAGTATAACGTTTAGCACAAAAGTGTTGTTCAAAGGTAATGGAAATGAAAAATCTTTACTTACATTGATAGAATAAATGTCAAGAACGGAAACATAAATTCTAGTGCAGCCAGGTTGGTGAGACCTTGGACAAGGACTACTGGAACAAGAAACAAGATGGTAAGGAGGAGACATGCAAATACAACAAGAATTTTAGCTAGCCATTTCTGCATAAATGATGCAGAGAAGAAAGGCCAGTGGACGTCATGAGGTTCTGGCGCTGGTTCTGTGAGCCAGTAAGTGGGGTTGATTGATTGTGGCATGTGGAGTGCCGTTGCAGCACCATATCGAGACTTGAATGATACAAAAGCAGCTCGAACTTCCTACATTATGAGAAAAAAACATGCAAAATAATGAGAAGGAATTATCCAGTTTGCAGTATTTGCAAGCATCATTATCTTAATTTCCAAATCGAATAGAAGCCAGACATAATCAGGTTCTAAACCATCTGTGGCATACTTTTCCAGGTGCTGAAACTTCAGCTTGCCCCAATCTTATGTTCTGTTCCAATTCTTGTAACACTCTCTCATAGTGACCCTCAGGAGTGTCCTTGCGACTGAAGAATCTCATTGGCGTCTTCTTAACTGGCTTCTTATGTTTCACTTGTTTATATAACTTTTTGGCCTGATCCTGCAAGAGCCAGAATTGAAAGAGAAGCATAACCAAGAGTGCACGTACAAAAATACACCACTGGAAATCAGTTTATCTATTTCTGGACTTACAACAACACTCCGCAGTTTACTTGTTCGATGGATAACCACATGAGACAGGTAGGTAGATAAATGATTTTCTTCAAAGAACCTATCAACAGTGTCGCTCACACTGCTTCCATCAGAAGAGGGGATATTACGAACTAATATGGTGAACTGATGTGGCTGAGGTTTGGATGAATGGAAATGCTCAATCCTTTTCAAGGCAATATATCTGAATTCCTGTCAAAGAAAGCCAATACTAGTGACAACATATTTGAGTGAGAGCCAAGACTAGTAACAATATTCTAAAGATTTATCACTTGAACTTTGGTGTTCATTTCAGTAATCAGAAAACATGCCCTTACAAAGTAAAGAAGACAGCAGACAAATGCAGTCAGAAGATATATAGCTCCAAAGTGAACCCATAGCCTGTAAGAAACCAAAAAGATCTTTAGTTTTTTCGTATAGTAGAGTACAAATTGCAGGAAACCTAATAACTATTTTGGAGCTATTATTGCTCTAGTCTACTGAGAAAAACTTTACGGAGTACAGAAAGCAGTTTAAATAACAAGATGGAGTTTCTTTAGCTGTAACGAAGTGTCATATAAATCCCACAGTATCATTACTTCATCCAAGCCATAATAATAACAATAATATAAGAGTTTGAGGTTACCATGGTGAGCGAATTTTGAGGTTTGCAACAGAAAATAGATCCAAGGAATTAGCTGACCAGTCAGCATAGTCAATCACTGTAAGTTGATCTCCGAAGCAATTCACAGGCAAGAGAACAAAAACCCCAATGATCCCAGCAAACAAGAACACTTTCAAACTGCAGAATGAGAGAACAATTACCATGCATGATATATATAAATAAAGCAAATGTAAAACCTATAGAATATCTCAAGTCTAAGAACAGTCACAAATACCAGTATAACAGGATAAACTTGCATATAGTGGTTACTTCAAATCATCAAACAAATGAAGGAAAAGAAAATCAGAGACATTGCGGTTATGTGGAGCTGGAATTACCTGAAAGTTATCATTCTCATAAACACAACACCATCCAGGCCAGAGGATTCCATGAGTTCCTTTTCTGATGGCCTCCATGATTTCCAAATCCATTTGATAGAAGGTATATACCTTGCCACTTTGTTACGTCTACGTTTAGACGTCCCAGCTGCAAGCCGACGTGGTAAAAAGACCTCATAGTTGCGCGGCTGCTTCCTCAGTACAGAGTAAAGTATGAAGAACAATACACAGAGGCAGGAGTTTATCCCAACAGACATAAGAAGGGCAGACAAAAGCATCTTTTGGGGAAATTTTCAATACTTGAAACCTCGGTACACACTCAGCTCTAGAACTGCATGAAGAAATCAAATCAGGAGTGCAAAACTACTTCTCCAAAAACAATTTGAGTTACAGAACTAGTGACCAAAAGCTATAAAACTAAGAATCTAAACGACCAAGTTCGAACAAAGATCTCACAGATTGTGTAAATTTCAACACTTTGAATCTTTTGTTCAGTAATCCAATAATTAAACAAACTTAAGAGTGACTACAAGCTCAAATTTAAAGACAATACCCAGATTTCTACATTTTTTCTCCCATTTTTCTAATAAATCAATCGCAGACCAAATCACAAAGGAACTCGACGAGCTTTGTCATCAATGGAACTCAATAAAAAAAAAAAGAATTTACACTGAATTCAAACACAGAGATCAATCCCCACTGATCTTTACACAGAGACGGAGAAGGATCAAACCTGAGAGCCGCTTTGAGACTGCGAAATCTAAAATAGAAAACTCTCAAAAACGCGTTTGAAAAACTTCAAAATTCAGTGATCGGAACAAAACGCACCACTACCCAGAGAAACCCAAAGACAATCTCAATTCGTATATTGAGAGATTGATTGTGAAAGCAGAGAGAGCAGAGATGAGAGAAGAGAACAAAGCTGATTAATTTTTTAATTTTGAAATCGACGGTCAATGACACGAATGTCACGCGTTATAAATGTATTTATCACATTCATTTCAGATTTAGACCTTCCCTCGCTTCCCATTTTGTTTATTGTAATTACCCGAATTGCCCTCACTTATCTTAACGTTTATTTGGAATATGAGAGGGTATTTTATTACATCTTACTAAGGGCAACATTAATGGTAGTATTTAAGGGGTATCTTAGGAGAAAATACCCTTCACAAAGTATCTTGTGCAACATACTTTGTGAAGGGTATGTTCTCCTAAGATACCCTTTAAATACTACCATTAATGTTGGTCTAAGTCAACGCTTTATCAACACTGGTTGAACGAAATATAATTGAGCATGTTATCAAATCTTGTATTATATATGATAGCTTATTATGATGATATAATTAATTATGTGTTTCTACCACATACAACAACCTTAAAGAATTTTAACTCTAATTTTCATATACCAATAGTCGAAATAGTTTGTGTTATAATATCAATTAGAACGCAAAATCATAATTTTAGCCATTGATAATTGTATTCTTCAATAGCTAGAACCTATTTGTGTTCAACTCTTAAGTAGTGATTGTGTTTCTATTCTTGACAAGGGAATTAATTAGGTGACCAAGAAAAGCCAATAAAACATGAGTGCACGGCCGTATATTTTTTCCGTTTGAGCGAAGCTCTAAATAAGGCTTCCACATTCTTCATGTTCGACTAAGTTTAGTTTATCCAGTTTTCCTTTGAAGAAGCATCATCGTGAACTAATAGATGATCAAAAATAATCCAAATTAATTCTGAAACTTGCACTGAAAAAATAAGAAGTTGAAAACTAATTCATAAAGGGAGAGACTAAACTTGGAAAAAAGGGAATAAGGAGATCTTCCCCAAGAGGAGAACAAGACAAGATGTGATATGTAGAGTTTAGGGGCTGAAATATGAGGGGATCTTGGAATTGTTCAAAGAGCATCACCTTGTTACCATTCTTCGAAATTGCCTCAAGGTGGAAGAGCTTAGAATTATCAGGATGCATATAGTAAGTGGGGTTAATCTTGTTCAAGTCAATGGAGAACATCTTGTCCATTTTCAATAATGCTCCTCCAGTGTTGTGGTTTGTGAGCCTCCAAACGTGTTGCATGCCATCTCGAGTTGTCTCCAAAGCCCACACAAGACGACGGTCATCGACTATGCTGCCGAAGTCCATATCAACCACAGATGATGATGATAATGTCTCAATAATAGGATTTGGAATGACTCGAAACATCTCCATGTGAAGATCAAAAGCAATCAATTTCGTCGGGTCTAGGTGGACCCAGTAAAGCCATCCGTTTGCAAAAGTTGGTAAGTTGTTGTTGCTTAAGCGATGATCAGGAAGAGGTGGAGTCACCTGCCTCCATTGCTTGACTCCAAAATCGAAAATCTCGCATGCTAAAGTGGTGTCGTACTTGTTAGTGTTATGTAACCACACTATTTTGTATGTTCCAGTAACGTAGTCTTTTCCAAATCCTGGAAAAGGGAACTCTGAGTCATTTTTCTCTTTCTCTATTTGAATGTTGGCACGAGGAAGCTTGTAAGACCATCTCGTGGCTGGGTTTGTCACTGTAATTTCTCTTGTGGAGGAATAGAAGCATACAAGACCATCAATACTACTGGAAGGTGTCCATATAACGGTTCTAGTAGGTGTCCCTTTATCATCGCTAATATGATAGCCTTCTTCTTCTTCTACTAGACAAGCCGAGGACCACTCCAACCTCATCGTCTTTACAGCAAATTTCCTATAGCTTCTATTACAATACAAACAGACAACTTTGGGTTCTTGAGTTTTCTGATGCAACATGTGTCTTTCCTTAAAATACATGGACGTTATCATAAGTCTCCATTGTTTAGACACGGTTTGGAATCTCAACAGTGATTTCACTGGAAGTCGCAGCATAACTTCTTCTAACACATCGTGGTTAAGTATCTCATCAGTACTCTTCCTTCTTCTTTTGCTTCCTCTTTCAATTATTTTCCTTGACGATGATGCATCCTCTCTTGTCTCGTCACTTCTTCTCCAACGTGTGTCTTTTGTTCTTCTTTCTCTTTGTGACCACAAAGACCAAGATATTTTGTCTTTTTCGTTGCTCTTCCTCTTCCATGATGATGCACCATCATATTCATCTCTTCTCTTCTCCCGTGCCCTCCAGCTTTCGAACTCTCTCTCATTACTTCTTCTCTTCTCCCGAGCCCTCCAGCTTTGGAACTCTCTCTCATCGCTTCTTCTCTTCTCACGAGCCCTCCAGCTTTGGAACTCTCTCTCATCACTTCTTCTCTTCTGACGGGCCCTCCAGCTTTGGAACTCTCTCTCATCGCTTCTTCTCTTCTCACGAGCCCTCCAGCTTTGGAACTCTCTCTCATCACTTCTTCTCTTCTGACGGGCCCTCCAGCTTTGGAACTCTCTCTCATCGCTTCTTCTCTTCTCACGAGCCCTCCAGCTTTGGAACTCTCTCTCATCGCTTCTTCTCTTCTCACGAGCCCTCCAGCTTTGGAACTCTTTCTCATTACTTCTTCTCTTCTCACGGGCCCTCCAGCTTTGAATATCTCTCCGACGTGTGTCTTTAATTCCTTTTTCTTCTCTTTCTGACAACGACGACGACCAAGAGATGTTGTGTTTTCTGTGGCTCATCAACGACGATGTACCAATATCGTAGTATTCATCTCTTCTCTTCTCACGGGCCCTCCAGCTTTGAAACTCTCTCTCATTACTTCTTCTCCGTCCTGTCTCTGAAGACGACGTTATCTTTCCCTTTTCGTGGCTCTTGCTCTCCTCCATCGATGATAACAAGTATTCTCCCATGTGTCTTGATGCGTACTACTTTTTCTTTTCTATCTTTCTAACGACAACGTACCAAGACCAAGTAATATTGCCTTCTTCGTCTCTTCAGTTGTCTTCTCATGATCTCTGCCTCCAATTTATAAATATTGTATATTGGCTTCTCCTACCTACATTCGGACTACCAGTTTTTATCTAATTTCTATAGAATATGAAAGTTTGTTTAAGAACTCAAAATTGCCAAAAGTATAACTCACTTTATTTGGCTTAAGAAAAATATCTCAAATAAAACACTACTCCTAATACTATAAGGAAAACACCCATGCTTAGATAACTTCTAAACACAATTCTTATCTCTTTAGTAACCATAACTCTGCTAGGACTAGATTAACTTCTAACTCAAGTTAACTTCAAGCTTAAACAACAGTTTCATCCAAATCCAAAACCTTTAATGGATCTAAGTGTTTGTTTGCCTTTGATTATTTTCTAACACGTTTTATATACAGATCCAACAAACCTTGTTTCTTTTCTAGCACGTTTCTGTAGTCTCCAAAAAGTATAAAGATACGAAAAGTCACAACTCTAGGAAGAACAGAAACAGCCTTTAGTTGCATTTATATGTTTATATTTATTTTTTTGAAAAAGTACAATGAAAAAACTCATTTTTTGAGTTTATTATATTTATCAAACTAATTTAAGAAATAGAGTATTAGACCTTCCTCAGCTTTATATTTTGTTTGTTGATATTACCCTCCCTTATTATATGTTTATTTGGATTATGTGTGGGTATCTTAGTACATATGACAAAGTCAACAGTTTATCAACACCGTAGGTCCATATTGAAAGAAATAACCGAGCATGCTATCAAATCTTACTATCTTTTAGATTTGTTCTGTATTATATATACCACATACTATGAATTTACGATGATATAAATTATGTGTTTCCACCACATACAACAATAATAATTTACTAAGTTTTAAATACGATTATACGGATAGTCAAATCACCATTAGGCATAAGAGCAAATTTTTATAGTTTTCCCTTTATAAAATAGCTGCACAATATTTAGATCAGAAAACACCCAAAATCTTTCTCTAACCCATGCTCTGATCAGAAAACACCCGAAATCTCAAAACAAAAAAAAACAAGTCTAAAGAGAATGTTTCTTCTAAACAATTTTTTTCCTAGTCAATCATATTTTCTGGTGATGGTACCACTCTTGGATATTTTTTAAATAGGATATAGATGAAGAAGCATTAGTCTGCAAAAAGATTTGAAGAAGAAAAAATAGTCAAAATAATAAAAGTGGAAAAGATTTATGAGACTTTTATAAAATTTCAAAAAATTAACTTGTTCACATGCGGCTAAAAGATATGATTGATAGACTCTGGACTATTCAGTTTTTCGAGATGGCAATAGTTTTTACCGTCTCACATAGTACCTGAAGTTCAATATGTATTGAAAGAGTGTATTAGTAAACCAAGGTACATTGAGTTTACTTTGCACTGAAGCCGTACTTTGGTCGCCAAGACTTTTGTATCGACGTTATCATTAATAACAATGTTCAATCTCATCACTAGTTCTTTTATAAGTAGGCACCTCGTCTCTTTACTTGGAAGATTTATAATTACCCCTAAGATTTAAAATTAATATAAAAGTGAACAAATCATTAGAATGTGTTTTGTTATTATATAATACTAAAACAAATATCTTCTTAATTAATTTTGCTCTTATGCATTAGAATGTGTTTTGTTATTATATAATACTATAAGTGATTAAATAGAATAATTTTTCTTTTATATTTTGAAAATTAAAGATTAAACAAAAACAATGTAGAATATTTTTGGTCAACGGTGGTCAACACCAAATTCCGAGGAACGGTGTTTTATGACACTTATGGTTGATTCTAAAATCTCAACCGATCCAGAATTATTTGGTTCTTTTCAATAAACCGGTTTGGTTAAGCATTATATGGTCCTTGTGTCTCAAAGAAGGACGAAATGTTTTTTTTTTTTTTTGAACAAACATTTTCTTTGTTTTTTAACGACAAAATGTTACCTTAATGGATCTGAGTGGTTTGACCTTGTTTCTTTTTTTTTACACGTTTATTTATTGTTTTGTTCTATTGAATTTGAAATACGAGTTTTAAAAAAAACAAAACATTAATAGGCCGACGAAGCAATCTTGCCCGAAGGTTCCACTTGTATTCCAAAATATGAAATGGCTTGTTTAAATAAAAATAAAATCATCAGAGTGAGTCCAAGAATTGGCTCTGATTGAGATAAGCTAAAACCTCAGACAAACACAGTTTATTTGATTTTAAACCATCAAAGTATCCTAAAGGACCAACAAATCTAAACAACAAACTAAACTTGTCTTGGAAAAAGCAAATAATGCCCACATAAATCAAATTTTCCAAGTCTCACATAACATTGGTAGCAGCCATTGATCTAATTTACAACACCCAAAAGAAGACAAAGACTGTTTTGTTTGGGCTGAGAAAACAGAGAGAACATAAACCTTTTAGATAACCTTCTTCTTCTCGAAAAACGTCTTCAAGTGCAAAAACTGCATCCCTGCCACTCCTATGCATACGAAAAACGAAAGCACACTCAACCATGCCATTTTCGTATGAGTGGACCTGTTCAAGTCTTGCATCTCTTCTTCCCTGAAAAATAAACACCAATTTCCAAGTCATGTATCTATCTCCTTGATTACCAAACGATTGAGAAAGCAAAAGACTAAAGACTTCTCACCTATCTCTAAGATAATACATCTCTTCATGAATCGAGTTAACTGTATCAAGAAGACTCTTTACTTCAAATTCCATAACCTGCCACACAAAAAAATGCATAAGAACACACACACATGGTAGGATCAACATTGTAACCACTAGCTTCAACAATTTCGTTTATCTACGCATATATAATCAGAATCAGCTTCTCATAATCTACTCACTTCTACTTGGCTCTTCTTAGCAACCTTAGCCCAGCTCTTAGATTGAACACCAGTCTTCCACTCAAAATCAATACTCAAGGCCAGCTCAGGCTTATGATCAACAGCAGTGAAGCAAGCCATGTAATCACCTGCTTCCACTGCAGAGAACGCGAATTGCCCCGAATCAACTTGTTCAGCGTGATGGTAATTGTTCCCGGCGTTTGACGTCACCTTTTATCCAAAAAAAAATTCACAACACATAAACAAAAAAAACTCAGATCTATCGAACTCAAACAAATTAGGTCAAAATCAGAAAGAGTACCTTTACTGAGATCTTGTGAGATTGTGGTAAAGCTTGGCCTTCGTGAGGGTTATCGATGCTGTATTTACCAACAGTCATTGAATTGCTTTTGATGTCTTCGGCGATACATTTTGTTCGACCTGAGTGTAGATCGAAGTGAAGCGACTGTGAAATTGGTGACCAAATCGCTAAAATTACAAGGGTCGTCGTCCATAGCTTTTGAGAATTGATAAACATTTTGAAAAATTCACAGAGAATTTTCGAATCTCTCTCTCTTCGTTTTCCTTTTTTCTTCTTCTTCCTCGATTGTATTCGTGGACGAACCTCGATGACGATGTAATGGTTTTTGACACGTGTATATGTCTTATTGGTGAAGACACTTAAAATTGATTCTGAAGTCTGAACAGCTTCGGCATACCAAACCGGTCTATAATTTTTTGGTTCTTCTCGATAGACCGGTTTGATGTAGTATTTTGTGGTCCTTGCGTCTCAAGGTAGGAAGAATGTTAAATTTACTTTTCTTAAGAGTTAAAAAGTAAAGAAAAGGAAATTAAACAACGAATTCTCTACTTAAATTTGGAGTGAGTTTCTAAAATTGAGTTACTTGATCCGTAAGAATTCATCAAAAGCTTGAGAGAATGTCAAAAAAGATTAACGAGAGAATGTCAAAAAAGATTAACGAGCTGCTTCGTTACTGTGAAGAGATCTTTGAGAGAGGAAATCTCGAACTTGCATTACGATGCGCTGTCTCAGTCTCCAAAGCGAATCCTGATGCTCCTCAACCTTACGCACACGTCACAGCTTACAGAATCCTTTTGGCAGCAGCTAATAACCGCACGGTCGCAGGGGAGCCTGACTGGTACGCTGTGTTGGGAATCAACAAACGCGGATCTTCAAAGTCTCTGACGAACTCCATTGAGAGGCGGTGCTCGGAATTAATCGAGGTTTTGGATGGCGAGACTGGGGTCTTCAAGGTGGTTTTGAGGGTTTATGATGTGGTCAGAGTCGGTGTGGCCGAGTTGATGGACGAAGATAGGAGAAGAGCATATGATCTCCGCTCTGGATTTCTAATATCATCAGCTGAATCTATAAGTCTTTTAAGTTAATTTTTCAAGTACAGAGTAGGCTCTGTATTCTATTAGGCCGAAGTTGAACATATTAATTCAGACAATGTAACAAGCTACTTTGATTCATATTTTCTCCTTTGGAATCATTAACAAGTCTTTACACGTTGAATTGAATCGTAGGGAAAAAAACTGTTCCTATTAAGGCTAATATCTGTATTACTTTTAGCAGTGAATCATCAGACATAATCAGAGAGAGAGTGCGTGTATGTGTGAGTGTTACTAACTTATTAGGATGGCTCAGTCGTCTTTGTCAGCGTCGTCATCATCGTAGTAATGGAAAGGATGTGGAACTGACTTGAAGGCTCTGTATTTTCCCACATTATTCAAGTGCTCATTCTCCAACCTGAAAATTTAACTCCACATTACTAATCATTCATTTTATTCATAAGACGTTGGACCTTTTTTATAGACAGAAAAGTGTATTATACCTGAAGAAGCTCCATATTCCTCGACGGACAATCTCTAAACATGAAATAATGCTTGTTACCGCGATTTTGTGAAGGGACTTCAAGTTGAACTCTAGCACTAGTTGCATCCATGCCACTCTTAGAATCACATTCACTACCTGTCAAAATCAAATCTTTTCAACCAGAGTCTTTATCACACGACAATACCTCTGATGTTGCAATGTTTACCACTTACCATGGCTATGAAATAGACACTCTTATGAGGGACAAGCAATTTGTCCCTAAGGTATGGATTCTTGGAGTGTCTGCGGAGGAGTCCCCAGTCTATCACAATGTCCCAGAATGTGTTCATCCCTGTTGCTACACCTGAGCTTACAAGAGCCAAAATCATCCAAGTGCGTCCCTTTTTCAGTTCATACGCTGTTCTTATGATTACTGCAATGATTGTCAGCATATATTTCAAAGCATTGTATCCATGTACGGATTCTTTTTCTTCACATAATCTGCGAATGCACTGCAAGAAAGTGATACATGTAAGTTATAGATTCGGATGTGATAGAATCCCATGAACAAAACTAGAAGAGATTGAATTGTGTGATACCTGAAGAAAACGGAGCCAGTAAGGTATAACAGCAACGACAAAGTAGAAGGCATTGTAAACACCATGACTATGACACTTGTTTTGCCTCTGCAAGTATTCTCCTAAGCCATAGTAGCAAATGAATAGCTCAAAGCTCCTTATGGCTTGTATCTGAACTTACCAAAACATATAACAACAGCTAATTACGTCGAGTCATATATTGTCAACATAAAGATTTAATGCAAGTATAAGAAATAAAACCTGACTGGTTAGGTGGTCTGCCAAGAAAAAATCTGGAAGTGTAACCTGTGACAATGAAGAAATACATGAATATGAGATCTTTTCTGTACTTAGTTTAGCGACTGGTACATATATATATTAAGATCACCTCAAAGAGAGGAGCACAAATACAGTGAATCAGTGCTCGAATGAAGAACAATCGACTTGAGCGGTATATGATGTTGAAAGGACAAATAAGTATGAAAAGAACAATCTGCAACAAAAAGGGTTGCTTAAGCCTGACATATTCCATCTGATACTTAACAGTTGCACACAATGTAAACACTGAAAATTTATCTTACAGCGACCAAACCCAAAGGAATAACTTCAGGGAGTGTCTTATGATCTCTCAGCCTCCAGTCCATATCAAACTGCAAATTTAGCAGGAAACAGACGAAAGCAAGCACCGCAAGCCCGGTGCTTATCAGGAAAACATCTCTGTAACCCAACTCTGTTCCCTGCTTGAAACCAAAGATGAATGTATAGTTGACTCGATAACGTTTCCAGAAGTATATATTCGCCGAATACATGAGCATATGAAGAATGATGAATCCAAATAAGCTGCAGGGTATGCAATGTTTGTCAGTATTAGACAAGAAAGATGTGTTTACTAATTTTATGAGCACATGTTCTAAGTCAGTGACTAGAATAATTGCCTGTAAAGAGGGATAATATTCGCCATGTATTCAGTACCGTAGTCCTTGTCCATGATTTTTCTACTTTCTATCTTGAAAACAACAGCAACAACTAATGCAATTGAGCAACCAGAAAAAAAACCTGTGGGAAAATGAAGAACAATTATTAGTGAACAAGATTGTAACATCTTTGAAATCTGATTCTCCTTCTTTCTCACATTCCCTTACCAGAGAAGAACGTAACCCTGTGCCTATCTCTTTTAACTTTTGGCCTTAGACACTTCATGCCTTCTCTTCGATTACCGCTTGAAAAGTGCTTAACGAAAGTTACCTCTACTCTCTCCAGGAGTCTGTTAACCTAAATCAGGATACAGTGAGCAGACAAACATAATGGAAATCTAATTCTAGTGTCTGCAATACTCCACAAACCTCATCAGAACTCCCAATCAATGAATTATCCACAATTTTCATGTAGTTCCTGGATGCATTCCTCGAAGCAATCTACAAATTAACCAGAAAAAAAAAATGAATACATCGTATGATTCCATTGTTTATGCATCTGTATTGCTCTACAGGACGGTAAAAAATCTGTAATAGAAGAAGCTCTTCATATCTAACCTTCTCATACTTCTTCATGATTTTTGAAAAGGCCAGAAGATTCATGAAACTGATTCAAATCACAAAAACATGGCCAAATCAGTAGCATATATAAAAGAAAAATTACAGGAGAGATTAAACTTTGGCTAAACCTTTTCCTCACCTGTATTCCTTCAGACGACGGAGTTTCTGATAGAACTCACTAAAAACAAGCCTCAACTGTTCTTCTGCTTTTTTCAATCCTTTCTTGGAGATTGGTTCATTAGAATCTCCAAAAACTCCTTTTAATGTAGACATAGGAGAATCAAGCGCATCATTCATCTTCACACGTTCAAGTATTTCACGAAGATCCTGAATTTCACCATTACCGGCTCCCTCTTTATTCCCATCAGTATGAGAAACCGGGACAATATCAGTCGCAATATGTGTGGCCTCTTCTTCTGGAATATTAGTTCTTTCAATACCGTGTACCATATCTTTGTTCGCACTCCCTGCAAATACATCAAGAATTCAATAACCTGAAAGAAAACCATCTGAGCATAAGATGCTACTCATAAACATTCTTATCATATAAGCTTACCCGGTGTTCTCATTGTGCTATCAGATATATCTACAACGACCTTATCAGAGGGATGCTTCTCCAAATTCAAGTTATCTGCATCAGGTTTTTGCACTTTGACCCTTAACGCAATCAATGCATCCATTTGTTTATCAAGCAAAGCCGCTTCCTCGAGCACTTCCTCGAGTTTATCCCTGTAAAACTTGTTAACTTTGTTAAGATTCTCATCGAGCTTGTTGAAGAACGATACTTCGATTTCTCCACCTTCTTCAGACTTCTTTAGAAACTTTGTCTTGTACAATTTACGAGAACCATCTTGCTGCAGGGTGTCAACTTTTATGACTTGGTCCTCAATGTCCCCTGCATGTTCAATGTGCCTAGGATGAAACGACAAACCACTAAAGGAACGATGCAAAGCTTCTGCCTGCCGCGAAACTCTCGAGGCTGCTCTAGTCAGCTTACTGTGCTTATAGCTACGTATTTCTTTCAGAACCCTCTTTAAACCATTGTAGTCCATATAAGCTTCTACCCACTCTGGCACCATTTGCTTCTTAAATATTTTCCCGAACTTCATCTGCACAGGCTCAATTCAACCAAATCAAAACTATCACAAACTTAAAACTCTAATAGTAAGGATCAAACCACACATGCAGCCACAAATTAGCAGAGTCTACGGTTCGTAACGTAGTTAAATTCAGCCCAAAATTAGAATCACAAAATGGAGAAACATAGAACAAGGAAACACATAAGAGTTCAACAATTGGTAAATCTATGATACTAGAGAGAAATCTGAAGCTAATATACAGGTTGAGGATCCATTAGAACTACCAAATGATGGTGATTGATCATACACAGTAGAGATACCTTGATCAGGAAGAAACGTGTGACTACGCTCGATGATACAATCGTATAATTAGAAGCTTCTCTGAAATTTTGATTTAAGCCATTAACGAGCGAGTAGGAAGAAGACGAAGGGACACGTCGGTAATTTGAAACAGTTCGAATCTCTCTTTTACTCTCGGCTCTCGCCGACTGACTCTATCAGTGTTTTGCGTTGGTTTGCCTTTGTATTAGATGGTTACGGCAAGAGATCGTCTGTGGCTGAGATCATGCTTAAGAATTTTGTTCCTCTTCTTCCACAGCCTTGCGACTGCCACAGTGCCACGTGGCGTAGGATGAATGGAAGGCTGTGTTGAGCTGTTGCGGCCGAAACTGATGGAAGGAAGCAAATCATAGATACTCTGGTTGACTATTTTTCGCTTTTGTAGCCCACCAGAGCATGACACGTGTTGCTTCGTAAGCTCAAGTGTGGCAGTGAAACCGCGTAATTTGGCAGTATGGACTTTTGCGCTTAAACCAATCAAATATACAAGTTACTTTACAACTTCATTTAAATCGCAAATCTTTCAAATATACTTCTGCAAAACCTTCTTAATTGGTCGAAAGATGTAGAACAAATCGTACTAGTTCTTGGTTTATTATAACTTCAAAGTAAGTGTACTTATAACTTACATAACCTGCTCAAAAGAAGCAAGCAGTAATTTGATTATGCAGGAGGAATCCAAATGATATGCCAAAACAGAGGAGACTTGGTCTACATCATAATAACTCTTGAGTCTTGAGTGCTCCACTAAGAACCGCATGACTTTTTGGACCCTTTTTTTTTTTGTGGACAATTATAGCAAGGCTTAATCATGTGGTAAAGTACGGATCACTTGTTTCAATTGCTTTGCTCATCAGGTATTGAATGCTCACCGCTGCAGCAGTAGAAATGTGGCAGCTTAACTCTCCCACAACTCCTGAAACACACAACAGTATCATCATGCTCATAACGCTGGTGGTACTAAGAATGGAAAAATGGTGATAACAAGTTGTTTTAAGAAGCAGTCTCAGGTTTTAACAAACTCTTCCATCAAAAATCCATTCGCGTTGATTACTCGACTCAAAAGAAACAAAATGGAAAGAACATATATTTGTTTCTCAGTATCATTAGCTGCTGAAGGTTTTAAAAAAGAAGGGCTTCTTCGACTGCGGAAGCCAGATTGAAAACCATCAAAACATAACAGAGAATGATCTGATACCTGCAACGGATGATCACGGGGGTAGGTTTAAGGGCCTTTGGTCCATTTCTTATCCCTCTCTTGTGTTTAGAAATTTGCATGTTTCACCAAGTCAAAGAGCAACTGTTAACCAAATCATTCTCAGTTAAGATTCTGTCCTGGATAAAATCAATGTTTTTGAGCCTAAACAAAGCAAATCAGATTACATATTCTAACAGATCACAATGATAATGAGCAGAGAAATTGCCAAAAGAAACAGCGAAAGAGACAATGGCCTTTGGTTCTCGACTATTGAAGTCAAAATCTTTTTAACTTATGGTCTCAAAGATCGAATCATTTCAAGAAAGTGTAATGTAACATACAAGAGAGCAAAACTGAACCTCCCTAAAACCCTAGAAAGAAAAAAACTCTAATAACAGAGTAAATCTCCAACGCAGCAACACTTTAAACCCTGAAACACTCAAATTTGCAAATTCGCAGTGTTGAAGAGGGAAAGCTGAAAAAACATATATACTTCTTCTTAGGCACAGCCATTAGCTCCATGGATCCACCAAAAGAGAAACTCGGGAAACCGAATCTGAAATTCTTGCCATCAATGGAAGAATCCGATAGATCCTGATACAACTCCGGTAAAACTAGCGGCGGCGAAGCGGTAGGACGATCGATGGCGCCGTCTAAGGGAGGAGAAATCGCGGAAATGTAACTGAAGTTTCGGGATTCTAACATGCGCCGGGATTCAACCACAGCGCATTTTAGCTACGTAAGTCTCAACGCCATTGGTGTGTAAATACCCCGGAGGCAGTAAGAATGTGTCGACGGCGAGGCCGCGGATGATACTTTGACAGTTTTACACAGTTACAAAAGGGTCTTAAAATCTCACACAAAACATTATTCATTACCAACCAATTACCTTAAACATTTCGTTTTGAAACCAAAAAAAAAGCTTAAACGGTGTCGTTCATCCTAACATCATAACAATCACTTCAAAGGTGACCCAGACCGGCTAGTCAGACTGGTTCAACAGGCTAGAACATTGGTTCCCAAGTTTTATGACTTTATCCAAAAAAGGGGTTATTCAATTAATCAATTTTATAGAATTTGAACGAATCTAATTTTTCTATAAAATTCCGAAACCAACTTAATTTTTATAAAATTCTAGTGTTATTCAATTTGATATTTTATAGAGTCTATTAAGTTTAAGTGTTATTCAACTGATTGATTTTTCAATTTTTTTACATATCTATGCTATTTAATATTATGATGGTTTTGATAATAATGTTATTTGAAATGAATTTAAAAAAAAAAACTAAAGAAAAATCATGTGAAAAATTCATCTATATTACTATAAATTATATTATTTTATATTTCATTCGATCATTCAATATGTCATCGAATATTCGTTCTAAAACATAATCGTTCAACATTATTTATCAGATCGAAATCATAAATAATAGCACGTTAAGGTGAGATTTGGATTGTATTAAATTTGTGCCCCACGACAACACTTGCCGTAGCATATTACATATGCTACAAATAAATTGTAAATGACCATTAATTATCATATTTCATATTTTTAACTATCGTTTTGTTTATGTATCTTTTTTAAATCACAATTGTTTTAATCGTACAAAAAAAACTCATTATTTACTTAAAAGTGTTCCAAACCCAGATGCAAACCAAAACTTGGATGCTACCTCCAAACTTCAAATCAAATCAAACTTGGATAGGAAAATAAAAAGAACTTAGTAAAACATGTTTGGATTCAATATGTATAAGTTTATAACTAAGATAAATAAATGATTTTCCTCCTTGAAAAAAAGATGATAGCCAAAGATCAAGATGACGAATTGATTAATCATATGTCACTCATTTTTAATTGGTTCCTTAACTAAATTTGCCTAAACAAAGATGTCAGAGCTATCGTTTGCGTCATCTCATCCTAATCTTCCTAGCTTGTTAATCATATGTCCTTTTTGTCTCATACCCTATATAGTAAGTAAATTACTTGGTAATGTATTGAATAAATTTCGTGTGCCATTGATAAAGTAATATAATAATATATGTGTAATACACTTGTACAAATAGCTTTTGGGGATAAATTTGTGAAAAATAGCATTTTCTGGTAATCCAAACAAAGTAGTGTCTTGAGCTTTTGCAGTAAATGCATCATTGTTTATCAAATATTAACAATAATATTAGCAAACTATATAACTAAACTCATAAAAACAAAAAAAATACGTAGTCGATCTTGATAATGATCATGAAAGTTCCTTTGCATCTTCTAGTGATATCTCACAAAACCTTTTTCAAGAAACTTGTTATATTCAATCTGAACAGATCTAGAGCGTGTGGGAGTTTTTGACAAGATATAGTAAAGAAAGATATTAAACACCCAATTAGGGAGTAGTAATGACACTATTAGATAAGAAGATGCGTAATTAGTGACAAACGAAGTATTTGTTTAATGAGAGATCCATCGTGGCGCGTGGGTGTATGCCCTCCAGGCCTCCACAATCCTTATCCTTTAATAATGACGACTTTTTATGTGAAAACGATTTACGTCATCAGGAGCCAAAACATTTTGGACCCCAAGCTTTTTATATTGTGCCACGTTTCTTCCAAGATTTTGATACAAAGAAAGAATGGTCTTCACACGAGTTCTTTTGTACTTTTTTGCAATACAAATTCTTAATTACTTCTCCTTTAAGGACTTGTTTTGTTCTTTTGACAAACTGATATTTTTATTAAGCTATAACTATTAATTCCATCTTTTTAAAAGTTACTATGGTATGTATTGTATACTAGAAAATAGTCGTAATTTTAAAACATAACAAAATAGTCTAGTTTTCGAAAAGTTAACTGGCAAAACTAAATCTCACACCTGAAAATTTAAAGTCTAACTCCAAAAAATAAATTATTAATTATAACCCAAAAATGATATATCTTTTGAATATATGAGCCTATTTTCTAAATTAAACCGAGTGAAAAAAAAACCTTAATCGTCTTGTAATTTTCTGTACTTAATCAAATAAATATCATATTAACGGATTAAATGTTGCTAGATGGCACTATGATAGTTTTTGAATACACCATCCATCAATATATAAGGTTTTGAATACACCACCACATTTGAAAATATTATTTACCATTTTTTCCAAATATAAGCCAAATATAAACAGTTTGTAAGAAACCGAGCTTGAAGAAGCTACTGGAATATAAATAAGTATCATATACGCAATATAAAGTTATTGATAGGTATGTTTTAATTTGTCATGTAACGTAAACTAGTGTAGATGATAATGTTGCATATGACTTTCTGAGTTTACATTTTGGATGGGGATAATGGATAGATAGATAGATAGATAGAGGTAGACAAAGATAGGAAGGAAAAGCAATAATAGCGAAACGAAGAACGAATATTTTGAGAAAATAGGACAAGAGTATATACTTCTCTTTGAAATGGAGATTCACCTAAAATACTAAACACTAAAGCCATGCCAATGCATCCAAACAAATCAGTGGTCAAGCACACTCAAAACTCAATTATATAAGTCTACGAAAGACCCTCTTTAATTAAAGATTCCCCACAACCAAAAGCTATTTTCTTCTATACTACCGGATAATTCTGACTTTTAATTCCCCTCACAATAAATGTATAATGAAAGCTTTATGAATAATTATACTTTCATGTCACATGTTTAGAGGTAGAGAATAATAATACTCTTAATTTTGTTAATCTAACCTCGAATTATTATTAACCGTGGCTGTTTGATGACCATTTGACAAAGTATTGAATATTATAAAAAAAACTATAGGATAGGGATAATATTAGACTATTGTAAAGGACAAAATGAATTATTATTTAAATTGTACGAAGTACCAACCAATAAGAAAGAAGTGACGCACAGTATAACGACAAAAAGCTCAAGCATAAAAACCCCAACCTTCTCTGCTATCTAAACATTTCAAGAACATTAAAAAAAAAAATTATAACAACAATCACAAAAGAAACACACAAGACTTAGTTCTTTGTTCCATTAGAGCTTTTCTTGAAAAAAGAATCATGGAAGTAAACTCCAGTACTACTCTTCCTCCAGGGTTCAGATTTCATCCGACCGACGAAGAACTCATCGTTTACTATCTTCGAAACCAGACCATGTCCAAACCATGCCCTGTCTCCATCATCCCAGAAGTTGATATCTACAAGTTTGATCCATGGCAATTACCTGGTTAGTACCGGTTTGATCCATTCTAGCTGCTTATGTAATTATGTATAAAGCTAACTCGCTTATTTGCTTTTTGTTGTGAAATCTATAGAGAAAACAGAGTTTGGTGAAAATGAGTGGTACTTCTTCAGCCCTAGAGAACGAAAGTATCCAAACGGAGTCAGACCAAACCGAGCTGCTGTTTCCGGTTATTGGAAAGCAACTGGTACAGACAAAGCCATTCACAGTGGTTCGAGTAACGTAGGTGTCAAGAAAGCTCTCGTCTTCTACAAAGGAAGACCTCCCAAAGGTATCAAAACCGACTGGATCATGCACGAGTACCGTCTCCATGACTCACGTAAAGCATCAACGAAACGTAACGGTTCCATGAGGGTAAGCAAAAGAACGACACTAAGTTTCTTTTAGCTCATGTTCGTTTTATTACAACTACTTGTTTGTTAAAAATAATGTTTTCATGTTTTTTGCAGTTAGATGAATGGGTACTGTGTAGAATATACAAGAAGAGAGGAGCAGGGAAGGTTTTAGATGAGGGAGAGAGTTTCGTCGACGAAGTACTAAATGATGAGGCAGTAACAGTTGTTGTAGATGACGAAGAAGGAGAGAGAAGAAACGAGGAAGAGATAACGATGATGACGACGACGACGACGTCGACGAAACTTCCAAGAACGTGTTCGTTGGCTCATTTGTTAGAAATGGATTACATGGGACCTATCTCTCACATTTTAACAGATAATTTCACTCAGTTGGATCATCTTCATCAGCTTGACTCAGAGTCTGGTTGGTTCGGTGATCTACAGTTTAACCAAGACGAGATCTTGAATCATCATCGTCAAGCTATGTTTAAGTTTTAGTCATGTGGGTTTAGTTAAAAAGAAAGATGTGCTTGGAATTATTGTTTTTCTTTAGTAGATATTTTGTTAGTTTGGGTACAAGAAAAATTGTAAAATATAACTAAAAAAGACCCTAATGCTATTTTATATTTTTTCCCATTAATTATAAATGTGAAATACCAAATCGTTTAATCAAAATACAAAAGATTCTTGTTTGTTTATGTAGTATAGAAAAAGAAACAAAAGACTTTGGTACTATAAACTGTTTTTTTAAAATAAAATGAGAGACTAAGATTACGTTAACTTGGAATGATAAAGTCGATGACGTGTGGAGGAATCAACGCCAGATACAATGTTTTGGGTACTTATCTTTGTCGTTTTGTTAGATAATGTTACTTCATGCATGTCATCATCGTACTTTAAAACCTCAATTTGATTCAGTCTGCGCAGTCTTAGACATTATGGATAGGAACTTGTCAAAATTAAAGATTAAATTATGGGTCCTTTTGTGCTGGTTGGTTTCAATCTTGACCGGTTTAGGTGTACCAGAAACCAAGAGACCAACACACCAAAGAAGTGAAGTCTTGTTGCAAAAGAAGACAGACATAAAAGAAAAGACTGTTAGGTTTACAAAAAAAAACAAAAAAAAAAGACAGTTAGTTGAGTAGTAGATTGCTCACAAGCTTTGGCTGATCAAGAAACAAACCAGATAGAGATATATAAAACTCCATAAAATGAATTTTTAGAACTTATTTTTCACATTCAAAGAAGAAGAAAAAAAAAATGTCGTTGTGTTTAATTGTAGCTTGCATGGTAACATCATGGATCTTCTTGCACCGATGGGGACAAAGGAACAAGAGTGGTCCAAAGACTTGGCCTTTGGTTGGAGCAGCGATCGAACAGTTGACCAATTTTGATCGAATGCATGATTGGATCGTCGAGTATCTTTATGAATCAAGAACAGTTGTGGTTCCTATGCCATTCACCACTTATACATATATAGCAGATCCCATCAATGTTGAATACGTCCTCAAAACCAATTTCTCCAATTACCCAAAGGTGACAAAAACAAACTCTTGTGTACACCAGTATGATGCATACTTTGTGTTGTAACTTTCATTTATGTTTTGTTGTGATAAGGGGGAGACTTACCATTCATATATGGAAGTTCTGTTGGGAGATGGGATTTTCAATTCAGATGGAGAGCTTTGGAGGAAACAGAGAAAAACCGCAAGTTTCGAATTTGCTTCCAAGAATCTCAGAGATTTCAGTACTGTAGTGTTTAAAGATTATAGTCTCAAACTCTTCAGTATTCTTTCTCAGGCATCTTTCAGAGACCAACAAGTAGATATGCAAGTAAGAATCCATCAATCAGTCAAATCTGTTATTATTATCTTAGTAAACAGAAGATGTTACATTGTATCCTCTTTTTCGTATTTTTTTTGGCTCAAGGAATTGTTGATGAGAATGACTCTAGACTCCATATGTAAAGTGGGATTTGGTGTGGAGATAGGGACATTGGCTCCAGAGTTACCAGAGAACCGCTTTGCTAAGGCTTTCGATACCGCGAATATCATCGTAACACTTCGTTTCATAGATCCTCTTTGGAAGTTGAAAAAGTTCCTTAACATAGGCTCTGAGGCATTGCTTGATAAGAGCATAAAAGTGGTCAATGATTTCACATATTCAGTCATAAGGAGGAGGAAAGCAGAGTTCTTAGAGGCACAGAAACATCCTGCCAACAACAAGGTACGTACAAAAATTATTACAACTCAAAATATGTATATGAACTTGTCACAAAGTAGTAACATTTTTTTCTCAAAATCTTATGCATGTGACCAGATCAAGCATGATATACTCTCGAGGTTTATCGAGATCAGTGACGATCCAGATAGTAAAGAAACTGAGAAAAGCCTAAGAGATATTGTCCTCAACTTTGTAATAGCTGGAAGAGATACAACAGCAACAACTCTCACTTGGGCTATATACATGATAATGATGAATGAACATGTTGCCGAGAAAATTTACTCAGAGCTACAAGAACTCGAAAAAGAAAGAGCAGAAGAGACTAACACACCATTGCATCATAACGAAACAGAGGATTTTGATTCCTTCAACGAGAGGGTAACGCAATTCGCAGGACTATTGAACTATGATTCCTTAGGAAAACTTCACTACTTGCATGCTGTGTTAACAGAAACACTTCGTCTCTACCCTGCAGTTCCACAGGTATGTACAACATAAAACTCCATCAAATTTTTGAATTGAGATATCGAAACAAAAAAAAGAAAAAAAAAGCCTATATTCGATGTTTACTATACTATTCGTAGGATCCAAAAGGAGTATTAGAAGATGATATATTACCAAATGGAACAAAAGTAAAAGCAGGAGGGATGGTTACATACGTTCCTTACTCAATGGGTCGTATGGAATACAATTGGGGATCAGATGCATCATCTTTTAAACCCGAAAGATGGCTTAAAGATGGAACCTTTCAAAATGCTTCCCCATTCAAGTTCACAGCTTTTCAGGTACTTATACAAATCAAACACATACAAGATTCTTTATGGATAAAAACAGAATGAACCTGAAAATATGATTCTTTCTGGTGTGAATGCAGGCTGGACCAAGGATATGTTTGGGAAAGGATTCAGCTTATCTTCAAATGAAGATGGCAATGGCGATTCTTTGCAGATTCTATAAATTCCATTTGGTGCCAAATCATCCTGTCAAGTATAGGATGATGACGATCTTATCCATGGCTCATGGTTTAAAGGTTACTATAACCAGACGTTCATAAGACAGAAAAAAAAAAAAAAAAAGTCTGTAAAAGTTATATTCATCTGAAAATGGTCCAAGAAGAGATATAAATCTCAATTTTATATTAGATCAAATAACACTTAGAGAGGCAACAGTTTCCTTTTAGTAATTTTCTTGCATATCAAGAAATAATAAAATCAAATGATAACCTAATCGCAAGCAGAAGATAGCCAAGAGAAAATTAACAAGTCAATGGGTCCGAATGGTAACAGTTTTCATAGTTACCAATCACAAAATCGATAATAAAACCATAATTTTTGTTTATAGTTTTCAAACTATTTTGGTATGGCGTATCCTGGCTATATAATTAAAGAGAATTTGTACTAATTGATATCACTACTTACTTAGTAAATATATCGACTGGGTCAATCTGGATACAAGTGTTTAAAACCAGAACGCCTAAAGCCAACATGAACACTAAAATCTAAAAGATTCAATTCATGACGGCGAGGAAAGCTACTAATAAAAAAACATGACTAGGCCTATATGGAATCTTTTTGTGTTGGAATATTCGGCCCATTAAGGCCCATATCTCCCCTTTTTTAAAAAAAGAAGAGAGAATATTTTCTGCGTTAAGTTGAGGCATAGTCATCGTCATCGTCGAAAACGTGCATCTCCGGAAATAACATAACAATCCACTAAAATAACCAGATCCGATCTACCGACCCGGTTCCTCGCCGGAGTCTCCACACCGTAACCGGCGATCCTCTTTCTGGTAAACTCTCCTCTACTAAACTCTGTTTTCCGATTATTTTTTTAGTTTTTTTTCTCAATGATTATGTTCGAGTAAAGATGACGAACACGTTGCTTGAAGATATTTCAATGGCGATTTTTAATGTGGTGTAGAGTTTGTATCTTAGATCTCTGTAGGATCGATTTCTCTGTCACAGCGAGGTGTGGACTTTTCTCTTAATCAGTTTGAACCTTTTATGATTTTGTTAGTGAAAACGATGTTTAGTTTTTTTTTTTTTGGTCTGGGTTCTGGACTTGAATTTTCCATAGCTCCTTTTTAGTTCCTTGGATCACAATGTTCAGAATAGTAATTAAAAATGAGAACTTTAAATAAACATATCTTTGTTAAATTCAGTTATGGAAGACGTCAAAGGGAAGGAGATGATTGATGATGCTCCGATTGAAAAAATTGATGACAACAAGGTTTCAGATGAGATTCATAAACAGCCATCATCTGAGTCCGAGGTATTGTTTCTTTTACTGTTGGAATTAGCACTTAGAAGAGCTTAGGGCTCAGGGGACAGAGTTATGATCCCCATCTTTGGTAATTGACCATTGTTTTGGTATTCGATTGTAGGAAAATGCGATCAAGAAAAAGTATGGAGGATTGTTGCCAAAGAAGATTCCATTGATATCCAAGGTTAGCTTAGTTGTACTATTGTTACGAAAATAAACTATTTTTGTGGATACAGTTCTTCACTAGTATCCATTAGAGAAGCTAATTCAGCTGTATTCATGTTCTCATTCAAGGACCATGAACGCGCCTTCTTTGACTCGGCTGATTGGGCGTTAGGCAAGGTAATTCTTGCATACCCAACTTTTCTAACTATTCTTGAATCTTCCTATGTGGTGTGCAACTTATGAAGAGATCTTTAAAGTAACCAAAGAAGAGCCAAGAAAACTAACAACTTGAATTTGACATTTTAAACAGCAAAAAGGACAAAAGCCGAAAGGGCCTTTGGAAGCTCTCCGCCCAAAACTTCAGGTAAAGTGACAACTTTGCCTTTCTTTGTTTCTCCTTTTGTTTCTAGTTTTTTTCCTTGACATTGATATCTGTTCGCATAACAGCCAACACCGCACCAGCAACCAAGAGCGAGACGAATGGCTTATTCTTCAGGCGATACTGAAGGTAACTTATTAGATATAAATTCGTAGGCTTTTTATTCTGGATTCCATTGACATATTCACTCAAGTCATTCTACGTTAAGCTTGCATCTCAGACTCTGAGACTGACAACAACGAATCTCCCGATGAAAAATCCAGCGCATCAGCTGTTGACAATACCAATTTAAAGGACGATGGAGGCAGCGATGGTGACGCAAAAGACAATATCAAATCTTGAACAAACATATAGATCTCTTGAGGAGCAAACAAACTTCATCACAGTCCAATTTACAGAAGAATAAGCGGCCAGGTTTGCTTTGCAACGGTTGTAATATCAAGTCTCTTACCTTATCATACTTGGGATAGCAAATCTGTATCATTGGACGATTGCAAATGGTTTGCTTTAATGATCCATCAAAGCCTTCTTAATGATTCATTACCCAAATCAAGTTATCTACTCATCAGAACAACCATCTTGGCATCTATATAGTTACTGATTTACCTTGATTGTGACATGAGATCCAAGAATACAATAAAGCAAGTCATTGTGAGTTATGGTAAAAGCTTGTAACGTCTTACTAAAAAAACGCTTGAAAATGTCGGAATTGGGAAAGTCAACTCTAACTCTTTCTTAACCAGTAGCGTCAACTTGCCGCCTTGATTTTTGTTTTTATTCTCTCTTTTCACCTACTGGTCCTCTTTTCCTTGTTGTTTCCTTCTTGACTTGACCTTTCCAAAGTAAGTAACTATGTTCCCACCATTAATTAAATTGGAGTTTTCTGAGACCATGTATGATTTAAGACCCTGAACACTCACCTTCCTTGAGGTTGCTACTCCTACGGATACTACTACTCCGTTTCTTCAAAGCTTGTTCTTCACAATGCTTGGTGTTCGAAGGTAAAGAACCAAATCTATTTTTCCCAGATGCATTTAGCAAAGGGTAACTGTTGATCTTATAATTCACAAGCGAATCTCTATATTTGTATGTCATGATATATCTGCTATAATTGTTTCTTTTGAATTGATCGCGTCCTGGAAGTTGAGTTCTTGATCCTTGTGAGTTTTGTATGATTCAAGTTGATAGTGTGTAGAGTATATGATAAAGAGTTTGGTGTGTGGCTGTTATTATGTACATCAGGATGTTCGAGGAGCACATCATCCGCAGAAGCCGGTGGTATATTAGGAGGCTCTACTCGTGGTTTTTTAACTTACTGATGCAGTCTTATTGGGATGAGGTTTGTGCTTATGAGCTAGATTTCATTTGCATCATTCATTTGACTTATTCCTCAGTTCTACAGTTTTGATGTGCTCTGTTTCTCCTTTGGTAAGATTGAGGATTGCAAGGAGAAGGTATTTAATAAGCTGAGTGAAAAAGCTGAAAAAGTGTTGGAGATTGGAATTGGCTCAGGTCCTAATATGAGATACTATGCTGCTCGTAATGCTAACCTAAATCTTTTAGGGTTGGATCCAAATCCCAAAATGAAGAAGTACTCACGCAAATCCGCTGCCAAAGCAGGCTTGAAACCTAAAAACTTTAAATTCAAGCAAGGAGTAAGACTTGGTACCGATCCATTTGCATCCTACATTCCCTTTTTTTCTTCACACAATCCTCTGATGTTTGATCTTGTCTGTCATTAGGTAGGAGAAGCTATACCATTAAAAGATAACTCAGTGGATGCAGTTGTTGCAACACTAGTTCTATGTTCTGTCTCTGATGTCACTCAAACACTCAAAGGTAAATTCTTTTTTGCTACTAAAACCCTCATTGCCAAAGAGTAAGTAACCCTTTTCAGAAGTTCCATGGTAATTTCAGAAATCAAACGGGTACTGAGACCAGGAGGTGTTTTCATTTTCTTGGAACATGTTGCAGCAAAAGGTACATACATGTGTGAGAAAGAGACAACTCTTAATTACCATATTCTACTGCAGAAAAAGAAAAAACCTGAAATTCGTATTCGGCTGTTGTCAGATGGATCGATGTTGAGGCGATTGCAGAAACTGCTGGATCCGTTGCAGCAGAGACTTGCAGATGGATGCCATTTGACAAGAAACACCAGAGAACGCATCTTGGAAGCTGGTTTTAGCGGCGGAGTTAAAATAGAGACTTACTCTATGTGTAGCTTCCCTTGGATAACAAGACCTCATATCTATGGACTAGCTTACAAAACTCGAAACTTTTGAATGTAGCGATTGCTGATGTAACTCAATGAAATGCTAATTTGTGTGAAGACAACAAACAAACCATTACAATAGGCTCATAAAACAGAGAACAGCTGACATATATATATACTTTGGGCCATAAGAGTCATCCGTATAAGCCCAAGCCCATAAGAGATAACATTTGAAAACGTGGCATAATGTAATTAGCGGTAGGTCCATCCGTCCATGTCGCCCAAGAGCCACAATATGTCGATATCTTATCTCTCTCGGTAGGCGCGCCAAAAAAAAATAAAAAATCAGCAATATCTAAATTTCCATTTGGTGGTCCTAGAAATCAAATGTAATCAATTATTTTTGTTGATCTTTTATGAACGTGTTATCAAGTGTACAGGTATTTTACTATATACTAAACCCTACTAACTCTACCACTGATTGATTGATATTATGGGTATATTCTTGATGCCACAGATAATTAATAACAATGGATACATATGTTATGGATAATTATATTATTGTATAGAAGTCATTATCCTCATCTTACAATAGTTTAGATTATTTAATTCATAACATTGTTTTTACGATGAATGAATTAATAACAAGAGAACATTTCTCTAAACTCTATTGTTATTATCTATTATATCAGTGTATTGATAATTGCAATTCAATAATTTAAACAATACAGAAGAATAAGAATGTGTAGCGTAAATTAATACAGCTCACTTATATAAAGGGAGTCCAGCTAGATGTGATTAATTAAGTTTATATGAACAAAACCAAGACTTTATACATAATAAGGTTTTTCTTCTTCATCATTGCATCGTCGTTTTTTTTTTTTTTTTTTAAAGGTTTATCTTCATGAAGGTGTATAATAGATATTAGTCGAGGTTACCAAAAATGATAAAACACAACAAATCATTGTCTTCAAAATATTTAACATGTTCGAAACGAAAATACAAACAAAACAATGCCTACAAAAGTAATAAATAATTAAAACATTAAACCAACAAATAGCTAATTAGATTTTACATTGTATGATTCAAAACACTTCACTGAGTGTCCCAGATGTTATACACATACATCTAACACAGTCTAGAACATTCACATACTTGCGTTTCACGTGGTTTAACTTATTAGTTTATAAGAAATAAATAAAATACATAAACTTATTAATTTATTTTATATTTCTCCGACCATGCACCAAAAAAAAATTGGCAATAGTTTATTATTATATCTGTGGACAAAAATAAAAGTATAAATAATAAGTGTTTTGGTAGTGGTCCATTAACGTGACATTTATGTTACGGGTAATTTTCAATCAGCGATGTCCATGTATTTAACTTGAATTTTTTTATACTGTGTATGATTAGAACAAGACAATACCAAAATAAGATTTCTCAATTATTATTAAATTTTAAAAAGCAGAAATGTATGGTCTATATAATAGTCAAGAAGGTATTGAAACGAGTAAGCAGTAGTAGGGAAGCTATAGCAATGATGATCCTGCACTGCAAACCTTCCTCACCGATCTCTGTTAACATATTAGAATCCTCACCTCCTCAAAGAAGAAGACCAACAACTATTAGATGTTCTGCCAAAATACAGAAGAGTATCCTCAATTCGTCGACAGATCCTGGCTTCTCTAAGTTCAGCTTATGTCCCTGCGGTAGAAAGCATTTCCTAGGAGAACCTACGACCACCACGACTCCGTTTCTTCCCATCTCTCCCTCTCATGCTTCTCAATCTAGCTCATCGGTTTGCTTCTCAACTTCTCTGATACCAACCTCCGATTCAACTAACTACTATATGTTTCCATATATAGAAACATAACAACCATACAGTAACTATACACTTATAGTCCCTCCCTACTTATATATAGATGATCTTGTGAACATATATTTAGAAATCATTTATTTTTTGTTTATATTTAGAACGAAAAATATCATTTAATAACTAATTTAACACAAATCAGCCAATAAGAAAACAGTTTGCAAATTATAAATTGTTATAATCGACGTAGATTAGTGAAAAAATCGTTTATTTTTTTAAAAAAATTTTATAAACCTAAAAAATCATCTATATAAAAATGGAATAAATACTAGATATTAATTAGAATCCTAGGTCGTAAACCAAAAATATAATGACAATTCTACGGTTGTTCTTGACTTGTTATTAATTTCTCGATAAATGATTTAAGCTTTAAAAATTAATATGGAATCGAATCTGATGTAGTGATTTACCAAATCTCTACATATTATTAGGAGGTCTTGAACAAATTGCGTCCTCCAAAGCCAGATTGGTATTTCGAGCTCTATGGATGGTTTAGGAGTTCAGGAATGGAAAGATACGAGAAAGAGGTAAGAGTGCGACTTCATGATGTTTGAATACAATTGTTCATTCCATCTCTTGTGATATGTTATTTATTATGGGTCCTTTATTATGCTACCTTTCCTCTTATGCCAGATTGCGGGTTACAAGAAGAAACTATTTAGTCAGGTGGGAAACGCTGAAAAGGTTTTGGAGATTGGTATCGGAGCTGGTCCTAATATCAAGTACTACAACTCCCTCCCGAACGTCTCTATTCTTGGTGTAGATCCTAACCCTAAAATGGAAAGCTACGCGCGAAAAGCCGCTATTGAAGCAGGATTGAAATCCGAAGACTTCAAGTTCATACACGGGGTAACCGCCTTTTTTATATCCCTTAAAATCAACCATATTTTGCTTTTTGCCTAGTGCTACAACATTTCCTTGTTAAATCTTTTGTGTAGGTCGCTGAATGTATACCATTAGAAGATGCATCAGTTGATGCAGTTGTTACAAGTCTTGTCATGTGTTCTGTCACAGATGTCACTCAAACACTCAATGGTACTTGTTGTATACTTCCTTTTTAAATCAAACATCTTTGTTAAATTTCAAGAACTTCTAAGCTAACAATGAATTTACATTTTTGAATATTACAGAGATAAAGCGGATTCTAAAACCCGGAGGGCGTTACCTCTTTGTAGAACATGTTGCAGCTGAAGGTATATACATATATATCTCTTTTTTAACTTAGGAGTAATGATCAAATTACAAACAATTATGAATGGTTTTGATTTTTTGATTGTGTAGATGGATCATTCTTGAGGATGGTGCAGAATGTGTTGGATCCAGTGCAACAAGTTGTTGCCGATGGATGTCATCTAACAAGACCAACAGGAGAATCACTTTTAAAAGCAGAGTTCCCTGGTGGTGTAGATATCAACAAGGCTTCTCTTACTAGCTTCTTTCACTTAAGCCCTCATATCTACGGAGTTGCGTATAATTAATGATCATTAATTTGCAACGCTCTGTTTCAAGAATAATAAATATAGTCTCGTTTGTGTTTTGAATAAATGAGTCAAACTTGATTAAGTTCAAGTAGACAGACTAAGTTCCAGTTTAATAAGGCTCCAACCGTTTCGTTTGAGTCTTGTTTCCCATGTATAAACCGTTTGCTTTGAAGTAAGATTTGTGTTTTGTTCTCTACGGTTCATTATTACAGACTCTGTTTCTGTAATGAGAAAAGTTTGTAACTTTATTTGCTAATAGTACTACAAAAATAAAATAAAAATTGAAATTTTCGATAGGGACGTTACATTAGAAGATTTGTGGACAGAATCTGAAGCAGAAAAAAACTATAACCTATCTTCATATTACTACTTCACTCTTATGGCGATCTTGTACTTCTCATCTTCTACACCATTCTTCTCGACGATCATCTATTCACCTCGAAGAAAGATTAGGGCTTTACGAGATTCGAGCAAAACCCATAAGAATCTCATCACGACAGATCATGTTTCATCTTTCAGGTCATGTCCCTGTGGAAGAAGGCATTTCCTTGGAGCTGTGCCATTTCTTCCCATCTCTCCTTCTTATGCTTCTGGTTCCTCTGCTTCTACCTCAACGGTTCGTTTCTTTTTCTACATGATTTCAATTTGGGTTCACGGTTTATTCAACTGGAATATCGCAGTTCTTGATTTCTTGATTTAGAATCAAGAAAATTCCCAAACTTTTTTGCACAAAATGGTAGAATCTTTAGGGTTTATCTAGAATTGATTAGGGATACATCGTCTGATGATGTAAAAGCTCTTTATAATCAGGAGGATTTGAGGAGATTGCGTTCACCAAAGCCAGATTGGTATGAGGAGCTCTTTGCTTGGTTTTTGAGTACAGGAATGGAATCATACGAGAAAGAGGTTTTGTTTCTTCTTCATTAGTTAAATTTCTTTATTCTGATCTATTTACATTCCTTTTGTAATATTATTATTGTCTTCTTCTTTTGTCAGATTTCAGATTACAAGATTAAACTCTTTGATAATTTGGTTGGGAAAGCAGAAAAAGTTTTGGAGATTGGGATTGGAACAGGTCCAAATATCAAGTACTACACAGCTATTCCAAACGTTTCTGTTATTGGTGTTGATCCAAACGCTAAGATGGAGAGTTATGCGCGCAAATCAGCCGCAGAAGCAGGGATCAAATCCGAAGACTTCACATTTATTCACGCGGTAATCTAGATCGATCGATCAGATATATAGACTCATTGATCCCTCTTGTGGCATTCCCTTGATGCTACATTACATTTCATGTTTTACCTTAGCTTGGAGAATCTATACCGTTAGAAGATGCATCGGTTGATGCAGTCGTAGGGACTCTCGTGCTTTGTTCTGTCACTGATGTCGCTCGGACACTCAAAGGTAATTGTTTTGTTTCCTTTAAATCCAACATTTTAAGAGAAGAAAGCAATGGTTACAAACAGTTTGAATTGTCCGGTTTGTTAAACAGAGATAAAACGGATACTAAGACCTGGTGGGATTTATCTGTTCATAGAACATGTTGCAGCTGAAGGTTATCTATTTTGACTCAGAAACTTTAAACAGAGTCCATAGTAGAGAGAAATGATAAAACTTATAAAACTTAGTATGTTTGGCTTTTCTTGTTGCTGAGCAGATGGTACATTTCTGAGGTTGGTCCAGAATGTGTTGGATCCATTGCAACAAGTTGTTGCCGACGGATGTCACTTGACAAGGCACACCGGAAAATCCATATTAGAAGCTAAGTTCAATGGCGGTTCAGATGTTAAAAAGGCATCCATTTCTAGCATTGCTTACATAAGCTCTCATGTCTATGGGATTGCTTACAGTTAAATACATTAAAAATAGACAGGAAAATGTCCCTTCGACTAATCCAAGGGTATGATGATAATGACTGTATATTTCAGTGTAATAAATAAATGTTAATGATATAGTAGGATGAGTATAGTATATCATCGAGATTGGTGTCGTTATTGAATAAAACAATCATATCTATTTCAAATGTACAGTAATCTTTAAAGTGAAATTATAAATTATTATTACATAAAAAAATTCTTCTGAGGTCAGGTTTCATCTTACCAAGATGAGATAAAATTATTCCATAGAAAGGTGAAGTCAGTTCTAAAGACTGAGATCTGAGGTTGTATGAACATTGTGGCCATTGTAATGAATCAAGTTCTTTCATCACCTTCCTCACATGTCTCATCACTTACATACTCACCTCGCAGAACAATTAGAGCTTCACGAGATCATCTTCGTGCTGAAAGTCTAAAGAGTCATCACCTTCCTTCAGGCTCCAACTCCACCAGCTTATGTTCATGTGGAAGAAAACATTTTCTTGAAGCAGCTAGCCCAACGATGCCATTTCTTCCCATCTCTTCTCCTAATGCTTCGCGTTCCAAGGTGATTTTAATATCTATAGATCTTTTTCCTAGATGCATTATGTGTATAGACTCAAAAAGATTTTGTGGCTTTTCACGGGTTGTCTCCAAAAGCCAGGTTTTGGTACTGTGAATGAATACTCCAATGTTATATACTTTAGGACGTTACAGAAACATTTCATCCTCAGAGGCCAGATTGGTATAAGGAACTTTTTGCTTGGTTCTTGAGCACAGGAATGCGATCTTATGAAGCAGAGGTCAGTCTTTGTGACTTGAATGCATCATTCTTTGATTCGTTGTCTTGAGATCTCAGTTTTTTTTTATTTTACCTTCTCATAACCGTAGTTCTCCTGTTTTATGTTTGTGTTAACTGGTAAGATCGCCGGTTACAAGAAGAAACTATTCAATCATTTGGCTGGTAAAGCAGAAACAGTGTTGGAGATTGGTGTTGGTACAGGTCCTAATCTGAAGTACTATCCGGGTAATGAAAACATCTGTGTATTTGGTATGGACCCGAATCACAAAATGGAAAAGTACGCTTGTGAATCTGCTAAAGAAGCCGGGATGAAACCTGAAAACTTTAGATTCATGAAAGGAGTGAGTGTCAGACTGTTACTGATCTGTTTAGTTGTGAGATCTCTCCTTTCATAATCCCTTGATATATTCTCTTGTCTGTCTCTAGGTTGGAGAAGCTATACCATTAGATGATGACTCTGTGGATGCAGTGGTTGCAACACTTGTTCTATGCTCTGTCTCAGATGTAACTCAAACACTCAATGGTAAGTCTTTCTTCTTGTATCATAAGTAGAGACTCTACTGAAACATAGTTTCCATGGATTCCTTTTTTTTCCCCTTCAGAGATTAAGCGAGTGCTGAGACCAGGAGGTACTTTCCTATTCATCGAGCATGTTGCTGCTGAAGGTAATTCACATTATGACATCAAACCCTTCTGAAATCTAACCCTAAGAAACAATATGAAAATGCAGAGTTTTGTTTTTGGGGGTGTAGATGGATCATTTTTTAGGCATGTTCAGAATGTTTTGGATCCAATACAGCAAGTAGTTGCAGATGGATGCCATCTGACAAGAAAAACCGACTTACACATTTCGGCTGCCGGTTTTGGTGGTGGCGCAGAGATCAACAATGCAGCAATCTATAGCTTCCCTTGGATTATAAGACCTCATGTCTATGGAGTAGCGTACAAGTAAAGGCTCATGCCTAGTACAAATCTTGACTTCATTTTCCTTTTTTATGCAAATTGATTCTCAATATATTTCAAACATTTTCCCACTCTTTGTTGTGTAAGACAAGTCTTCTATGATAACATCTTTACCAAACTGGTTGGGTTTGTTTGTGAACTAAACCGGGCCTAGTTTCATTGGGCTAAGATTTATGAAACAAATCAAAAGCTTATGCTTGGTCATGGACTCATCACTCATGGGCATGTGTAACGTTTCGTGAAACAACCACAAAGTTATGACTTGTTTTCAAAACATTCTTAATTTTTGTAATGCCAAAATTAAGTAACAGACATATATTTAGTTAGAGACTACACACAACACATTTTTATTTTGTAAGTTGTAAGTTGTCAGTTAATGTCAGATACGGGAAAAAAAACTTGGTCTATGTGGGGTGAACTGGTGTAGCCTGCAGCAACGGAAGTAAGAACAAAAGGTTTAGAAACATGTTGCATGTTTGCATGTTCCCAAAGTTGCACATGATCAGAGAGGTTCACGTCATTTTCATATCGACGTTCTCACCTAGCACCGTTTTATTTTCACACATACCCAACACTCCAATTTTTCTATTGTCTTTTTAAGTTGTCTAAAGGGTTTATAATTTTCTTTTTCATTATAAGAAAACTTAATATTATAATTTCTTTTTAATATATTTTCTGTATATTTACTCTTTTTAAAATCTTGGCTACTTTGGTTGAACATCAACTTTGGATTCAGTTTAGGTTTTTATATCCACCCCTAAATTATCTCATCATTTTTTCCCTTTTATCCTCAACATATTTTTAAAAGAATATGGAAGGTCTATATATGTCGTCGTTAGGAATAGACAAATACATACCTATCTCTCTATTCATACAAAGAGTCGTTTTCCAAAAACCAACTTACACAAAGTCATCTAAAAAACTTTTCTTTTCTCACAATATTGGTTATAATCCCTACCAGAATAACTGATTCATAGTCGTCGACACTCTTAACAACATATTGAAAAATGTATCTCTTTTATTTTAAAATATTTTGTTGATAAGCCTAATTCAATTTACATGAATTACCATCATTGAGCAACATAATATTTCTTATACACACACAAATGCAATTTTACAATCATGTATGTGTATATCACAAAACATTTTGGTGTATTTACGAAGACACTTAACACTTCTTTTTTTTTCTTTTTTTTTGGTGGTAAACGAATAGATAATGGTTTAAACTTTAAACAAGTGACAATTTGGTGAGAATGACTAATTTGTGGCTCGCCTTAGTGAAAAAAAAATACATATTATTTGTGTGGTTCCTTCTGTTCATTCAAAATGTTCCACGATATGTAGGGACCAAAAATTACTTCTTTTCACGTGACATGTTTGGGCTGATGTGCACAAGAAAAAAAGAGTTACATGAAATATATATATGAAGTTATCGAATTTTTAAGAAAGTAATATATATTATCTGAAAATATATACTAGACTTTATTCATGAAAACATTTGTCTGAAGATAGAGGCTAGGGCCGTGTAGGCTGACCATAAGTCTCAGTGGAAAACGATTACTATTTATTAACGGTATCTTATCCAAGATTTTATAAAAGAATCAAAATCAAAATCATTGACATTTTTATCACACAAAGAAATAAAATTGATGGGAAAGCTTTTATTTTGTTTGGTCCCTTCGCTATAGAGAGCCATGTTCGTAGGGTCGTCATGCCATTCTCCATCGACTTAATTCAATTTATGGGAAGGAGAGGAATTTATACAAACAAAGAACAAAGATTTCCTCAGATTTTGTTTCACAAGGAAAAATAAAATATATGTTTTTTTCCTATAAACACGATGGTATATACAATTTAGATTTTTTTTTAAAAAAAAATCCTAGTCATAGAATATAAAAAATGGCGGGTTCAAGAAATACATTTTACAAAAAAAAAAAAAAACTAATTTGTAAGAAAACTTATTATATGTAAAGTATCTAAAATGTGAAATTGTAAACTATTTTGATATATATATATCTCAATAAAGAGAAAGCAAAAGGTAATGATAATAATTAGGGTTTAGGCAATTAAGCACATATGTGTAGCGTCGCTATTGGAGGCGCAACTTGGTTTTAGCTGAGGCATGTGCTATAGCTAACATAAGGCCAACATTTAAAGAGCCCTTTTGAAAAGGAACGTTTTAAAGAAAAGGTTATAAAACCACTCAGAAACATATGTGTAAATCGATATCAAACATAAAAGCCTTATCCTAAAATTTGTCTAATTAAAAAAAAAATCCTTTAAATGGAGAACCAACTTTTGTATTACTACACTTATGAATTATCAAATTGAAACCAGAACGTATAGTTTTTGTTCTCTGTATTCTCAAATATGTTTAGTAATATATTCAATCCACTCGGATCATTTGATAGCACTCTAGAGAGAGGCCATCGTCACAAGTCACTACCACTCATATTAAATAGAAGTTTGACTTGTCAAAAACACATATTCCACATTTAGATACTTTTGTTTTGTCTTGTCAAATATATTTTAGTCAACATAACAACATTATTATTAAACAGTAGAGTCAAATTGAGAAATTTCTTTCACTGATCTAAATTTAGCTTTGTAATGATGATCTCCATGTGGTGATCAAGTGAGTAACTGTAACACATGATACATGTACATGAGATGACCAAAAAAAAAAAAAGATACATGTACATGAATGATATCCACAATGTCACTAAAAAAAAAAACATTAGATTGGATGAACCTTGATATATCGGCAAGAAAATTAAAATATACGTGTGACGGCAGTTTTCTTAATATGCGTTTTCGGCTGTTCGCTATCTCTCATCTTTTATATCCATAATTTTGTTCACACCTTGCATGTTTGGGTCACTCTAAAAGATATAGTATTGGTTTCGAATAATTTTACGTAAACCGGATTGGTAAAAAGACAAAACCAAAACCCGGTGTATAAAAATTGGGCCTTACTTAATAACCTGGAAGTGGGTAACAAAAGTAACCAACCATGTGGAGAACACTTACAATTGTAGGTAACCAACTAAATTTAGTTACCTAGAGGAACTTTAATATTGTGTTACCATCACCTTTTATGTACATAAATTTCTATTAAACCAACTATAATTTAGAAAAAAAATTCTGAATTACTACTATCTTAAATTTCTTATTGTATAAGAAATTAAAATAGAAAAACAGGACATGATTATAAAATGTTGGTAAAATTCAGAAACCTAAAATGACCACTGACGATAGAGCTAGGTGGTATTAGGAAGATGTGGACTATTGTTTTCATCTTGTTTGGCCAAAAACAGAATGTAGCAAACTAATTAACCTAATTTCTCTTTTCATTGTCATAAATATGTTAGCATGCTAGCTAGTGGTATAGTCATATATATAGAATTATGTGAAAGTTGGTTCATTATCTATCAGTTTGGCGACGAGCTCATGTCTTAATTCATATTTAAGTTTATAGATTGAAAAAACGATGTTTGGGAAGATAGACCAAGTTCAAGAATATTCGAATTTTGTTTTTATGGCGGATTCACAAGCATATATAGTATATAGACCATCTTTCTCCAAACATAAATTAATTACAAGTTTGGTATCAAATAAATAAATAAGTAATATCAATCAAAAGAGTCGTAAGCATGTACATGATTATGACTTAAGCACATGAAGCCGACTTTAAGATTTTGATACATCTCACATGGTCATTACAATGGTGGTAACGTCACCCACGTTGTTTCCAAAAGTAAATTTGGTTTATCTTTCGCTAATTAAAAGTCATACTACAATTTAGGCAGATAAACTGGTATTTTAAGAATGTGATGAGATATCCATAAAACTATTTATTAGACTTGATAAAGAAAAATATTTCTATAGTTGAATAAATTGGTTGGTTATACTCACTTATACATCGAGTTTAACGTGTGGCCTTGTTGTGTGTTGTTATACATGATAGTTCAATCTTCAATTATCTTTATACATTAAGAAACTTGTATTATACATACACATATATATGCTTCAGAGTTCAGTCCATATACGTACTAAGAGTTTGAGTATATTAATGGATTACGTAGCTCATTACAATCCACGTAAAAGGTGACGGAACCGTCATTGCATGATTGCAATGTGATGTTTTTTTCTCCTTTCCGGATTATTCGTTGTAACGTCTTTGTTTCTAATCAAAATTTGTCTTGATTATATATAATTAGGATGCGTAACTTGCGTAATAAGCTTTGCTTTATTTTCTTTTGATTACTTTATCAGATATCATTTTATTTTCCCAAACAGAAAATTCGTTTTAGTAAAAAGGCTATGCCGCATTAGTATATATACAAGTTTCTTGCGACTGAGACGTATCCCCATTAATAAAATATAAATCGTTTATTTAAAAGAAAAATTAGTATAAAAGGCCAAAAAAAGAAGAAGCAAGTGTCTCGTCAGAGAATCCTTAGCAGCAACAGTCGAAAGAGACCTGGTCGACGAGAAGAATAATTACTTCAGGCTGAGGCAACCATGTTTGTAACTTTTCTTACGATCCTTAATTCTCTCGAATTTTTTTCTAGTGCTTTCCTAACTTTTAAATTTTACAGAGTTCCTACGCAATTTAAATATCACTGTTCATTAATAAATTACTGTAATCACTTTCTACAAATTATGAACTCAATCATTTATCCATCAATATAACTTTAGTTAGTAAACCTTACCGAACAAGTAAAAGTTGAATCGTCCAGCTGAGATAAAATATTTCGGAATAATAACATTGGACCGTGAAAATGGAATCTTAGGAAAACCTCGAGTCCTCGAGATGACTAAAGAAAACATAAAAGAGGTTCTCTTCTCCAGACACAAGGTTGGTTAAAGGTCGTTAAAACCGGCTTCGGGCAGCTCTGATATTGTTTACTTTTAGATATTTGCTCGTTACCTATTTTGCCCTTGTTCCTACCATCACGCTAATGGTTATAAAAACAAATACTATTAATACTATTAGACAAACATGCGTGAAGAGTGGTTGTCTGGTTTACATCAGAGTTATACACCAGACTCCTAGTCCTACGAAAATATACTAGAAAATTAGAAACATATAAATTAATTATCATATTTGTGAAAGAATTTAAGTTCCTATATATTCAGTTTAATTATTTTTTTTATTTATATGTATACTTAATTTGTATATTAAGCACATAAAGACATACACACATGCACGTACATATATTGACAATTGCTCTTTATGATTGTTGTCGTCATAACCGTTTATTTTTGTTGCGATAATTCAGGGACATACTTATTTTTTCAAGCCTCTATAATTGTATTTTATTTTTTCGCAAGCTCAAGCAAATCTCAACTCGATAATTTGATGGAAACATCCAATTTTTTTTTAAAATATGCATAATAATCCAATACTTTCGTCACGTTGATGATTTTAGCTTAAAATAACCACATGTTGAATAGATTATATATACAGAATTTTGTTTGTTATAGAAATTATATAATATGGTTTTTATGAATTACTTTAACACGTACTGCATGTTTTACATATATAGATAGAAGGGCGACGAAGATGAAGAAGTAAATGATTAGTTGGTGTTTCTCTAATCATTTGTAGAATAAATCATTATCAAATCAACATTAACATATAAAACAATGTAAAGAAGATGGAATCGGAATTAATTTAACTTTTTACCAAAAAAAGAAGATGTAATCGTGTCAATACATGCTTACAACGTTAGCTTGAAACGGCGTCTGTCATCCACATGCGGGTCTATCTCTCTGTGTTACTTCTTTCATTTTATTTATCTTTTACTTCATCAATGTATACCATTTATATTATTTTGTTTTTATTACAAAAACAAAAACAAAAAATCGATATATTACCAATTATTAAAAAATGATTATCTTTAGACATTGGAGAACTAGCACACGGGACCGTCCATGATACTTTGTGGACCATGTTTTGAGCTGAAATTGCGGAAACTTGGCCGTCGATTTCTGCCGTTGAACTTCTTCACCTTGTTATAAGTTTAACGCCAAACTAAAAAAATGTGACTAAAGAGTAAACAAAACTATAATGTAACTAAACCAGTAAACCCTAATAAATACTTCTGCAGAAACACTTATGAATACATATAAGGGCATCATTATTGGTGGGATCTTAAGAGGCTAAGATCCTCCGGTTTTTGTAAAGGAAAAATTTTATCGGGAATTCTTATCTTCTTAAGATCCTGCCGATAATGATGGTTTAAGAATTTGCTTTGTCATCGCGTAATTCAATTTTATGTGTACTTCAGCGACATTTTTTCACGTAAACCAGACACGACTCCCATTGACGTACATATATAGTTTTTGTTGATGATCTTCAAATTAATAATAAGATGGTTACGCTTCGGAAAACATTAGACTGAAGAGATAAAAACGAACGACAAAGCTATACGTGTCGTAGTACATCGATCTCAAAGCAGACCAATGTGACCCACTTGGATCTCAACTTGAATTTTCTTTGTCTTTATGATTATTTTTTCAATGCTCTTTTTTTTTTTTTTTGATTATTCAATTTCACACTCGGTCAGTAATTATAAACTTTCTCCAGCCTCCATGTATAGTCCATATTGACTTTAATCCATTACCATGACTCTATTTACATCTACCATAGTCCATAGTCCATACCAAACACAAGTTTTGTAGACAACCTACTTTTTTTTTACAACTTTCCTTAGTTGTTTCTTGATAGACTAAATATATTTTCCCAAGGGAAAAAAATTGGTGTTTATGTGTGTTCGAAGGCGCCTGAGAAAAAATAGAAACCACACGACCCGTCTTGTAGCTCACATGTGTCTTTGCCTCTTTGCTTTTTCATGCCATTTAATATTAAACCTTCAGCGGTTTTTTGGTCCCCAACAATAAAAATTATATATCTTTTTATTTATAAACTATATATGATATAGTTCATTGATATGACATTTAATAACCCCAATATTTTTTTATAATATATAGTATAAAAAACCCTAAAATATTAATATTACATTGTTTGTCAATTACCATTTGAAGTCTTCCATTTTTCTGCTATTTACAAAACTGCAATCCGAGTTCTAGAAAAAAAAAATTAATTAAAAAGCTAAACTAATTTGCTTTGACAGTGGCAAAAACGTAATTCACCACTTTTAAGTTTTTTTCTATAAATTGAACTACTCGTCTCCTTTGCATTTTCCAATTCTAAACCAAACAACAGATTCTCATAAACACCTCTTCTTCTTTCCTCTTTAAGAAAGGAAGAAAGATCAAAACCTTCCAAAGTAATCATTTCCTCTCTCTCTCTTTCTCTCACAACACATTCACTAGTTTTAGCTTCACAGAATCTAACTACATTTAACTATGTGCAGGTTTACACAAAAAGAGAGAACAATGGCTCTTTTCGCCTTCTTGTTTATGGCTATCCTCGGAGTAATGACGTCATGTGTCAATGGCTACGCCGGAGGAGGTTGGGTCAACGCACACGCCACATTCTACGGCGGTGGTGATGCTTCTGGCACAATGGGTATGTTACCTAGAAACCTTCTAGTCAGTCATTATTAAGCTTTCAAAATTTTGCATTAGTCACAATTCTCAAAATCTCTGAAAATTTTGGTTTTTCAGGAGGTGCTTGTGGGTACGGGAACCTTTATAGCCAAGGGTATGGAACTAACACCGCAGCGCTAAGCACGGCTTTGTTCAACAACGGTTTGAGCTGTGGTGCTTGCTTCGAGCTAAGATGCCAAAACGATGGGAAATGGTGTCTCCCTGGCTCAATCGTTGTCACAGCCACAAACTTTTGCCCGCCTAACAACGCTTTACCGAACAACGCGGGAGGTTGGTGTAACCCTCCTCAGCAGCATTTTGATCTCTCTCAGCCCGTATTTCAACGCATCGCTCAATACAGAGCTGGCATTGTCCCCGTCGCTTACCGAAGGTACAATCTTTCTTCAAAGTCTCCTACTTTTACACTAAAAAGAACAAGAAACAGAGCTACTCTGTTTTTACTCCAAAACAGAGTATGCGACTGAATTATAAAAACAAGAAACAGAGCTGCTCTGTTTTTTCTCCCAAATCTTACTCTGTTTTGCATTATGTTGTGGTTTGTTTTAACAGAGTGCCATGCGTGAGAAGGGGAGGAATAAGGTTTACGATAAACGGACACTCATACTTCAACCTGGTTCTGATTACTAACGTCGGAGGGGCCGGAGATGTCCACTCTGTGATGGTCAAAGGATCAAGAACAGGGTGGCAATCCATGTCAAGAAACTGGGGACAAAACTGGCAGAGCAACTCTTACCTAAACGGACAAGCTCTGTCTTTCAAAGTCACAACAAGCGACGGTCAAACCATCATCTCCAACAACGCCGCTCCCGCAGGCTGGTCCTTTGGCCAGACCTTTACAGGAGCGCAGTTACGTTAGGAAGGGGTGATATCGTCAAAGAAACATCATCTTTACTGATCGTGTGGTTCGTCTATGTTTAGTAGAAGCAAAGTAGCGAGAGAGGAGCATAATAGTAATTTGGTCCTTTCTTACAGTTGGGGTCACCTGAACAAAAAGAGAAGTGGTGCTTCTGTGAGTGCTTGATTTTGCACGAGGCCCTTGATGACGTCTTCTTTGTTTTGGGGACCTTTTCTTTATCTTTTTTTTTTATATATATTTTGATTGGTGAGGTTTTTTTATGTTATACTGATGCAGAGGTGGATTAAGTTACCACCCGCTAGTAATAGTAATTGTAGTAGTCTCTCTTCTTGTTATTTGTAATCCCTTCTCGAAACGAGAGGGATGGTGTTTTTAGATTGTATTAGTCTCGTTCAAAGTCATGTATGTTGTAAATTTTTCGATTTTTACAATGGATATTGAAGATTTGTTATACTTTTTTTTGTGTGTTATAAATTATCATCATCTAGAGTAAAAGAAAAAACACAAGAACAATTGTCAAAAACTAAACTAACCGAAACAAGATCAATTGTCACCATCTAAAGTAGTTGTGTTTACTTGTATTGCATGTGAAGAGATTTGGTAAGTCGATGATCTTAGCTCTATATGGTACTATGGTGAATTATACATAGAAATGTTTTCGTGAAAGATTTATATTCGTCTCACAGTGGCACATGTGTAAAAAGACTTAGTTGTAACCGCTTGCTCACTCTTTTCCAAACGTAATAGATTCGTTTTGAAGTTATAACTATAAAGACATATATAAATGCATATTTTTATTATAATAGTCCGTAATACTAGCAATTGTATCTGTCACCTATTTGTATGAAAAAATATTTAACTGTCGGCTGTATCTATATGAACATAAGCGTAACACATAACACTAAAAATGAAAGTATTCATTAGAAAAAATCACTTTACAGAAAAAACAAAAACATGTCACTTCACAAGAATACTTTTTTCTACATCAAAGTATATACTTACACTCAAAAATGTTCCATACAAAATAAATAGCTAAACAATTTTGAAGAAATTTTACTTTTTCTTGAGTTAACATCATAATATAGAGTCATAATCAAAAAGATTTAAACCATTAGATTTTTTTTCCCTTAATATATCTCTTTGATTACTTTGCTTATATAGTTATATATGTCAGAGATTACATATGAGAGAATCCATGAAAAAATCAGCACATATAATATAGTTTCTAGACAGGTTCTTTTAGCATATCTATTAGATTGTCCATACGTATAGTTTTGTAGACAAAGAAAATTCAGCATTTTGCGGAGAAATAAAATTTCCCAACTGAGTGAATGAATAGAAATCAGCCATAATAAAAAAAAAATATTTACAATTTTTAAAATCTTTACATAAAAATCTTTAAAATCAGCCAAAAAAAAAAAAAACTTTTCAGTATATTTATTAAATAATAATAAATTAAATATACTGCAAATAGCATATTGCTGACCCCAAATAAAAATAAAAACAGAAGAACAAAAAAGAAGAAGAATGACGTGCACGTAGTAACACACAGTCACGAGTGATACAGAATAAACCGAAGCCATGTGCTCTTCTGACAATCCTATTTTGTTCTTTAACTACCCAACCCACATGAGTCCCTTCTATTCTCTGTGTCCCCATCACTCGCATTTGCTAACCAACATACATATTTTATCAATCTTCTATTTTTCTCTAATAGCCCTTCTTCAGGCCCATTAGCCCATTCTCATTTTGTGGTGTTTGGATGATTATGGTTTAGAGTTTAACATTTACTTTTGAAATCATGATATGTGTGTTAACACAGAAATTCAGAGTTTTAGATGGATACATATATTGTTTGTTTGTTGTGTTTCAGTTCATGTTTTAATGTATTGAGTCTAGCTTTGAAATTTCTCATCATCATCATCATATCAATATATCATAGCATACTTATTCTGCAATCATGATTTTAGACTCGAGCATACACAATCGTTTAATTACAGAGTAGTGGAGAAAGAGTACTTGAACTTGTGATATGTTACAGAGTTAATTACAGAGTTAATGATCTTTATATATATCTCTTCATGATGCTTTAAGTTTATTTCTCATATATAGCACCAAATCTCAAGGCCGGGCATGAAAAACAGAAGAAACACAAAACTCTGCTTACGCTCTTTTTTGGAGATGTCGTGAGTTACAAGTAACTTAAAATGGTATCATATGTATTCTATATAGTATGTGTCCCTGTAACTTATCAATCTTAGCTTCCTCCGCATTTGTGTATTGTGACTGCTCAGTACAAGACAAGGCGCGTTTTCGGATCAATTCCTCTTTGAGTTTTTTTTTCTTTCCAGGAACTACTTCTCTAACTTTGGCTGCTGCAACAAATTCAATTTGTTCAGAAACAGTCTGCAAAACAAGACCTGCAAAAAAAACAGAGGCTTTGAAGCAAATGAATGATGAGCAAACCGTTATTTACCCGAAAATATAGAGGATCATCAAAGACAGCAACATAAGGTAATGTATCAGAAGAAGCCCAGTTATTGTTTCCTCCGAGCTGAGGCTTATAAGAAGCTTCCAAGATTTGGCTAACGTAGTAATCCGCAGGACTTCCTAATAGATTCCACTCAGCTAGTTGCTGAAGCTTTTGGTCATTTAGGAAACTGAGATTGCTGAATTCTACGTTTGGATCAGCCGATATCCCGGGAATGCTGCTGGGTTCTAGTTTTGGAGCTGAGATATAATCTGAGCTTTTACTAAAGATTCCTGTGTAATTTCCAAGAGATGAACTTGCAGAACACGTTACGTCCCTGTACATCTGATGAAGCTTCAGATTAGGGTCTTCTTCTTTTAAAGGAACATTCATGTTTCCATCCGTACGAACCCATGAGAAATTCTCAAGCTGTTGCTCCATCTCCATTCCAAAATCTATATCTATTTCAGTCTGCAACTTCATACAAACATTGCTCTGGCTTATTTTATAAACATCACCAAACATCATCTTTAATGTCCAAAATCATGATTCTTTACCTCGTTTTTGCATTCCGAGGACATAAGTTGTCGCCGCTGAAGTTGAGGCATGCTCGCCTATAAGTCGTAATAAGATGCATAAGTTTTGTAAAAGGAGACTTTTAACTCATCATTATTCAGGAGATAGATTATACCTTACGAGCACTGATTTGAGCCAGAGATAGTCTAAGTGAATGCTCTAGTTGCTGCAAATCATCTAAATTGTCGATATTCTCTAGATCGTTCCAGCAGCTATCTCGAAAAACCATGTAACTCACAAATTAGAATAGAAAAACCAAAAGGAACATTTAGCTGACAGTATATAGAAGATCTTGGCACCTTAGTCGTGTGCGTATATCTGATAACTGTGTTTGCAGAAACCTGAATTTTTCGCTTAGCACCTGATAGTAACCGCGAATTAGGAGATACCTCAGCATCATAATTATTAATTAACATCATACTAGTAGTGTTACATACCTCAACTGCTGGTGTACTGTAAAGATAACAAAAACGAGTCATATTAGTAATAATACACAACAACACTAAAACAAGAACAGGCAGGGAAAGAGTTCACAAATAATCTCATATTCTTGATTATATACACACCTTCTATCTAGAAACCCCGATATATCTACAACGTGGTCAATTTTCACGAACATTTTCCTCAATGCCTGAGATATTTATGTAAGAAAAAAAAAAGTATTAATGATAGTTTAAGACATGAGAAGAAAAGAGACTAAAACAGAGCCAAGAACCACTATTTACTTCAAGACTGTCCAACTTCCTGTTCAAATGTAGACAAAATCAAAGAGGTAAGTTAAAGTGTAACTTCAACGCATAAAAATTCTAGAATCTAGAAATGTGAGGTGTGAAGGGAAGTTAACCTCTTTGTCCTTTCTTGAGGAATGACCTGAGCAAACTTAGCAATAACTTCTCCAATGCTAAACAAAACACGAAAACAGAACATCAAACCAAGAACGAGGTGAAACAGACTTATGGTACTAAGAAAAGTGTGATCGTACCTGTGTTTGCCTATGCAAAGTGAAGCCTTTCCCGTGGGAGAGAACATGAGAAGCACAACATCTATGTCGCATAAGATCGATAACTCTTTAGCTTTTTTCATAATCCCATGTTTCCTTTTTGCATACGTAGATTGACGTGCATTCATGCTCTGTAGTTTCTTTATCTTTAGCTTCACTCTACCCATCCTGCATAACTTTAGACCAATCAATCTATCTTACCACTGATTCACGATGCAAATTAAAGAACAACCATGTTGATAGCAAACTAACATCAAATACCATCTTCAAAAGATTCTTACTTTCATCAATGAATTGGATGTATACCAATTTTAGAAAAACCTAAAAGACAACATAATGAAATTGGAAATCAGAAGAATAGCCTGAAATAGTGAGAAGATATGAACTCACCTAATTTGAGATATAAAACGAAACTTTCCTTGAACTCGGATGCTGAAACCTAAAAAGGAATACAAAACTTTCCTTTACGAGGAAGAAAGAAACAGAGAGAGAATAGGGCAAAAACAGAGCTTAGAGGTGAAGAAAGATTAATCGTGAAGGAGAGAGAGAGATGAAATAGGTATTGATTGGGAGACCAATAAAATCGGAAATTAGGGTTTGAAGGTAAGCTAGAGACTAGGGAAACTTAAAGGATCGTATCGTTATTCTTCTTCTCTTAATTACTTCACAGAACAGAAACAACGACTTACCCGCTTTTTATTATTGGACCACTCATTTGTGCTAACCACCAAAGTAATCAGTTACCAGTAGCTACTAACCGACTGTTACGTGTCAATCTCATAGGGTTTTAAATCTTAGGAATGTGGCACTTAGCTCAGAGATGAGGCTGTGCCGTAACGGTGAAGCAAGCCATCTTGCGGTCGTAGAATCGAACAGTCTACACGTGTTGATTAGTTTTAGACAAATCCTTGTTTCTTTGTTACATTTTTTCACATGTGTTTTTTCTTGAACCATCTATGTTTTTTTGTATATACATGCTTATTAATATGTTTTGGTGATTTCAGATATTTGGTAAGGGATTTTTTTTTTTCAAAAGAACACAAATTGGTTCATAGTTTATAAAAGTATTACTAGATATCAGATTCGGTTTTTTCTTTTTCTTTTACTCTTCTTCCAATAATATCAAAGGAGAAGGTTTACAAAGAAAACAAATTCTTTCAAAAGAACACAAATTGGTTCATAGTTTATAAAAGTATTTCTTTATTTTTTGTATAAACAAATTTTGGTCTTAACCAAATCAAGGTAAAGACTTACTATTTCTTCATCTGTTTTAGTCAAAAACATTTTCTGTGTTTATTGTTTACAGAGAGGAGAGAAACACAGAAAATAAGAGAAAGAAAGCAAACCTGCAACTATCATGAGAAGAAGTTCAAAACCTAGTAATGATACGAAAGTTAACTAATAAATCTATATGTTGTCCTGTTGTATGTGTTATAAATTTGAAACAGTGAAAGAAAAAAAAAGAAAAAGTAAGAAGTAGAAAACTGTCTACAAAAATATATACTGTATATGAAAATAGATAGTAAAATCACGTCATTCTATAGAACGTTCAACATAAGTGTCCTCTTCCAAGAGTGGGCGTATCCCGCATTCACGTATCTTCCATCTGTCATTGTCGACTTCAAACTTAAATAAAATCTCCATGCATTCCACACTTCTAAAGTCATATCTGAATTGGTGATCCACATTTCTTACTTCAACTTCGAATGTGTACAGATGCTCCGTTAAAAGTGGACTTAGATGTTGGCCAACTAAGTGATACCCGGAGCCTCTTTGTATGTCTACGATATTAACCCTTATCGGCAACACTTCCTTGTAATCAGATTTATCACCCTTATTAATCAGTAAGAGGCAAGCCTTAAATCTCAAATGTATAGGAATACGCCTTGGATTAAACTTCACGACCAGAGAACTTCCAGTAGTAGCTCGGTAAGTGAAGAACGCAGGCATTTCTCTACATGGAAAGATTGCGAATTGACTTGTCGATGTCTGGATAATAATATCTCTCCCATTTTCCTTCAGTTTCCAGCAGTCAATAAATCTTAGACAAACTTCGGGATTGGGAAAGGAGCAAGTAAGTGTCTCCAAAGACTCACAGTTTTCCGCATCTAAAATTGATAGAGAACATGGAAGCTGCGGGAGTGATACGAGCTTCATGCATTTTTTTAGTACAAGTCGACGTAAATGAGACATTCCATTGATCCATGCAGGAACATCTTCTATATCTGCATCCTTTAACTCCAGCTCCGTGATGATCTCAAGAGCATGTGGGAATTCTTCAAGTTCTTTCCAGAATGTTAGATGCAAGTCATGAAGTCTAGACCATGACGTGATCGACAAGGGAACTTCTTTTATCATAGTTCCACAGAGCATAAGTCGTTCGATGTTTGTAGAAATCTCGGGAAAACATGTAAATTGCGAGCAACCCGTAACATCAAGTTCTTCTAGAGAATCCAAGATGATGTTGATTGGAAGAACCTCTACCTTTGAGCATCCTCGTAAACTCAACTTCTTCAACATACGGAGGTTTCCAATAAAACATGGTATCTCTACTAAGCAATCACTGAGTTCCAATTCTTGGAGACTGGTGATATTTCCAATAGAGGAGGGAAGCTCCACTAAGCTTGAACTTCCACTGAGATACAAATTCTGGAGATTAACGATATTACCAATAGATGAGGGAAGATCCACTAGGCTTGAGCATCCACGGAGATCCAGTTTCTCAAGATTAACAATATCTCCAATAGACGAGGGAAGCTCTACTAGGCTTGAGCATTCACTTAGAATCAATTTCCGGAGATTAACAATATTTCCAATAGAGGAGGGAAGCTCTAGTAGGCTTGAGCATTTACGGAGATTCAATTTCCGAAGATTAATGATATTTCCAATAGATGAAGGAAGCTGTACTATGCTAAAGCATTCACCAAGATCCAATGTCTGGAGATTGACCATATTTCCAATAGAGGAGGGAAGCTCCACTATACTTGAGCATCCACAAAGATACAATTTCTGGTTTTTCATGATAGTACTAATAAATGCGGGAATCTCCACTAAGCTTGAGCATCCAGTGAGATTTATATAAAAATTAACGATATTTCCAATAGACGAAGGAAGCTCCACTAGGCTAGAGCAACCATTGAGATCTAAGTATTGGAGATTAACGATATTTCCAATAGAGGAGGGCAATTCCACTAGGCTTGAGCATTCTTTGAGATTCAAATATTGGAGATTAACAAGATTTCCAATAGAGGAGGGAAGCTGCACTAGGCTTGAGCAACCACGTAAACTCAATCCCTGAAGATTAGTGATATTTCCAATAGAAGAGGAAAGCTCCACTAGGCTTGAGCATTCATAGATCTCCAAATCATGGAGATTGATGATATTTCCAATAGAGGAGGGAAGCTTTAGTAAGCTTGAGCATTCACTAATATCCAATTTCGAGAGATTAACGATATTTCCAAAAGATGAGGGAAACTCCAGTAAGCTTGAGCATATAGAAATATCTAATTCTAGGAGATTGATAAGATTTCCAATAGATGAGGGAAGCTCAACTAGACTTGAGCATCCGCAGAGATTTAATTTCTGGAGGTTTGTGATATTACCAATAGATGAGGGAAGTTTCACTAGGCTTGAGCAACCTGATAAATCTAAGCTCTGGATATTAGTAGCATTTCCAATAGAGGAAGGAAGTTCTATCAAACTTGAGCAACCTGATAAACCTAAGCCCTGGATATTAGTAGCATTTCCAATCGAGGAAGGAAGTTCTATCAAACTTGAGCAACTAGCAAGATTCAGTGTTAGGAGATTAGTGGCCCTTGAGAGATTAGGAAGCTTCTTCAAATTTCTTGAACATCCTAAACTCAGCACTTTGAGATTGATGAGCGGCTGTAATGACCAAAAAAAGACAACATACGAGAAGGAGTTTAATAGTGAAAGGATTTAGAAGCTAAGATCACTCTTCTATCCTTATTTTTGAAACTAACAATTTTGTACAAAAGTAATTGCATAGAAAAAAAAAGTAAAATAAAACTCATTAAAAATGGTATTGCTTACTTGAATTCCTTCCCATAGTTTCCCGAGCTTGCTGTTTCTCAATATTATCTTGACAAGAAACTTCGGATTAAATTTAGAAGGAAAACATGTCATTGGCGAATAGTCCCAATCTAGAATTCTGAGTTTTGGAGGTAGATAGTTAAGACCTTGTGGTAAGTGTAATATTCCGTCAACGCCAGTACCGAATCTAAAAAGTTCAAGATTAGGCATTTCTTCGAAAGCTCTCTCACTTAGTATTAATTTGTCGGCCACCTCCACAGAAAAGTTCAAATTTATGCCTATAACACTTTTACTACCCTAAAAAAGACACACACACACATATAAAAGTAGAGATGGTAAGTGACTTAGTTATACTGTAAAATGTATTAAATTTGCATAGGTACTAAAGGAACTGAAGGGTAAATGAGAAAACTTACCGTATGATCAGTGAATACTTCACAAATCTCATCAGCATCAACCAAAAACCGACGTTTCCCAGGCTTATAAATGGATTTGTTACGAACAATTTCTCTACCCAGTTGAACAAGTAGAGTTTGCATCGGTTGATGTGTCTTCTTGGATATAAGAGATCTCTGAATTAATACTTGAAGCCCTTGATGCACGTTCGAGAAATTGTGTCGAAGAGTATCTTCAAAAGTATGATCAATGCCTTCTTTGGTTTCGTTGAAAAAGCAGGCTATATGGAGAAATAAATCTTTGTCTTCTTCGTTTAAGGCATCGTAACTAAACTTTAAAGTACTATGAATTTTTCCATCAAGGCGAACCCTTAACCTTGGTAGTTCTGCTTTCCACTCTTTCTTGGACATTCCTCGAAAATGAGAACCCATAACCCTAAGTCCTAAAGGGAGCCTACCAGCAAGTCCTGTCACTTCCCAAGCAAGCCTCTCGAAACCATCATAAGGGGAATCTTGATCAAAAGCATTCATGCAGAATATTTGAAGAGCCTCAACATGTGGTGGAAGATTCACGTTATAGATAGAGTTGATCTTAAATGCCTCCAAAAGTTTTTGGTTTTGTGTTGTGATGATAATACAAGATCCAGGACCGAGGCATACCGCTTTTGGCATGGCAAGTAATTGTACTAATTGATCCACCCCATCAAGAACAATAAGCACTTTCTTGCCCATCACAAAGTTTTCTGCAGTTCCTAAATGATGAATCTTGATATCCTTTTGGTTAGTTAATTGAGAGAGAAACTGCTGCTCTAATTGCAACTTAACATCGTGATCATCCGAAGAAATTGGGCTTGGATAACTTGGTTCGAATTTCATGAAAACATTCAGTTCAAAATGATTAGAGATTTGATTATATAGAACTCTAGCAATGGTGCTCTTACCAATACCAGAAGGACCTGAAATCCCAACCACCCTCTTTTCATCTGTTGAACCCAGGCAAAGCAATTGCTTCATATTTTCCATATGAGCCCCCATCCCAATTAAACCATTGAGATCACTTGATGGTGTGTAACTAAACAATCTTTTGAAAATTTCAATGACTATTTCTTCAATCATGGCAGCTTCAGTTTCCCTACAGAAAATAGAGTAATTAATACATTTAGTTTTGATCTGTTGAAAAATTTAGAGCAAAGTAGACGAACCATTTTCTTGAATCGTAACCAGCAATTGTAGCCACTTCCTTAAAAGCTTCTCTCCATCTCCTAATGTCCTCCTTTGTTCTACCCTTACAAGTTTTCTCAAAGACATCTCCAAATTCTCCGGTCAGCTTCTTAACATGGGATGGATCAACTTCATAGAAAATGACAAACACTGTTAGACCATACTTTTGCTTGCACTCCATAATCTCCACTAATTCGTCAAGACACCACTTTGAAGAAGCATAATTTCTTGAAAGCAAGACAACCGCGATCTTAGATCCTCTAATGGCCTTAATGAGTTCGGGACCAATGGATTCTCCTCTCCTGATCCCATTATCGATGAAATGAGTGATTCCTTTTCTTTTAAACTCCTTTTGAATGTGACTGAGAAAGTTTCTGCGAATGTCTTCCCCACGGAAGCTCGCAAAGACATGGTGAGTCCAGTTGCAAGACAAAGAAGATGAAGGAGATGTTGAAGAAGACAACGCAGATGGATGAGATGTTGAATTAGAAAATGGAGATTTAGGAGATGTTGAAGATGACAAAGCAGATGAAGGAGATATTGAAGAAGACAACGCAGACGGATGAGATGTAGGAGATGTTGAAGAAGACAAAGCAGATGGAGGTGATGTTGAAGAGGACAAAACAGGTAGAGGAGATGTAGAAGACGATGAAGCAGATGGGGGAGATGTAGAAGAAGAACCCGCATCTTTTTTTTCTTGATGGATTTTAAACTTTCTAAAAAGCGTGAAGAAGCCTATTGCAGTAGCAGTAACCGTTGCAAGGAAAAAGGAAGAATCCATTACCATAAGATCGAAAGGATCAATATCAACAAAGATTGTTTACTTCTTAGCAAAGCTATGCAAAGGATGAATGAACAGAGATGGATTTGTGTACATACATTATTGAACACATTATCTTGACTCATTGACTACACAAGTCAATAGCAAGCTTCACGGATATTTTCTTACGTTTGTGTGGTCGACGAGGAATGAAAACGAAAATATCAGGCTAATGAGTTATGGGCTCAATGGGATTAAATATTTTATGGACTATCTAATACAGCTAAGAATTTTAAGGGTCCTTTTTTTCTTTCTCAAAATGTATCATCAAACCAAAACTTCAAAAAGAAAAAAAAAAAAACTAATTGGTCCAAAATGAGATTGTCGCACGGATAGCAAAACGGGTTTTGGAGTTTGGTACCTTGGTTTGGCTTGAGGTTTTCAGTTAAGGATCCCTTTGGTGGTTGTCGGAGCAGACCTCGTCTATGTATTTATAGAAAGAGAAAAAGCATAATTAAGGCCATCGAGCTTTCTTATCTGTATCAAATTTTAACCAAGCAACAAGTGTGAGACTTGCTTATCTCTATATTAGTAAAAGAGGAGTACAATTTGTATTTCCGGGTCGGGTCATTAAAAAATATTACCCGAAATCTTGCAATTGGATCTCAACAAATCGGGTTTTACAAAGTTTCGGATCTTACCCATTGGTAAAATAATCGTTTTCTTTAAAAAATAAACAATATTCGAAAACCTCAGCATTAATGTATTGTTCCTGCATATTAGGAATTTTTATTTATAACGATATCACAATTAAATGGGTAAGATTGCAATCTCGGAGAATATATTTTCAAAAAGAAAATAAAGTTTTCTCAACCCTTAATTATACTTTAACATATCGAATATTTGTTAAGAAAATATTACACACTTACTAACTATATTTATTGAAAGAATATGCCCTAATATTATACCCTAATGACGCTTCTAATTGTTTGCCTATATAAAGATTCTTAGTCGACATTGTTTAATTGCCACACATTCGACCATCTTCTTTGTCTACTCTTTTTACGATTGAAAAATGGCTACTAATACTACCATAACAGATTTACAGTATGAGTTTAAAACTGCTTTTCCGTTTTCTCATTGGAAGATTTAGATATTTTCATTTTTTTAAGTTACACATCAAACTCATTATCTATATTGTTATTTCTTATTTCCATGTTTGCAAGCGAAATTTCATGTTTCTAATAATTATCATCAAAAGTATTGTCTAACAATACACCTTTTTCATTTGAACGATTTCATAATGTCCAGAGACTAACCTTTTTGATGAACTTGAAAATCCAACGTCGTCAATAGTTTATACGGTTGTTAGAAGGGCGAACATGTATCTTGAAGGTAAATAGAAAACATAATAAAAAAATAGATTTACACAACAATTGATTGCACAACAGTACAATATCTAACAGTCGATGTAATGGTCATGCTAACTGTTATTATTATTATCTTCACATATATTATTCTGCTTAAGGTATCGGTTAACGTATGAAACCTTAATCCAATTTTTCAATTAGTCAAAAAAAAACAAAAAGCTGAAAGCATATAATCTATTGATTCAACAAACAACCACCATAACACCATAGTTAATTATGAATGGTACTCAAATTAGGTAAACGGATTAATTAAAATTGAGACAAGTTATAGATCATTACCCAAAGACATTCCGATTGATCAGGAATATGAACACTGCAATGAGTATGTTCGGACCCGCGCTACAAAGCAGCCACCACCTATAATAAATATAATAAATATTCAATACACTTGGTTAAATATTTTGGAAATGATTTCAAAACATTATTAGTATGACCAATATTAAAACCATTGTTATATGAGCATATTTAAAATTTTAAAAGGTTTCAAAATATTATAATTAAAAGGTTCAAATATATATATAAAAAACTAGAATTTAAAATATTAAAAATATTTTTTTGGAGGCATAGATGTAATTTTGGAGACATATTTTTTTTTGATAAAATATATAATATATCAAACTATGCAAATTTTAGATAGTCCACAGGTTGTTTGTTAAAATCACAATTATAATGGTAAAACGAGTCATGAATAATGTTTTTTACGAAATGAATTCTGTTACGGGTTGGTCCTTCAAAAAATATATTGTAAGTATGTATTTTTAAGTATATTCTTAATTCTATTACAAAAATGGTCAAATTGAATGATTTATAGATAAATATTATTTCGTGCTCTTAAATTTCCATCGTGTTTTTTACTCTATCAAAACTCAATATATGATTATTTCTTTTATTATTTTATTTAAACTTATTATACAAATATATGATTTACCGTAATCGACCGCATTGCAATTAAATTAAAATGTAACATATTATAATCCGTTAAAAATTATATATACGTAATTCTTTCCCCCGCGTTATAGCGCGGATCCGAACCTAGTGTTACTAATTACGTCAAGCAAAAAAGCATAATTACGTCAATATACGTATAGTAAATGAAATTAACAATCATTCAATGTGAGCTAATAATAGCTTGTGAAAAAATAAAAATAATAAAAGAATTTAATTTCTTGAATCTTGAATATCTCGTACTTGCACTTCAAACTCATTGAACCAACTTTTTATTGGTAGACAACGATTCAATATCTAGATTATTAATTTGAACAATGTCATGATTTATTAAATATAATATTATATTTATTAAGTATCATCAAGTAGTTAGAAGTAGTAACATCATATGTATTGAGGATTAACTTGCTACACAACTAAATAGGAAATTATACGTTTTTTTTTTTCCTTTATGTTTAGATATTGCCTTATCTTTGATCATGTATCTTGTATAAATACAGACCTTTAGGTCACATAATGAACAACACAAAATCATTTAATAATTCTCTTGTCAATATGTCATTTCTAATTTAGAATAATTCATCCGTATATACTCTGTAGATTTATTAGAGAGTCAATGGTAGCTACGACAACCCTTTACAATCATGATTCTTTCTAGTTTATGCCTCTTCAATTTTTGGTAGGGATGATCGGCTTGCTTATTCCAACATATTTATGTGCTATACATTTGTTTCAACTTGCTATGAATGTTGTCCATAAAAGTTATTACCTCTCTAGATTAAGTTGAAACAAATGTATAGCAAATAAATGAATCATAATCTATGTGAAAACTTTGAAAACGAGAATCTTTAGATCCCTTCACGTGCAACTCATATATTTTCATAATTCTATACTGAATATAATGAATGAGTCCCCAACATCTAATCCATAGAGTTTGATTGAAGGTACGGTTATACATTTATTGTTCGTTGTGAATATTTTGATGATGGTTTGGGGAGAAAATTGTTATAAAATAAACTTTCCAAAGTAGAGCAATGGGGGCTATGATAAGAGACGGGTCATTTATCATTCAATTCACTTCTCATATTTGATCGTTACTATTTGATTAGCTTTTTATGTCATGTTTTAGGTGACTCTAAGAACAGTGAGTCTTCTTTATGAATTATATATGATCCAACATCATAACTCCCTTCTATTTAATTGTCTTCTTTGTGATACCATCACTTGTTTTCCTGTTTTAAAGTCCAAATCCACCATGTTGTCTATTTTTTGCAGTTGAACCTAAAATAGAATCCAAACTAAAAGCAAACGTTTACACCTCACCAAGGGAGGGAGAAGATACAGAAAAAAGAGCCTTCTTTATATTACATCTTGTTGCTCAAAAAAAATAAAATTCCAAACTAAAAAAAAATGCACTTAAGGATCGGAATCATAGTTAAAAAGTTAATCTAAGACATGTGTCAAAATCATGCTCATTGTTCATATGCCTTCTCTCTTTCACAAAACCTTTGGAATTCCACAAACTACTACATACACTAGTTTAGAGTAATAAGAGTTGTTAAAGTCTAACCTGAGCGGTTTAACTTTGCATGTAAGACTTCTATTCTATCATCAATGTAAAACCTTAAAAAATCATTCTGTATTCTTCAAGTCAAAAAAACGTTTTCGGTGGTTATTGTTTAAACAGAGGAGAAAAACAGAGAATATGAGAGAAAGAAGACTCATGAGAAGAAGTTCAACAATTAATAATGATAGGAAAGTTGATAATTATCACTTGATAGAAAAGTTCAAAAAAAAGAAAGATTTATCACTTGATAATATCAGCTTGATACAATTTAACATATAGATTGTATCAAGCTGATCTTATCAAGTGATAAATCTTTCTTTTTCTGGACCACTCTTTTAGGCTAACCACCAAATTGTAAATCAGCTACCTGCTACCAGTAGCTACCAGATCAATACGTACGTGTCAATCTCCTCAGGTTTCAACTTTTTATTTATGATTTTGGCTCTTTTGATCAGATTAGGCTACGTAACGGCGAAGCAATCATCTTTCGACTGCAAAATTGCGCGGTCTACACCTTGTTGATTAGTTTAGGCAAACCCTTGTTTCTTTTGCATATTAGTATGTTTTGATGATTTCAGAAATCTAGCTAAAGATTTTTTTAAAAAATTTGGTTAATACTTTTAGAAAGCGTTATCAGAAATTTCTAGGTTATTGGTGGATTAAGCCCGTATTAGTCAACCAAGAATCCGAACTTTGGTTGATATCTCACAGTAGAGATATGTTTAATGATTCCGATTTGAACACCAACTGTTACAAAATTTGAAACATTAAAAAGATGAAGAAGGAAACTGCGTTACAAACATAGTATATACAGCCTACGGAAATAGACAATAAAATCACGTCATTATATAGATACTTCGACATAATGAGTGTCCTCCTCCAAGAGTGGGCGTATCCCGCATTCACCTATCTTCCATCTATCATTGTCGACTTCAAACTTAAAGAATAGCTCTATGGATTCCACATCGTTCACTTCACCTTCAAATGTGTATAGATGGTTCGTTAAAACTGGACGTAGTGATAGGAATCTTGATATATATCCGTCACCACCACTCTGTTTTGTTACGATGTTAAGATTTACTGACTCACATTCCTCATAATCAGCTTTGTTCCCCTTTCTAACCAGCAAGATGCAAGCCTTAAATCTCAAAGATGTAGAAAGACACCTCTTATTCAACTTCACTACCACAGAACCTCCAGTAGTAGAACGGTAACTGAAGAAAGCAGGCACTTCTCTACCAGGCAAAACTGCGTATTCACTTGTTGATGTCTGGATGATGATGTCTCTCCCTTTTTCATTCAGTTTCCAGCACTCAATAAATTTGAGACAAATTTCGGGATTGGAAAAGGAGCAACCAAGTCTCTCCAAGGACTCACAGTTTACCGCATCTAAGTTTGATAAGGTACCTGGAAGTTGCGGGAGTGATACCAGTTTACTGCATCTACTGAGTACAAGTCGACGTAATTGAGAGATTCCATTCACCCATGTAGGCACTTGTTCTATTTCTGAATCGTCCAACTTCAGTTCTGTGATGATGTCAAGAACATGTGGGAATTCTTCAAGGTCTTTCCAATATGTTAGACGCAAGTCATGAAGTCGAGACCATGACTTGATCAACAAAGGTACTTCTTTTATCAAAGTCCCACAGAGCATAAGCTGTCTAATGTTTTTAGAAACCACCGGGAAACTTATTAACTGGGAACAACCAGTGACATCAAGTTTTTCTAGAGAATCCCATGTGACATTGTTATCAGGAAGAGCCTCTATCTTTGAGCATCCTTGCAATCTTAACGTCACCAACATACAGAGGTTTCTAATTGAAGAGGGAAGTTCCACTAGACTTGAGCATCCACGGAAATCCAATTTCTCGAGATTAATGATATCTCCAATAGATGAGGGAAGCTCCACTAGACTTGAACATTCACGAAGATTCAGTTTCTGGAGATTAATAAGATTTCCAATAGATGAGGGAAGCTTTACTAGGCTCAAGCATCCACTGAGATTCAATTTCTTGAGACTAATGATATCCCCAATAGATGAGGGAAGCTCCACTAAACTTGAGCATTTATGGAGATCCAATATCCATAGATCAATGAGATTCCCAATAGATGAGGGAAGGTCCACTAGACTTGAGCATCCATCAAGATTCAATGTCGAGAGATTAATGAGATTTCCAATAGATGAAGGAAGCTTCACTAAGTTTGAGCATTCACGAAGATCTAGTTGCTTGAGATTAATGATATTCCCAATAGATGAGGGAAGCTCTGCTAAGCTTGAGCATCTATTGAGATGCAACACCTTGAGACTAGTGATATCTCCAATAGATGAGGGAAGGTCCACTAGACTAGAGCATCCATCAAGATTCAATGTCGAGAGACTAATGACATTTCCAATAGATGAGGGAAGCTCCACTAGGCTTGAGCATTCATTTAGATACAAATCATGGAGATTGATGACGTTTCCAATAGATGAGGGAAGCTTTACTAGGCTTAAGCATCCACTGAGCTCTAATTTCTTGAGATTAATGACACTCCCAATAGACGAGGGAAGTTCCACTAGGCTTGAGCATCTGCGGAGATCCAGTTCCAAGAGATTAATGAGATTTCCAATAGATGAGTGGAGTTTCACTAGGCTTGAGCATCCAGTGAGAACCAATGTTTGGAGATTAATGACATTTCCAATCGATGAGGGAAGCTCCACTAGGCTTGAGCATGCATTGAGATACAAATACTTGAGATTAATGAAGTTCCCAACAGATAAGGGAAGCTTCACTAGGCTTGAACATGCAGTGAGTTGCAAAGTCTGGAGATTAATGGCATTCCCAATAGATGAAGGAAGTTCCACTAGGCTTGAGCAATCTCTTAGATTTAATGTCTGGATATTAGTGGCATTCCCAATAGAGTTTGGAAGCTTTATCAAACTTGAGCATTCCCAAAGCTGCATTTCTAGGAGATTAGTGGCCGTTGAAAGACAAGGAAGCTCCTTCAATTTTGTTGAAGAACCTAAATTCATCACTTTGAGATTCATAAGCGGCTGTAGTGACAAAAAGAAAAAACAACATACACGAACACATTTAGTAGGGAAGGTATTTAAAGGCTCATATAACCTTTTTACCAGATTTTTATGATAACGATTTTGTACAAAAATAATCGCATGAAAATACACAAAAAAAAAAAAAACTGATAAAAGAATGGTAAACACTTACTTGAATTCCTTCCCACAATTTCTCGAGCTTGCTATATTTCAATATTATCTTGACAAGAAACTTGGGACTAAACTTAGAAGGAAAGCATTTCATCGGAGAATAATCCCAATGTAGAATTCTAAGTTTTGGAGATAAATAGTTTAGACCTTCTGGTAAATACAATCTTTTGTGACATAATCTCAAAAATTGAAGATTAGACATTTCTTCAAAAGCTCTCTCACTTAGTATTAATTCGTCGTCAACCATCGAAGAAAAGTTCAAATTTATGCCTATAACACTTTTACTACCCTGAAAAAAGACACACAACTATAAATGTAGAGATAATCAACTATCAAATGTAGTAAAGGAACTGAAGTGACAAAACTTACAGTATGATCAGTGAGTACTTCACAAATTTCCCTAGCATCAACTAAGAATTGACGTTTCCCAGGCTCACTAATGGATTGGTTACGAACAATTTCTCTACCCAGTTGAACTAGTAGATTATGCATTGGTATAAGTTTCTCCTCGGATATGAGAGATCTCTGAACTAAGACTCGACACCCTTGCTGCAAGTATGGGAATTTGTGTCGAAGAGTATCCTCAAAGGTATGATCAATGTAATCATCATTGAAAAAACATGCTATATGGAGAAATAAATCTTTGTCTTCTTCGTTCAAGGCATCGTAACTAAACTTTAAAGTGCTCCCGATTTCTCCGTCAAGGCGAACCCTTAACCTTGGCAGTTCCCCTTTCCACTCTTCCTTGGCCATTCCCCGAAAATAAGAACCCATGACCCTAAGTCCCAAAGGGAGATTACCAGCAATTGTTGTAACTTTCCTAGCAAGCTTCTCAAAACCATCATCAGGGGAATCCTGACCAAAAGCATGCATGCAGAAGATCTGAAGAGCCTCATCATCTAGTGGAAAATCCACGTTGTATATATGCTTGATCTTAAATGCTTTTAGAAGTTTTTGATCTTGTGTTGTGATGATAATACGAGATCCAGGACCGAGGCCTACCGCCTTTGGCATGGCAAGTAATTGTACTAATCGATCAACCCCATCAAGAACAATAAGCACTCTCTTGTTGGTCACAAAGTTTTGTGCAGTTCCTAAATGATAAATCTTGATATCTTCTTGCTTAATTAATTGAGATAGAAACTGCTGCTCTAATTGCAACTTCACATCATGATCGTCAGAACAAGTTGGTCTTGTACAACTTGGATTGAATTTCATGAAAACACTAAGTTGAAAACCATCAGAGATTTGATTATGTAGAACTCTAGCAATGGTACTCTTACCAATTCCAGAAGGACCCGAAATCCCAACCATCCTCCTTTCATCTCTTGAGCCTAGGCAAAGCAACTGTTTCATCTTTTCCACATGAGCTCTCATCCCAATGAAACCATCGAAGTCACTTGATGGTGTGTAACTAATTAATCTCTTGGAAATTTCACTAACAATTTCCTTAATCATAGCAGATTCATTTTCCCTAGTAGAAAAAGAGAGAGAGATTCATATATATGGACGCAAAAAGAAAATAATACATTTCCTCTGCAATGTTAAAAGATTAAGAACGGAATGGAAATAAAAAGGACTAACCAGTTTCTTGAATCGTAACCAGCAATTGTAGCCACTTCCTTAAAAGCTTGTCTCCATCTCCAAATGTCCTCCTTTGTTCTACCCTTACAAGTTTTCTTAAAGACAGAGCCAAATTCTCCGGTAAGTTTCTTAACATGGGATGGATCAACTTCATAGAAAATTGCAAACACTGTTAGACCAAACTCTTTCTTGCATTTCATAATCTCCACCAATTCGTCAAGGCACCACTTTGAAGAAGCGTAATTCCTCGAGAGTAAGACAATCGCGATCTTAGCTCCTTTAATGGCCTTAATGAGTTCAGGACCGATGGATTCTCCTCTCCTAATCTCATTATCAATAAAAGGAACGATTGCTTTTCTTCTTAACTCCGTTTGAATGTGACTGAGAAAGTTTCTACGAACGTCTTCCCCACGGAAGCTCGGAAAGACATGGTGAGTCCCGTTATAAGACAAAGCAGTAGGAGGAGATGTAGAAGACGACAAAGCAGATGGAGGAGATGTAGAAGAAGAACCGACATCGTTATCTTTGTTTTCTTGATAGATTCTGAACTTTCGAAGAAAGATGAAGAAGGCAATTGCAGCAGCAACAAGAATGGAAAGGAAAAAAGTAGAATCCATTAGCTGATTAGCATAAGATTGAAAGAGGTTGAAGATCAACAGAGTTTTTTTTTACTTCTCAGCAAAGCTAAAGAAAGGATGAATGAACAGAGAGGGATTTGTGTATACATACAATATTATAGAATACATTATCTTGACTCATATCACTCAACACACTACAGTAAGTCAATAGCAATAAAGCTTCACGGATGTTTCCTTTGTAGGGTCGAAAGAGGACTGCAATATAAAATAAAAAAGCAAGTTGTAGGAATGAGTTATCAGTTATGGGCTTAAATATATTCCCAGACAAACTCTAAGAGATCCAGACCATTCCCTTTGCATATTTGATGCTTCACGTTCAATCACTCCAAAATGTATGAATGTATCATCATCAACCGTTCAATTCAAAGAGTGGAAAGAAAAAAAACCTAATTAGATATCACACTTATGAGAATCTCAAGTTTAGAGAGCAATTGGTTTGAGCTTTTCAGGTAATGATCAGAAGGGAGGTTGGGGTTTTTTTTTGTTGGATCAGACCGGTTTACCGATTAGAGAACCGGTCTGAGACGGTTCATATAATATTCTTCTATATACTCGAAACTCAATTCAATTCCTTGCATGCTCTCTCTCTCATTCCTTACAAGCGCTCGCCCATAAATCTAAAAAAAAAAAAAGGAATATTGTAGTTTTGAAATCTTTGATACAACAAAAAGTAAAGGGCACGGTGACTATTTCACACAATCTAGATAATCAATTTACGTTATGTTAGTTTAGAGTCAGGGACAACATAATAAGCATCGTCCTTTTATTATTATTAAGCACGATCTATTTAATTAGAGAGAGTAGCATGGGTCATTAGTTTGGTTAAGCCAATAAAAAAAAAAGACTGTTGTGCTGGTTAGAGTGTAGGTAAGGTGAAGTTGTTAAGAGTTGATAGGAGTTGTTAAGCATGATTAATGTTAAACGTGGTATATTTTTAAATTAAGTGAGCTCTGCTTGTAAGGCTTCTATTATAAGAGCTTTTCTTAACAAAATTGCAAGGACCACTAAACATGGTCTAGTCTAAAGTGAACTCTGTTTGTAAAACTTCTATTTTGTCTATCAATGTAAAACCTTAAAAATCAGTTTCTGTATTTCTTTAAGTAGAAATAAAAACATTTTTTGTGTTTATTGTTTAAACAGAGGAGAGAAACAGAGAATATCAAAGAGAAAGAAAGCAAACATGCAACTTATGAGAAGATGTTCAATAATTTAATAATGATACGAACGTTATAAATCTATATATATGTTGAATTGTTGTATCAAGCTTATTTTATCAAGTTGTTTTTTAATTGGACCACCCATTTTGGGGATAACCACCAAAGTAATCAAGTTACCAGTAGCTGCTACCAGATCATTCGGACGTGTCAATCTCCTCAGGTTTCAATGTATTTAATGATTCTGGCTCTTTGATCAGATTAGGCTGTGACGTAACGGCGAAGTAATCATCTTGCGGCTGCAGAATCGGAAAAGAATTCATAGAAGGAAACTGTGTTAACAAACATATATACACAGAAGGTGAATATGAAATTAGACAGTAACATATTATAAAACCTTCGAGTCTTCGATATGAGTATCATCCTCCAAAGAGTGGGCGTATCCCGCATTCACCTATCTCCCATTTTTCATTGTCGACTTCAAACTTAAACAAAAGCTCTGTGGATTCCACATTTTTTACTTCACCTTCAAATGTGTACAGATGCTCCGTTAAAAGTGGACCTAGAGTTGGGCTCTCTGAATCATAACTGCGACCACTCTGTTTGTCTACGATGGTGAGATATATTGACTCACATTCCTCATAATCACCTTTGTTACCCTTTCTAACTAGCAAGATGCAAGCCTTAAATCTCAAAGATGTAGAAAGACACCTCTTATTCAACTTCACTACCACAGAACCTCCAGTAGTAGATCGGTAACTGAAGAAAGCAGGCACTTCTCTACCAGGCAAAACCGCGTATTCACTTGTTGATGTCTGGATGATGATGTCTCTCCCTTTTTCATTCAGTTTCCAGCAGTCAATAAACTTGAGACAAACTTCGGGATTAGGAAAGGAGCAAGCAAGTCTCTCCAAAGACTCACAGTTTACCGCATCTAAATATTTTAAAGAACCTGGTAGCTGCGGGAGTGATACTAGCTTCGCGCATTTGTTGAGTACAAGTCGACGTAAACGAGAGATTCCATTGACCCATGCGGGAACTTCTTCTATATCTGCATCCTTCAACTCCAGTTCTGTGATGATATCAAACGCATGTGGGAATTTTTCAAGGCCTTTCCAGAATGTTATACGCAAGTCATGAAGTCGAGACCATGACTTGATCGACAAGGGAACTTCTTTTATCAAAGTTCCACATAGCATAAGCTGTCTGATGGTTGTTGAAATCACGGGAAAACTTGTTAATTGCGAACAACCAGTGACATCAAACTTTTCTAAAGAATCCAATACGGTGTTGATCGGAATAACCTCTATCTTTGAGCATCCTTGCAAACTCAACGTCATCAACATACGTAGGTTTCCAATGGAGGAGGGAAGCTCCACTAGACTTGAGCATCCACTAATATTCAAATTTTGGAGATTAATGATTTTTCCAATAGAAAACGGAAGTTCTACCAAACTTGAGCAGTTATAGAGATCCAATTCTTGAAGATTAATGCAATTTCCAATCGAATACGGAAGCTCCACAAGACTTGAGCATTCACTGAGACACAATTTCTGAAGATGAACATTCTTTCCAATAGAAGACGGAAGCCCCATTAGACTTGAGCATCTCTTGAGTTCCAGTTCCCGAAGATTAATGCAATTTCCAATAGAAAACGGAAGCTCCACTAGACTTGAGCATTCATTAAGACACAATTTGTGGAGATTAACATTATTTCCAATAGAGTACGGAAGGCACATCAGACTTGAGCATCTCTTGAGTTCCAATTCCTGGAGATTAATGCAATTTCCAATAGAAAACGGAAGATCCACGAGACTTGAGCACCTATAGAGATCTATTTTCTGGAGATTAATGCAATTTCCAATTGAAATCGGAAGCTCCACCAAACTTGAGCAGCCATAGAGATCCATTTCCTGGAGACTAACGCAATTTCCAATAGAAAACGGAATCTCCACTAGACTTGAGCAGCAAACAAGATCTAATTTTAGAAGATTAATGCAACTTCCAATAGAAAACGGAAGCTCTACTAGACTTGAACAACTATAGAGATCCAATTTTTGGAGATTCTGGCAATTTCCAATAGAAAATGGAAGCTTCACTAGGCTTGAGCATTCGTTGAGACACAATTCCTGGAGGTTAATGCAATTTCCAATAGAAAATGGAAGCTCCACCAAATTTGAGCATTCATTAAGACATAATATTTGAAGATTGACGTTATTTCCAATAGAGGATGGAAGCCCCATTAGACTTGAGCATTTCATGAGATCTAATTCTTGGAGACTAATGCAACTTCCAATCGAAAATGGAAGCTTTACCAAACTTGAGCATCCATAAAAATCAAATTCCTGGATATTGATGCATTTTCCAATTGAAATTGGAAGCTCCACTAGACTTGAGCAGCAATAGAGGTCCAATTCTTGGAGATTAATGATATTTCCAATGGAGGAGGGAAGCTCCACCAGACTTAAACATTCATTGAGACATAATTTCTGGAGATTGACATTATTTCCAATAGAGGACGGAAGCCTTATTAGACTTGAACATCTCATGAGATCCAATTCTTGGAGATTAATGCAATTTCCAATAGAATATGGAAGCTCCACCAGACTTGAGCAACTATCGAGGTTCAATTCCTGGAGATTAATGCAATTGCCAATAGAAAATGGAAGCTCCACCAGACTTGAGCAACAATAGAGATCCAATTCCTGGAGATTAGTGATATTTCCAATCGAGGAGGGAAGCTTCACTAAACTTGAGCAATGTTGTAGATTTAAGTTCCGAAGATTAGTAGCATTTCCAATAGAAGAAGGAAGCTCTACCAGGCTTGAGCAGTCAACAAGATCCAGTTTTAGGAGATTGATTGCCATTGAGAGATAAGGAAGCTCCTTCAAATTTCTTGAAGATTCTAAATCCATCACCTTGAGATTGCTGAGCGGCTGTAGTGAACCAAAAAAAAGCATACAAGAACGAATTTAGTAGTGAAAGAAATTAAAAGGTTAATTTTTTTTTTGTTATCTTTATTTGCTAGGCTGACAATTTTGACACAATAATTGCATAAAAATAATAAACTAAAATTAAAATCATAAAAGAATGGCAATTGCTTACTTGAATTCCTTCCCATAGTTTCTCGAGCTTGCTTTCTTTCAATATTATCTTGACAAGGAACTTCGGACTAAATGTAGAAGGCAAACATGTCATCGAATAATAATGCCAGTGTAGAATTCTTAGTTTTGGAGGTAGATAATTTAAACCTTGTGGTAAGTACAATCTTTTGAGACTATAACCAACATCACTAGAGAATCTCAAAAACTGAAGATTAGACATTTCTTTAAAAGCTCTTTCACTTGTAACTAGTTCTTCCACGATCGAAGAAAGGTTCAAATTTATGCCTATCACACTTTTACTACCCTGAAAATGACACATATTAGAGTAGAGGTAGTCAGCTATCGAACGTATTAATTTTGTATAAGGAGTAAAGGAACTAAAAAATAAACGACAAAAGCTTACTGTTTGATGAGTGAGTACTTCAGAAATCTCCCTTGCATCAACCAAAAATTGGCGTTTTCCAGGTTCATTAATGGATTGGTTACGGACAATTTCTCTACCCAATTGAACTAGTAGATTATGCATCGGTGAAAATGACTCCTCGGATATGAGAGATTTTTGAACTAAGACCTGAAGCCCTTGTTGCACGCTTGAGAATTTGTGACGTAGACTATCTTCAAAGGTACAATTAATGCCTTCATCGTTGAAAAAACAGGCTATATGAAGAAATAAATCTTTGTCTTCGTCGTTCAAGCCATCATAACTAAACTTTAAAGTACTCCCAATTTCTTCATCAAGGTGGACTCTTAACCTTGGTAGTTCCCCTTTCCACTCTTCCTTAGACATTCCTCGAAAATAGGAACCCATAACCCGAAGTCCCAACGGAAGATTACCAGCCAGTAATGTAACTTTCCTAGCAAGATCCTCAAAACCACCATATGGGGAATCCTGACCAAAAGCATTCATGCAAAAGATTTGAAGAGCCTCATCATCAGGTGGAAAATCGACATTGTAAATATGTTTGATCTGAAATGCTTTCAGAAGTTTTTGATCTTGTGTTGTGATGATAATCCGAGATCCAGGACCGAGGCATACTACTTTTGGCACGACGCGCAATTGTACTAGTTTATCCACCCCATCAAGAACAATAAGCAGTTTCTTTCCCATCACAAAGTTTTGTGCAGTTCCTAAATGATGAATCTTGACATCCTTTTGGTTAAATAATTGAGATAGAAACTGCTGCTCTAATTGCAACTTCATATCGTGGTCATCAGAACAAATTGATCTTGCATAACTTGGTTCGAATTTCATGAAAACACTCAGTTGAAAACCATTAGAGATTTGATTATGTAGAACTCTAGCAATAGTGCTCTTACCAATTCCAGAAGGACCCGAAATCCCAACCATCCTCCTTTCATCTGCCGAGTCTAAGCCAAGCAATTGTTTCATCTTTTCTATATGAGCTCTCATCCCAATCAAACCATCAAGATCACTTGAGGGTGTGTAACTAATCAATCTTTTGGAAATTTCAGTGACAATTTCTTCAATCATTGCAGCTTCATTTTCCCTAGCAAAGAAAAATAGAAAGATTATACATCCTTTTAAACTAGTAATGAAGTTTTACATCTGGACTCAAAAGGTGTATACACTAGTTTGTTGTATTGAGATATTAAGAGCAAAGTGGAATTTAAAAGTACAAACCAATTGTTTGAATGATATCCCGCAACCGTAGCCACTTCCTTAAAAGCTTGTCTCCATCTCCTAATGTCCTCCTTTGTTCTACCCTTACAAGTTTTCTCAAAAACAGCTCCAAATTCTCCCGTCAGCTTCATAACATGGGATGGATCAACTTCATAGAAAATGGCAAACACTGTGAGACCAAACTCTTTCTTGCATTTCATAATTTCCACCAATTCGTCGAGACACCACTTTGTTGAAGCATAGTTCTTCGAGAGTAGAACAATAGCGATCTTAGATCCTCTAATGGCCTTACTGAGTTCAAGACCAATGGATTCTCCTCTCTTGATCTCATTATCAATGAAAAAAGTAATTCCTTTTCTTTCAAACTCCTTTTGAATGTGACTGAGAAAGTTTCTACGAACGTCTTCCCCACGGAAGCTCGGAAAGACATGATGAGTCCAGTTGCAAGACAAAGTTGATGGAGGAGATGTTGAAGAAGGCAAAGCAGATGAAGGAGATGTCGAAGGAGAAAATGTAGAAGAAGAAGAAGAACCCACGTCTTCGTTTTCTTGATTGATTCTGAATTTTCGAAGAAATATGAAGAAGCCTATTGCAGCAGTAGCAAGAATTATGGTAAAGAACAAAGAAGAATCCATTAGCAAAAGCTTGATAAAGGATCAAGATCAACAAATATTTTTTTCACTTCTCTGCAAAGCTAAACGAAGTATAAATTATCAAAGAGATATTTGTGTAAATACATTATTGAACACGTTATACTTCACGGATGTTTCCTAAACTTTGTGTGGTCACAAGGAATGAAAATGAAAGTATTTAACTCCACAAATGGCGTGTTGAATGGGCGTAAATATCTAATGGACTATCTAATTAAACTAAGCCAAGCCTTAGAAGTGTCTTTTTCGCCTTCTGTTTCAACACGCCAAATTAATGTATCATCGATACAAAGACCTAAGAAAAAAACCTAACTGTTCTAAATGTATTAGATATCGCAAGGTTAACACAAAAGAAGGTTTTGGATTTTGGTACCTTGGCTTGAGCTTTCTAGTAAGGATCAGGAGAAAGGTCGGATCAGACCACATCGCTGTGTAGTGGACGACGTCCATAACTCATAATAGATTCGCAAACCGGTTTACCATTGTGGATGAGAACCGGAATCTGAACCGATCTGTAATTTTAAAAACTCTGATACTTCAACGTAAATTCCTCACAATCTTAAAAGCTTTTTACGAAGAAGATAATGGAATCTGAATAATATAAATTGAATTACATTTTTTACGCTTGTAACCAGGTGCTTGTAACGTGTAACGTGGTAAGTTACATGTTGGCTGGACCTATTGGTCTATTATTGTTAATGCCTTTAACGAATACTTCAAGAATTGAAAATTTTAAATTGGGTTAATGGCTTTTGTTGTTTATGCCCAATCCCTCTGCTTAGTGCAAACTTGTACTTCAAAATCATTGTACCAACTTTTTTTTTTTGGTAGACTACGATTCGAAATCTAGATAACTAATTTAAACTATGTCATGATTAATTTTACTTATTAGACTCAGTATCATAAGTGGTTAAGTATTTATATGATCTTTTTTTTTTTTGAAGTATATTTAACTAGAGGTAGTAACATCATATGTCCTTTGAATTTTAATTTTAATTTTGAGAAGGATGTCCTTCCAAATTTAGAATTAATCACCCATATATACGTACCCTGTATATTTATTAGAGAGTCAATGGTAGCTACGACAACCCTTTACAATCATGATTCTTTCTAGTTATGCTTATTCCAACAAATTTATTCACAACGTCATGTCTATCGTCCAATACTAAAACTTTGGAATGTTGTCGATAAGAGTTATTACCTCTCTAGACCACATATATATGTTGCAAATAAATGAATAATCTAGGTGAAAACATTAAAATAAGGTTAAAATCTTTAGCTCCCTTTACGTGACAACTCATATGCATAGTTCAATCTATTGAATGAGGCCCCAAACATCTAATCTAATAGGGATGATTGAAGGTACCGTTTTTTCATTTCTTGTTGGTTTATGAATCTTGTTATGATAGTTTGGGGAGAAAAATGTTTGAAACTTCCCAAAGTAGATCAAGCAACGGGGCTATGATAATAGACGGGTCATTTCATTCAATTCGGTTTTCTCATATTTGAGAGATCGTTACTATTTGGTTAGCTTTCATGTCATGTTTTAGTTGACTCTAAGAACAGTGAGTCTTCTTTATGATCCAACATCTCGTCGTCATCTCAACTTCCTTCTATTTCATTGTCTTCTTTTGTGATATCATCACTTGTTTTCCTGTTTTAAAGTCCAAATTCAGTCCATCATGTTGTATATTTTTTTCGGTTTAATTAAATCCTAAAACCAAACCAAGTTGAATCCAAATCAAACAAAAATTGCACTTGAGGAATCCTAGTTTTTTTTTTTTTTTTTTTTTTTTTCTAGGAGCACTCGAGGAATTCTAGTTAAGAATGTAATCTAGAACATGTGTCAACCATCTTCATCGTTCCTATGCCTTCTCTCTTAACAAAACCTTTGGAATTTCACAAACTACTACATACACTAGTTTAGAGTTCTCTGCCATGAAATATCTCTAGGTGTAAAAAACGAAATTAAGAAAATATGGAATCAAACCATGCATGCATATCAAGTTCACTATCAAAGTTCTAGCCTATTAAACGTAACTAGCTATATAGGCTATGTCACTATTGGTGTCCCAAAATGATCGATGCATAATTGAGCAATGCGCGTGTGTGTAGCTGTAGGTATAGTAGTAGTGTATAATGAGGAGCAGAGCATGCACGTGCTATTGAGTTTGTGCAACATGGTACGCTAAAATCAGTTCGTGGGGTCGCATATATTTGAAAAATATAACCACAGTAAAACTCGAAAAAACATTTCTCTGTTGATATGAATTGGATCCTATGCATTCATTTCTGAATTATGTTTCCTTTCCCGACATTTATGTTCCTCATTTAAAACTCAAAATATTATTTCTAGTAATATTATTCTATCCCCTACAATTATTGAAATTTCACCAAAGAAAATACTATAAACTAAAACCGAAAAAAAAAACACATCAGTTTTTTTACTAACACACCTTCTAAACTACAGTACTAATGTGGTTTGTGTCAGTGACTTATTTGGTCTCTTTGGAAAAGTAACGATTCATACTAACATAACATCTATTATATGTCACAAATTTAATGTAAATTAAGAAATATAAATATATATATCCAAAGTTATTGACCAAGAAAATGAAGAAAAAGGGTATAGAAAATGTTCAGTTAATCTCTGCAGATGGTCCTTACAAGTCTGCAACCAATACTCTGAATCTGTTATAATGTATTCCTCTGCCAATTGATATCTTTTTCTGGTCAAGGAAGAAAACATCTGCTTTATATATTTTAAAGTTTCACCTAACATATTTCCTTAATTTGACCTTTGTATGTATAACCTAATATGAAGTGTCTATGCATTTAATCAAAATATGTAGTTGCACATTAAATTCATTTATTAATAAACAAGGATTTGATATATTTTATTTTATTTTCGGTTTTTAAAAAACTTAGCAAAAGTTCGAAAGGGGAGGTACGAATTGCCTTTATAGTGTAATGAATATTGCAGAAATACTAAACTCTAACCAATCCCTTACAAAAGGATTTATAGCAGCCACTTCTGCAATAGATGGTTGGGTAATTAATCTGAAATCAGTAAATGGTAGATTGATATGGCAAGAAAAAGTTAAGACCTCTATATGAAAATTGGAAATATCTTCTGTAGATTATGGAGAGAGCGAGAGAGAGATATAGGGATTGGTGATCAGATGACATTGAAGTGTGCGTGTGAAACAAATTGTTGTGGTTAGAAGAAACGCAAACAGTCAATTCAAATGTGCTTTGAGCCTTTTTTTGGGCATTAGTTCGGACTATACTTCGGATGTTTAGTTTCATCCTAGGACTTCCCATTATTTCCATTAGCAACCAAAAATAACGTTAGCAAGCATTTATTAAAATAAAATATGTACATTTTTAATTTGAAGGCTTTTCTTAGGTAGATATACTCAATGGTTTTTTAGTGAAATTTTGGTATAAAAAATAGTATAAGAAAAATGAGCTTTGGTGGTGATTGATATTAGGGTTTAAATCATGATTCTACTATTATTATATGACAATATTATTTATTCTTAGCTCATAGATAAAACTAACTGAAAATTACTATCTTTTAGTTATCTTAAAAAAGAAAAGTTAATATCCCTAATCCAAAGAAGTAAACCACATTGGTTTACAAAAGTTTATAAACCCACATAATTTTTCCAGCAAGCAACAATATAATGTCTTGTTTGGGGCAACAAAGAACAAAAGCAGTTGAACTAAAAAATGATGTTTACGGATGTTTAACAACTTTTCATCTCTCCACTTTTCCAAACACAACTCAAACTGCTCACAACGTAGGAAACGTGTTCCCTGTCCTCTACTCTCTTTTTTTCTGTCCAACCTTGTTTTGGATTATTTCTTTCATCTCTATATATATGCTTTCACATTTATGGGTTTTCTCAACAAAAAAAAAAACAAAAAAAAAAATTATCCAAGACTTCAGTGAGGATTATTGTGAAGATGACTTTGGACACTAAATTTGATTTAATATATGCAATGTATAAATACAAATATATATATATCAGCTTTCAGATCAGTCCGTGACAGGCCATGAGAACCTTTTAACAGTTGTATAACAGCATTTTGTCAGAAAATAAGGTCACAACATATATACACATACACGCACATATCTTAGAGCCATACGTAATAATATCACACCAAATATCAATTATGCTATACAAAAACTCACATTTAATATTGCATCATATATCTTCTCTTCCAATGAGGATTGAGATGGTGCATATATACTGACGTGGCGTCCGCGTCTCTCTCCATAACACTTTGCTTCCCATCTTCTTCGTCTTCGTTCTCACCTCATCACTACCCAACACCAACATTGTATCATGTCGGAAGATCACCACCCTTTGATGGATCAGACCGCTTCATCAGACGAATACTTCTCTTTAAACATCAACAACGATCAACATCTCCGTAGCTACTCCATAAGTCATAGAGAAGAAGAGATTAGGAACTCTTATCTAAGTGATCACAGTAAGAAAGACACAGCAAACTATGGAAGCTGTGGACACTCCTCAAAAGGTTCGGTGTCGAGAGGACATTGGAGACCCGCTGAAGATGCTAAGCTCAAGGAACTAGTCGCCGTCTACGGCCCACAAAACTGGAACCTCATAGCTGAAAAGCTCCAAGGAAGATCTGGTACGTTGACATATTCTATACCCCTTATTTTAAGCTTTTTTCAAGATTCAGGTTCTTGATATTTTGGGTGTTAATGTTGAGCAGGGAAAAGCTGTAGGCTTCGATGGTTTAACCAGCTAGACCCGAGGATAAACAGAAGAGCCTTCACGGAGGAAGAAGAAGAGAGGCTATTGCAAGCTCACAGGCTTTATGGTAACAAATGGGCGATGATAGCAAGGCTTTTCCCTGGAAGGACTGATAACTCTGTGAAGAACCATTGGCATGTCATAATGGCTCGCAAGTTTAGAGAACAATCTTCTACTTACCGTAGGAGAAAGACGATGCTTCCTCTTAAGCCACTCATTAAACCTAATCCTCACATTTTCAATGATTTTGACCCTACTAAGTTAGCTTTGACCCACATTGTTACTAAAGACCAGAAGCAGCTTATGTTGCCCATTCCTTGTTTCCCAGGTTTGAGTTGGTGTTCTCTTTCCCTTTCGGTTTACAACTCCCATGTATCTATACTTCCATCTCTTAAGCTTCTTCCAATTTTGTGTACCACTTAGGTTATGATAATGGAAACGAGAGTCCATTAATGGTGAGTATGCTCGAAAACGAAATGGTGGTCGGGGATTACACTGCATGGACACAAGAGGCTACTACATTGGATTGTTTAAACCAAACCGAGAAGAGTGAGATGTTTGAAAGAATGAACGAGGAGAAGAAACCACTGTTTTTCGATTTTCTTGGGTTAGGGGAGGGCGTGATCTCATCATCATGATGAACAACAAGACTAGCTTCAGTTAGTTAACAACAATTATGAAATGATTTGAGTCCTTAAATTTGTCGTTGTAGTTTAATTTGTTGCGTTAATAATCAAATTCAATTAGATTAAACGTTGTTGTTCCTTAGTCACATGCAACATTCCTAACGCGTATATATCAGTACGTACGTACATATACCCACTCGATAAATTGGTCAAGATATTAATTAGTGCTTTTTCATTTATGTACAGTAGATGCCAAATTGTCTCACCTTCAAAACCAAACTTGATTTGAAGTATATAAAACATATGTGTGTGTACCACTTTATAGTTCTAACTAACTCATATCTTATACGAAAATGTCAGATTCCGTCATTAATGGTCCAAAAAAACTTGTGTGGAGTGAGAGTATAACAACAACAACATGCTTCGTATATGAAGAGGAAGGTGACATATGGTAAAGCAGGGACGATGATGTGGAAATAAGTAAAGACAAAGAAGAAGAAAGAGAGAAGTCAAATTAAAAGAGAATATAATGGGTACTATAGCATTGATTTGGAGTGTATGCAGAAGTTAATGATAACATGCGATATTGATGAGGTAGCAAGATTCAGGGCACAGATTCTGCAACAGAAAGTCCAAACATCGATCCCACTCTTTTAAATTATTCTCACAACCCATATTTCATTTCTTTGCTCCTTACTTACGACTCTCATCGACCTCATGTCACCCACATGGCCCTTTTCTTCTCTCTTTCTCCTTACCCTTGTTTTTCTTTTTGTTATATCATTTGATACATTATAATATTCCAGCTTTTAACAAATTTGTATGACTAAATATAAGTAATCGAGTTTGTAAAGTTTGGATTATGGATTAAGTATTAAGTCCTCTTTACACTAAACATTTCCACCTTGTTACATATTGCCGAATTTTCTAGTGTTCTATTTTAAGGGTTTTTTTGGTGTGGTTTGGACTTTGGACCATATAGGAAGCCGTACGTATGAATTACCTCGGATTGAAATTAGGTCAATTCAGATCACTTATTATATTTATTGTTATTCTAGGCCTAGGCCCATAGAGTCATGATCAAGCCCAATCTCTGCTCTAGTGCTCTGTCTGAAAGCGTTATAATTCCTCGATCGAGTAATTTGAAGTCGTATGTGAGTGAATATCTATTTCTTTTTTGTTTGTAATTTTAGTTTTTGTTAAAATGAAGTATGGAAACCAAAAGCGAAATACATTGGTTCATAAAAATCGAAACGTTGAAAAGAGCATATACTTAACTGAAGTAAATATCAAAACCCAAACCTCTCTAATAACCAAAAGGACAAGTAATGAAGGAGAAAATTCATGATAATGTAGTTCCTTGGGTAATCGGTAATGCAATAATTAAATACTGATGAGTAATGACATTTTTCTTTTTTCCCAAAAAGAAAACACTCTAATTTTATTCTGTTTTTTCCTATAAAAAGCTGAACTACTTTACGAACATATGTACGTAGGTATCGGTCTCTACGTAATATGAATGGTCCAGATGTGAGGAGGCCTCAAATTCTACCTAACTTTATTCCTCCTTTCTTGACATTTTAAAAATCATTTAATTAACTTTATGCATATGATAATATTTCCGATTAATCATTTGTCAGCTATACGTCAAGGCTCACGTTTAAATTTAGTTAATTCCTCTTAAAACAGTCGATGTTCGAATATCTTTAGAAGGATCTTATTTTTTCTTGGTGGCCAACTTGTAAAACGTTTGTGCTATACCGACGTCAACTATGGAAATGTTGAGCACCTTACAATTTTGTGTTCCCGCTCGGTTTCTATTATGGTTATACAAAAAAAAAAAAAAAAAGAGGACTCACCAAACACTTATTGTAGAACACAATTTATACGGTTTGGGGAAAGAGCTTATTATGATGCGTCCTATATCTATATGTACTTCTCGTGTAGAACTAAAACAAAACAAAAACAAAAGCCAAAATTTATTTTAGTTCTTTCTTTGGTTTGGGGAAAAACTATACTAATGAGCTCAATTCATGTATTGAATGGATTTGAGTCCCCTTAAAGATGTTACTGCATGTTACATATAACCAACATGGATTTATTAGACAATTAAACTATTCTAAATGTTGAGTAAGATTTAAGATATAAAGCGGTATAAAGCCAATAAGGCATCGATTTGAACATAAATAGTAGAGAAATATTGCTATATAAATTTAGTAATAACCAAAATGAGTACATGTATAAGAAGAGATTAGTGAAGATGCAAAAAGAAACGAAAAAGACATTGGAAAAGAAAGAATATTTTCTTTCTTTCTTTTAAGTCAGAAAAGAGACTTTTATGCTCTTCTTTTCTTCTTTTTCAGTGCCAGTGGTTGGATTCTTTTCTTTAATCCGAATATGAAAATGAAAGATGCTCTGCTTCTTTCTTTATTTTCTTTGGTTTCATATTTCACTTTTTCTCATCACTTATCTTAAAACAGTTTGACCCATTTACACTAAATACCAAAAACGTATACAAAGCTAAATAATCTGAAACATCATGCTCTTCTGACATTCATGCAATTTACCAGAGAGGATAATTGGAATTGAGAATATTTATTTATCTCTTGGGATCAGGGCAAAAATGTAATTGTAAGTTTCAGATAGATCACGTAGATATTAAACCTAAAAGGTTTATATATGTTGCAACTTCATACCACAACGGAGAGAAATATCTACAACTGCAAAAAAAGTATTTCTCTTAGTGTACAACAGTAAAATACTATATATCTACTCTTAGTTCGAAACAACAAAATATCTACACAGTGATTCCTTCTTCCACAAGGTAACAATTAGCTAAACTCAACTTTCTCAGTTACGTTCATGAGTGTATGGCTATATCATTGTTCTGATTAATGTTGCATGCTCTCCCTGAAGTTCATAGCTCTAGACATCGCTGCAGGGTTTGCTTGTAGACTGTGAGAAGTTTCAGGGACCAGGTTTCTTGTGTTGCTGTTACCCTTTGTGTCAAATCCATTGAACAAACTGAATCCTTGTGTTTTCTTCTCGGGTTTTGTTGGTAACTTAGACCACACCGAGCTCTTGGTAGCTTCGCTATTCGTTCTAAGTGATTCTGTAACCAATCTTGCTCTTGTAGAAGTTGTTGTTGTAGTATTATTGATTCCTCCCTCAGTTTGATGATCCCTTGACCGTTTTCCTAAACATGGTGAGGTCTCTGAGGTAGGACATATCGGAACCGTGCAGCCCCAGTATAAGGGAATTGGGTAGAAACTAGCATTAGGACCCGTTGGACTCCACTGGTACGGCCAAGGAGAAGTATTATTAGGTGGCATTACTTGCGGAGGAAGAAACCCTTGGTAGTTTTTGTGCTCTTGAGAAACTGAACCAGTGTTTATCTTTGTTGTATCTCCTGACTGATGCTTACCAGTCTCTGTAACCGAAGACTCCGAAGACCCGAAACTAAGGATCGTTCCCGAGTGATTGTTTTCACAATCCTCAGAAGTGACTTGCAAGTAATGGTTTGAAGAACCCCATCCTTTGTTCTTGCGGCGTCCTGAGCCGACGGGAACGTTCCTCATGGATCCACCAGCTGTCCAATACCTCTGACAGTTCCTGCAGAAGTAACGTGGCTGGTTCACGTTGTAGTTGTTGTAGTAACAGAACTTGGTGTTTCCGCTTTCGCATCTAGGACATGGAAGAAGCTTGTCCGGTTTCTTGAGAGCCGTTGATTTCTCTCCTGATGTAGTACTTGTAGTTGTTGTAGTTGTGATCTCGCTCTGTTGATCACAGTTGTTGTTCTTGGAGCTTCTTGGTGATGATGAGATCTCAGATACTGCTTTTAGCGGTTCGTTTAGATCGGATAATATGTAAGGATCTTTGAATCTGTTATTCTCTTTCTCATTTTTATTAGCCGGAACCTGAAAAAATTTAGTAGAATTTTGATTAGAAATAGCAAAAAGGTTGAATCTAGTATACAGTATTCTAAATTCAAGTTGGAATTCACGGAAATTTAAAGTGGTATACTACTAAATGAAAAAAATGACAAAAATGTTAAACTCGTTAGAAACAGAGAGATGAACAAGAAAGTCTCAAATTTTAGGCTTTACTTAATAGAACCTTTACAGACTTCTCCTTTACAAGGGCAACTCATATCCCAGAATAGCAATAAAAAAATTCAGATCGAGGTCGAACCATTACTATATTCGATCAGCACATAGATGGATCTCTTTTAGATAATCCTCAATAAACCGATAAAATTGACTTACCATGGAATCTCTCAAGAAGTTCGAACCAAACCAACACAACACAACATAAGAAAAAAAAAAGACTAGGATTCTCAAGACATACCCTGCTGTTTGGTCCAATTGTTGGAGAACAAGAAGATGAGGAAGAAGAAGAAGAAGAACCCTCCTTGCTTTGATCGGAAGAAACATCGTGAACAGGGGACAACGACGACGGATCATAATGATTCTTCACATCCAAGAGAGATGTGATTGTCCTCCCAAACAACTTTATCTCCGTATCTCTAGATTTAGACATACTTAAATTACGAAGAAACTTCTAGAAATTATATGAAGGTGTCTAAATCTTTTTCCTCTGAATTTTTATTTCTTTAAAGATCGGAGCATGAAGAAGAGAATACAAAGGGGGCTAGAGGGAGGTTGGGTATTAATGACGATAGATAGTGCATAAAAGAAGAAGAAGATAGATAGAGAAAAAGAGAAAATTACAAGTCAGCATAGAGAGAGACTTGAGAAAATAAGAGAGCCACATGTTTATTAAAGAAAGTGGGCATTTTAGAGATCTTTTTCACGCTCTTTTTGATTCCCTCTTCTAGTGGCGTTTTAAAAGATTTTCTCACCTTTCTCTTTGTTGCCACATCGGATAATAAAGGAGAATAATATTTAGAGAGATAAACACTTGGTTCGTAGAATGTCTATGGTCTTTTACAAAAAAAAAGAAAAAGCATTTTTATTAGAATGAAAGAACATCATCTAGTTAATGCTTGTTCAATATGGTGGAAACGTACCCAAAACGGATGATTAAAAAAAGTCTCATGTACGTACTAAACATGAAAGTCATACTAGTAAACAAAAACGTTTGAAGAAAAAAAAGGTTTTTTCAAACTATTGACGCGTATTAATTTAACTCAAGTTATGTGTTCATATTACCAATCATCGAAACTCCATATTGTACCTTTGGTCGACATACGTTTATAAAGTCTTCCTTAACATTTAAGAGACAAGTGTTGAATCCTCAGGTTGCGATCTTGATTTTGATCATGGTAAAATTTAGCATTATTTTAGGATGTTAATACAATGGCAACTCAACGTGTTAAAATAGTTTTATCTCATCTTTCTCTCGACAGAAGAACTAAATACAACAAGTAATCAGTCAGACAAGGCATAAACTGTCGATGCCAGGTTGTGTAACAACGTGTCACATGACCCACGTCGTCTCCGAAACATCCTACATATATAAGCCCACGTCAGCTGTAATACAAGCACGTGTGGATTGGTCCATCTCAGAACTCTAACAAAAAGTTCATCTGCCAGAAATCTAGCTGTTCGTCAGGCATGTGACCAATGCGTATCCAACACGTGGATTAGCAGAAACATATTTATATTCTCTGTGTAGGGTATTATAATATGTAGCGTATCCAACATATAGCTAGCTAGCATAGCAATAGGCAATAGCATCGTTGTGAAATTCTTTAAATTAATGGAAAGTAATCAAAAAAAGATTTGAATAAAAGTTTGTGTGGTGGTAAAGAGAGGCTTATGTTCTGGTAGTGTCTGACACTTGGCATTTTTCCAGGTATGAGATAAGGCTGGACCATATCTTTTTCTCTTATCCCATTAAGTCTTCTTCGATCGTGTTTGTTCTTTATTACATTTTTTTGTCTTCGTATTTTGCTATTCGGATAGTTGCGTCCGTTGTGCAGTTACGATGATGAGTAAGAAAGATAATAGTATAGATGTTTGGTGACTAAGATTGACATAATGGAAGCCTATAATCATTTTCATGAATTCTAAGGCAAGGTTTCAGTGTTCACTCATATTGTCAAAAAAGAGTATGTACTTGAGCACTTTATTTTAAAAGCTATGATCTCTGAGTGACGAAAATATTTTGAAAATAATTAATCATATCTACATAGTACATACTATCGAAGAAATATACATTTCGTATAAATAACTAAAACAGTGTTCATTAAACATACAAACGAGGCTCTCTTAATTTTGTGGATGGACTCTAGAACCTTTGTTAATGGGTTTAAAACTTGGGCATGGTCTACAATATATAGATAAAGTTTATAGGCCAGTCCAAGCAAATATTCAAAACGGTAATGTCAGCACTACACAGGCCTTAGTCTGACAATTTGTGTTGTTGTTGAACTATATTATAAGCCCGTTAAAGGGTGTGTACATCTAAACGACAGCGAGCAATCCTACTAATTCACTGTCTCATTTGATTGCCTCAAGTAATCCTTCTACGATCACTCCACAAACAGCAAGATTTCTTTTCTTTTTTTTAGATGCAATGCAAGAATCAAGTTCCCATAGATACTCTAAGTTTCCGAGAAAGATTTATTTGTTTTGATTTGGATGATAGGTTTTAATGGCATAGTTGTTTATGTAAAAAATCTCCATAAATTAAGTTTTTTTTTTTATACAACTCATGAATGAATTTTGTTGAAAACGGAAAAATTATTATGACCTACATAACATGTCAAATGATCTCAAAGTTCTTAATATTATCTTAACGAAGTTCTTAATATTATTATTGACCTAAAGTTTTCTTGAATTAGTTCAAGTGACACATGAGTGATGTCACGTTTGTTCAACAATGGATTTATAGATTTTTAAAAATGTTTTAAATTTTAATGTTTAGATGTTCTTTTTAGCGCATATGGATCTGTGCAATACAAGCACATTCTATTGAATTGGGTCCCTAAAAGCTAAAAAAGAGAATAATAATCGATGAGGCATCTCTCTTTCAGACTGCTTTCGATCCAATTTCAACATTATTCAAGAATCTCCTTTTCTTTCCTTCTTTAATAATTTTCATCTAACTACTATCATTTTAGTCATTTTCATCTCATGACTTCATTACAATGGATGCAGAAAAAAAAAGGTACGTTAGATTAATCTAAAGGGTATTTATAATAAAGTACTTTTTTGTATTATAAATCTTGGTAAAGAAGAAGATAGTGAAGTCTACTATAGAAGATAACATAAGGAGAAACATAACACAGGATGATCACTAATCGCATCGTAATCATGTATATGAAACCGCAATCTCAACAAATTAAACGTATTGTAAGATAATCGCAGCTGAGTACTGTATATATATATATATGAAATTAGGTTTAGCATGAATCATGCTGCATGATGCTATATATGTCCTATCCAAAATTTAAATTTTGATGGTATGATGGATGTTGTCACTATCATTCTTAAACGGGCATGTAGCTCGTGATTCTTATGTATAGATCACGTAACGCTTCATCATGTGCTATGATGTAAAAAAAGCTTGATTCGATTTACATAATCTCTCTAAAGAGAATGGTTTATTCAACAAGTTATTAAAGAATATGTTATCGCTTTTTTTTTTTTTCCATGAGAAGAAAGTATATTAAATATGTGGTTAAAGAGAAAGTTCTATGAATGATCATTATCCTCTCTTGGCTTTGATGAGTTTCTTTGCTTGTTTTTCAAACATTCGGGCCACACACCTAGGCTATGATCGACATGTATGTTTATATGCATATTTATGCATGCATGTGTGTGTGTGTGTGAAGTTGGATTGAATGATTAAAAATATTCCTTTCTTTAAGAAATGAACAAATGAAAGGTGTCCACTAAAACAGAAACTCGTAGTAGGAGAAGATGCTTCACCACGACATCAAGCTACCACATTGGGTCCCCTCTATTTCTCTCTTAGTCTTCTTCTCCTTCTTTATATCTAAAAAAGAAATCAGAATCTTACGATTTTTATGCCCTCATAGGCCATATATATGTATACGATCATAACAAAACTTATTATCATTGTTGCCAATGAATCCATATTCCTTGAGTAATATGTTAATCTAACTAATGTTCTTAATAATATAACATCAAGATTAAATTTGTATATCCTTTTAGTATTAATAAACGAAGACATAAAACCATACATTGCATAAATAGGTCATATATATTGTTGTACACTGACAAATAATTAAACAATGGATTATTCAAAAAGAAAAGAAGGATTAAGAGAATAATCATTGGATTTCGATTCTAAAGACCAAAGCCTAAAAATTTAAAGCTCTCCGATCAGATTCTTCAGCTTTAATTTTGCCGACGGCTCCTCTATAAGCCATCACAATTTACTATACAACTCCTACTTCTTCTTCTTTTCCCCATTATTTTCTTATAGGAATTATATTTTGCAACCTTTTAAGATTTCTATTCAACAGATGAATTTTTTTCTCTCCTTAAAGCTAGTGAAGAATCCAGTTTGGAATATATTTTATTTATTGCTTCTACAACAAGGTTTGCCTTATATATGTGAAATAAAAAGAGCAAAAGAAAAATATTGTATTTATCTTCTCTAAAAAAATATTCTTATAATTATGATGTCAATAAAAAAAAGTTCTTATTATTATGGTCTTTAATTTTTTCTTTATAATAGAAAAACAATAAAATAAAAATTTGAACAAACAAAGACACGTTAGTAGACTATAGAGAGTTGAAGTTTTTTTTGGATAGGAATCGTCAGCTTTCAGGACATGTAGTTTGTTTGGCTAAAACTATTTAGTCTCGTAAAGCGGCCCTTCCTCACACATAACACCAAAACATGTACATGTAAATACAAATAGAAAATCTTGATTTTTCATCTCAAAAGACTTTAAGATCTCTCTTTCATATATCATTCAACTGTTGAATCTTTTTATCATATAGTTTGACGATAAAATTAATATAAAAATAGACTTCCATAATCGGTTCTTAAGGATATTTATATATTAGTTAATATATATACTTACAAAATTAAACAATATGCTAGTTTTTTAATGAATGATTAGATTTTACGGCATGAGACGACAAACAAATTGTATCTTCGAACAATAATCATGTGGTTATCTTGACCAATAAAATTCTGAGCATCATTAAAAGGTCAATTCTTTTTTTATTATTTGGAGAATTACTACACATCAATCATACAATAACATTAATTAAACACTATTTATATTGGGTTTTAAATAAAATACTGTATGTATCAACTAGGTCATGAATTTTTGTGGGTTTCATTTTTATATTTTTCTCCACGGTAATATTTGAATAATATGTTGATTTATATATGTATATGAAATTGCAAGAGAATGCATAATCCGAGAACACCTGAAAGATTCCTCATGAAGTGGATCATGAAACCTTCATCTTTCTGGCTCATTATATCTTGTTGTGGACATTTATGGACCATATTATTATTTTGCTGTCAAGAGTCAAAACCATGCATAGAGTTGTTAAATAATTTCATTTCATTAAGTTACCGTTTTTGACTTTGAAAGATTTAATTTTATTATATTAATCTAACAATTATACAAAAAAAAACTGGCTGGATTCACTTTCTTTTGTGTGGGTGGTTTTTTATAAAGAAAACATAAGGCAGAGAGAGAGGAATGGATTGTTCTTTTTAAAGTTATATTTGAGGTTTAGATTCCTTCACCTCTACATACAACCAAGAGAATCTGCCAATCGCTCCCATCTTTTATTTCCTTTAAAATGATATATACCTAAAAAATACTGTATAGCTTATAGCTTTACAAGAACAGAGAACATTTTTAAACATTTATATAGAGTTATCGACACTATGGTCTATATTTGTTTTCATTTAGGTCTCAACATAGATATTCATCAATATCCATTTTGATTCGTTATCCCGTCGCTATGCCATATAGCAGATCCAAGACATTAAGTTCCACAAACCACAACTCAACAAAACCATTGATAAGGAAAGATTCTAACACATGAAAAAGTCAAAATAGATGACACTAGACAAATTGCTATCACATAGTTAGAAGTAGTAGCTCAGCAACATCATGAATACAACGATTCACGGTAGCATATATTCAACATGTGTACATGTAATTTTTTGTTATACATATATAGGTGAGTCTATCAATATGTTTTTGTTGCTTCTGTCGACATCGATAAGTCTATATATAATGTAGATTCTTCGTTGAAAAATGTTATATGAAGGGACATATATACAAGTATGGTGGGGGCAACATTACCGAAGAGCAAGCCAAGATAGAGATGAGACACAACACAACAAACCTTACACTTTTTCTTTACCCTTCTTTTTAGGAGCAATTCTTGTATTTATACAAACTCTTTACTTCATTATTATACATAATCTTTCTATCCTGCTATATATTAATTATAATTATACAAAAGACATGTCCGTGTAGTGGATAATATAATGCGTGTTACTAAATCGAATTTTTATATATAAGTTGATCATTCCCAGACAATATCCACCCACGAAACACTTCTTTTAAAAATGTTATTTGTTGTAAGACTTCAACTTATACGAGTCGTGCAATATCCTAAAGGATACATTTGCTATAATATACAACCATTTCTGCAAGAAGAATGAAAACAAAATTTGAGGACCATTTTAGGAATAGAAATATGAAACGGTGATGATAATAATTGCAAACAAAGAATTTTTGCACATATATACGATTATGATGTCCATTAGGATCGATCAATGTCTATACGACCAAAAACGAAGTGTACATACCTTTTTGTTATCTGATCTTCTTATTGCCTCATATATGGAAGAAGAAAGTAACACGAAAATTACATAAAGCTAACATATACGAAAAAAAAGTGGTGTGAAATCGGGAAATGATCGTAGAAAAGAGATTTAAAAAAAAGAAACATATATATCAACCAAAATAAATAACATAATAATTGTAAAGAGAAAGAAAGAGGAAAGGGTCAAGAGAGCATATATTCTCTTCTCCAACAGAACCCCACTCATGTTTCCAGATATGGAGTGAGAGAAGAAAGAAAACATCAACCACTCCAAAGATTTATATATATATATATATAATCTAATAATCTCCATATCTTTGCCAACAAACCCAACAATCTTTTGATAAAACAAAATCACCCTTTGGTTTTTTATTTGAAATTTTCTTGGGTCGTTTCTTGATTTGTTGTATATTAGAGAGAAGAGAGATTTTGTATGTGTTTATTGATGGAGATCAACAATAATGGCAATGATAATAACAATAGTGTTAATCACAAGGCAAAGGTGATGAGCCTTGTGTTGTCAACGGATGCTAAGCCAAGATTGAAATGGACTTGTGATCTTCATCACAGATTCATTGAAGCTGTTAATCAACTTGGAGGACCTAACAGTACGTACACCTTAGCTTTGTGTTTTCATCTTCATTTTCATGTGTTCTTGATTGTTTTTTAATATATGTTTGTTTTGTTTGGTTTGTTTTTGTAGAAGCAACACCTAAGGGTTTGATGAAGGCTATGGAGATTCCTGGGCTTACCTTATACCATCTCAAGAGTCATTTACAGGTATATAATGTTCACAAGAATCTTTGATTGGATCAGTGTTTTATCTTCTTTCTATATATTTTTGTTTCTTTAAAATAAACTTTGAATTATTGTATTTGATCTTTCTTCAGAAATATCGGCTAGGGAAGAGCATGAAGTTCGATGATAACAAGTTAGAAGGTTTGAGATTCTTTGATTCATTACTAACGTTTTGATGATGTTTTTAAAGACAGAAGATATGATCTTGAGTTTGAACTCTGATCTGACCAAACTGGCTGAAGAAATCTTTAGATAGTTTTATTCTTATGTATGTAATTTGTTTCTTGATGTAGCAGTCTCCTCTGCTTCAGAAAATCAAGAAGCTGAGAGTAACAGCGAGTCGAGAGATCTCCGAGGCTGCAGTGTCACCGAAGGAAACAGCAATCCAACTAAAGAGTAATGATCAGAGAAACAAAAGCATAATATCTTTCACGTATCGATTTGAGTAAACAAAAAACTAATTGTTTTGTTCATTTGATGCAGAGGGTTGCAAATAACAGAGGCTTTACAAATGCAAATGGAAGTTCAAAAGAAACTTCATGAACAAATCGAGGTAATCACATCAACCAAATCCATTATTTGAGTCTAATTAAGCACAACAGTCACTCTTTGTTGTGGTCTTACAATGTTTGGTTTCAGGTTCAGAGACACTTGCAGGTGAAGATTGAGGCACAAGGCAAGTATTTACAGTCAGTTTTAATGAAAGCTCAACAAACTCTCGCTGGCTACACATCTTCAACTCTAGGCATGGACTTTGCGAGAACCGAGCTCTCTAGATTAGCATCAATGGTGAACAGAGGCTGTCCAAGTTCTTCATTCTCAGAGCTAACGCAAGAGGAAGAAGCAGAAGAAGGTTTCTTGTGGTGCAAGAAACCAGGAAACAGAGGAATTAGTCAGCTGAGATGTTCAGTAGAGAGCTCGTTGACATCTTCAGAGACCTCAGAGACAAAAGTGGACGATAACAATAACATCAATAAATCGATTGAGCTTCCGTTGATGGAGATCAAATCGGAAGTGATAAAAGGGAAGAAGAGAAGCTTAAACGACGCCGTTTGCGTTGAACATCAGCCTCAAATGAAGAGAGCTTTTGGCGTTGATGAGGATGAGCACTTGAAGTTGAGTTTGAATAGTTACAAGAAAGACATGGAGGCGTGTCCGAACATAGGACTAGGGTTTAATTAAAGAAGAAAGGAATAAACATTTTACTATAAAGTTATTATGAAAAAATGTTTTAAAAAGAATCCAATATATAGATTGCCATAGAGATTTTGTGAGTAAGTCAGGGTGAAGAACGCATGGGAATATTCTATATGAGTCAACATGATGATATTTATATATATACATATAGAAAAAATGTGTGTAAAGATTAGGTGGGGAGGCTTGTGGATGTGGTAAAGGCGGATTTGGGGGGAACTTTTTATGATCAATTGAAAGAAGCAAAATGATTAAATTAGAGTGAGCTTTTTATCATGATGTTCCGACCGTGATAAGCATGTTGGCCTCTCAGTGGTTGTTTTATGACAAGACAAACCATACTTGAGGTCTTGCATGCGATACCAAATTCGAATGTTAGTTTGTATATAGAGTATCTTTTTTTGCTTGATTATTTTACTAATTAGCCAAAGTTCGAATATTTTCTTTCTTCGAACCTCTCATGAGTCATGGAGAAGGTAATTAATGTTTGTTGTTATACGAATATTTTCTTGTAACGTAGAGGAAAAGAGAGTCACGTGTTCATGAAAACGAGGCTGAGGCTTATCTGTTTTCCTCCCATCTATATGTATACACTTCTCACCGTTTTACCGATTTGCAGATATATTCACAAAAATTTTAGAATCTTTATAGTAAGTTGTGTTTATAATATACTTTGTTTTCAGACATATTTTCAGTCGTAACACAATTTTTTTCCGTTAATCTTCTTTTCATTGTTTTCTAAGTATATAATAACAAACTTTTAGCAATTTTTCAAAATTTTCACAAGTTTTGTAAATTTTGGCAACTTTTTGACACTTTCATGTATTTTTCTTCCTATTTTTTTTTTTTTTTCATTATAAAATTTATAATTGCAAATTTATACTTTTAGTCTAAATTCTAATTCTTGAGATATCTTTACTCCAAAATCATAATATCCTAACCGGCCGTCTAAACACATACACCATGAAGAGCTCTTCAAAGTGACGGACGTTTCTCTTATATATATATTTGTTACGGGCACTCTCATTTAAATATCCGCCTTGAAACAAAATGAGAACCGTGTAATCCAATCTATAAAATGAGAAAGAGATAAGACTTGTGTCGTTATTTTCTTATAGAAATGTTTGAAGCTACATGTTACTTCTTAAAACATGTAAATGTTAAGAAAACTAGGAGGAAAAAACAAAAAACAAAAGTTACACGTCGTAATGTTCCTCTTCTTTAGAAACTAACGAGAAGAATCGAACCATATCTGTGGACAAACCAAAGGCGAGTTAATTAATTGGACGTTTTTCCAAAGTCTCGTCCAAGCATATATATGGTTGTCGAACCCGTGATATCCATCATCTATCTATGTAGCCAAAATCATATTTTGTCTGAATTCAATTATATATTTTGCTTTCACATTGTTTGAAAACAAAATGGAAATAACGTTATTGGTATCGTCCAAAAAATCATGTAAATTATGGCTCTGATATATTGCAGTATACGGTCGGTCTGGTGTAGAAACTATAAACGTCAATCTAACAAAGTTGATGCACAAGTATGGTTAGATTTTACTTATTGTTTAGTGATTAGAATGATTCAGTCAAAATAAGTACCAAAGAACTTTTTAAGGAATAGTGATAGACGTTTAGATTCGTTGTATATAAGTCTTACTGCCACAAGTTACGCAAACTTATAGAACTAAGATTTACCTAATCATCACAAAAACTTAGTTTGGGAGTACGCTTAATGTCATACATCATCACCTTGCACTTGATTGATGTGTAACGAAGGCTGTCTGATATGCACATGATACTGTTTCCACATGTTCGCATCCTATGTAAAGTTTGAGTTAACCCGAATATACACCCAAAAGGATATGTTAAAATAGTACAATCAGAGTCAGATGTATGTCACATTTTTCCTTCATTTATACTTAGCAAAAACTCAAAACTAAAAAAAATGTTAAATGCTCATTTTACTCAGAACTGCACTATATTGGCCGAGGAGAAAATATTAATATTCAGGCCCATCTCATCTATAGATCAAATTAGCAATGCAGCCCATGCCCATTAAATCCCTACATTAAATCCACACACCCTTCACAATTCCATACAAATCTGATAACAAATTATTTCGAAAGAAGGACTAAAAAGAGAGTTAAGATGGACCTCAATCCTATTTACATAAACTAGGGGCATAGGAATGTAGAAATGGCAAGAGAACCGACGGACCATTTTGTAAAATGTCCAACTAGATCCGGTGTTTTTTAGTCCACATGAGGCTTAAATCGACCTAGGCCAGGACCAGATCTGCAAACCCATAATTTAGCACGGTCCACTACAAGACGGTCCACAGCCTAAACCCTCAATCAAGACAAATTTAGGACCCGACTAAATCAAGATTGGGTCACAGCCATCGGAACATCCCTAATTTAGATGCTACAGTCATCACTTGTCTTAATGATTGTGCATTTTGGACCTTTATCCACCTTATAATCCAATTATATAACCCAAGTTTTGCTTTTATTTTGCTTTGCTTTTAACTTCTTTTGGATCCCTCCGACCACATCAGAGATCTCATTGGTCACATCAAAAAACCATCAGGGGAATAAGAATATCATTGTTTTTTAAATTCAAAAAAAAAACAATCTCCAATCTCCATCAACATTTCAAGATTTCACTATCTTGTTCTTTAAAAAATGTTTTTGTTTTGGGTTTTTTTAAGTAAAGGGAAAGTTGCAAACTTTAGGACTAACCTCGAGAATGCAGAAAAAGCAAAGCGGAGGGGGAACTCAAAATCAGCAAATGGGTATTTTGTTTTTTGGACCAACGACTGGTCTCCTGCTTGCTTTGTTTTTGAGCCTGCAAGCAATATCCATTCCTCAGTTTTAAAATATGTTACTTTTGAGACAGAACCTGATGCTTCAGAATGTTCTTAGTTTGCATGTGATTAAAATATTTGTTAAAAGAAATACAAATGACAACAGTAAAGAAAAGGGCAATTCAGATAAAGATAAAGATCGACCCTCCATGAATAAATGAGATAAGGAAAAAGAGAAATTGGGTCTTTTAGCATCATTGCATTCAGGATTAAGATCTGTGGATGAATCAACAAGGTGGGAAAAAAAGCATTAACAGGCATAATTAGCATAACGCACAAAATCAGTTCTTAAACTTGGCAAGCAAATATCGAATCTCTCAAGCAAACTTGGTGACTGTTTGTGTGTGGAACACATGACCTATGATCCATCAAACACAATATCTTTAGTTAATTATTTCCTAGACTACTACTACACAGAATCACAGGCAAAAGTGACTGTGAGGAGTTAAGTTATGGTTGTTTTTCGGTATTGGTGTTATATTTGTGAGAAGATATAAAGATGAAGTAGCACAAATAAACATGCAGCCGATGTTGTTGCTTAAAAAAGTGAGCTAGTGATCCTAAAGTGAAGGGGGGAAGATCTTAGAATAATATAAAGAATCATTCTTAAAGAGGAAAAAAAAATAATGTATTTGTTTCTTTTCGAAGAGGGTTGCTCTGTTGTACCTTTTTTTTGCCAAAGCTTAATGCTTTATATGAGTAGCTCCTGTAGGTTGTAGTAATGGAATAGTACCAACGGTTTGCATGGCCCACGGCTCCGGTCCGCTATGTTCCTGCCATTTAACAAAACACCACACAAAACCACTTTCCTTAACAACAAAGGAATTATGACATACAATAGCCAGAATCCACAGCATTAAAGAGTGTAAACTTGAATGATTAGGATATATAACCCATTGTCTCGAAAAGTTAAAGGTATTGTACACTACTTCAAAGTACAATTTTGAAATCAAGGAAAAAGCTTCCGATGCGATGAATATGCAATGCTATGACCAGATAAGATAACACTGAACCGTAAGATCTGTAACTCAACGTATTTCATGCTGTTTAAACTATTCGTCGATATATTCAGATAGGAACACAGCATATAGTGGAACTGTAGCAGCATAGAAAATTGGCTTATAACTAAATCCAAGGCAAGTTAAAGCTTATAGATGGTGTATACGGAGAATCTAACTAAACAAGTTCACTGGAAAAAGTGTTCAAGAAAGTGTCAGCATGTCAGTTTAACAGTCGCCTTCAACGAGTGGCTAGTTAGGAAGGTCTCCAGAAACCCAAATTGGCTAATTTTCCAGTCAAGATTGGAATGTTATGTTTATGGTTAGACAAAAGCAAAGGATAATGTAGAGATGTAGGGAAACCAATGAAGAAAGATACTTAACTTCCCAGTGGTTTTTCGTGTACTGAACTCTTTTGTACAATCATTGTCAGATTCTTTCATAACAGCCTTAATCTACTTAGATTTCCAAAGCAATGGTTTTTAAGTGAATCTAAATTTCCCAGGGTCCCATTTTGCTTTACACTTTAAAGCTCCCTCCAAATCCCAATAACTGATATATAACATGACTATATCTACAGGGAGGAACACACACAAAATCAGAACTCAGAAGGGCAATAATCTCAGTACTCCTAACCCTCTCATTTCTTTGGAGAAAAGAAAGATACTCTGAATCTTCTTGTCTGCCTAAGAGCAGAAATGTTGGGTTCCAGTACAAGATCGATGCTTTTTCTTCTTGTCTGCATAGGATTACTAGCAGACAACAGATATAAGGTCTCAGCCATGAGACATACAGAGTTTTTCCTCAGACAAACACAAACAGATAAAGCGAGAGTCCAGCCAAGTGAAATTGCTAATCTCAGGAGCATCAGATTTCAATTCAGGCACACCCTTGAAGATCAAGGAATGCTCAGGAAAAACAGGCGAGTTCTTGAGGAAGTAAACAAGAGTAAAGTCAAAAATGAAGAGACGCAAGAACAAAAGAATAAGACAGATGACTCATTCCAATCAAGCAAGAGACGTGTAAGACGAGGATCAGATCCTATCCACAACAAAGCCCAGCCATTTTCTTGAGCGGCACAAGAGAAACCAAATACAGAAAAAAGGCAATATACTATAGAAATGCAAGAAGCAGAAGAAGAAGCAGAAGAAAAAAGGGTACAACAATCAACCTTATCAAGCTGGAGGTAGGTTAGTTGGTTTTTCACGAGTTACTTTTCAAGTATAGGGTTTTGATAAGAACACACAATCTTGGGCTGATGAAGCCTATCAGTATGCAGAAGAACAGCATTGTCTCTTCAGATACACCAAGAGAATACATATTTGTTTTCAAGAAATTTCCTTTTGACTAAGTCTTCACTCTTTTGTTTGCATCAGTTCTAAGTTTCTCCACAATTTTTCTTCTTTCTGCATTTTCTTTCACTTCACCAAAACACATCTTATGTACATATACAATATCTCAAAAGTTTTGATTTCTCTACAAACATCTATTTCCCCACAAAGTGACAATGAAAATTGAACAAAACTTTGTTCTTCTAAATGTTCACAACTCATGGATAAAGCCATAAGATCAACCTTAACGCAATTGCAATCCAACTACAATGCAAGCTAAAGCTCCGTGAAAAGCCAGATAACGAAGACTTACAGTTCTACTCCGAACATATCTTCCGGCAAGTTAAACTCCGCCGCCGCATTAGCAGTGTCCTCATACGGTGAGGAGGAGATTTATCAGCATGCCACCGCGAGGAACAACGGCCAGCCACGACGGTTCAGTCGCTGAGATTTGTTACTCATTATTTTGCTTAGTTTAGTAGTTAGGCCCAGTCCATATAAAAAAACTATTTGGGCCTAGCCCTTTAACATGGTTTTTCCACAAAGCAAGCCTCGTTGATTAAAATTATAAACATCCCTTGAATAGTTGAATTTAACTACGAAACTACAGGAAAGTTTGGTAGGAGTCTCTCTTGCCTTTGCGCAATTTTAGTGTTTAGATTTCAATTTTTCCATAAAGTATGTTTACTCTATAGAAATTTGTTTTTATGTTTGGTTCATTTTGCTTCCCTTGTTTGGGATTATGTTTCCCTCGTTTGGACCAATATCTCCAAGAACGTTTTTGTTGTCCGCCAGCATATGTATTTCAACTTGTATCGTTTTTTGAATTTTAATAAAATTTCGGATGACAAAAAAAAAACTACGACACCACCGAATACAATCTCATCGACGTACGCATGGTGATGAAGTCTTGAAGAATTGTAAACTACTAGATTGTACTAATACCATCCGAACTAAAATCGAGAAGAGTTTATAAATTTTAGAAACATTTGAGTAGCTTAAACATCTTTACTATATCATATGTTACGATTATGTTAACCTTTATCTTTCTTTTTTTTGTCATAACATTTAATTTTTTTTGGTATCATTTACCAAATTCATTCAATACTGCAAAATAGGTGAAGGGATTTAAAACGTTGAAGAGGAAAAAGAAATGAACCCATCCATGATCATATATCAAAAGACATATCTAAAGTTTCGGCTAGAAATTACTTTTTTTTTTTTTTAACTCATCCTATCCTAGTAGTCGGGTATGCGTGATGCGCGTGATATTATGGTCATTTGACAAGATGCGATCGTTAGGACATTGTTCTAATCCGTCTTTACGATTCCAATTTTGTGTAATAGGGCTTAAAGTAAAGAAATTGTTAAATCAATGTGTCCTTGTCAACGAAATTATTATTAGCAATCCATAATAAATACGATTATATTCTTTTATTCTATGGTCAAAATATCGCCGATGGTTGCAATTTGGGTACTAATTAAGCGTGATTGGTGACTAGGTTTCTGATACACGACAAAACGTTACACCAACCTTTAATATAGATTCATTGTTACCCCTAGCAAAGAATACTTACTCCTTAATTATCTCATTTTATCGATGTTTATTGTTATGTGGTTTGATGTATTATAAACGGTGATTGGCGAATGCACTTAGTTAGACATTAATGAAATATAATCCAAAACAAAACGGTATGATTTGTCATTTGTGTGGTTTTGTTTTTGTTAATTTATGTTAACATAACTTAAAGCTCTAGTTTTATTATAGAAAAAAAGTTCTAAAGGTCGATTTCTACCATAACATTGTAAAACTGTAGTTTGTAACTAAGCTTAATCATGTGTTTTTTTCTTTCTAGGTGACTCATCATTAAAGTAACAATAGTCTCACGATTGTCTTTTACATATATAAATTTTGTATGCTAATAAATGATATGGATTTATCGGACCGTAAAAATCACGAAAACCTAAAGTTTTCTTCATTTAAAAATATTTTCTACAAATATATTATAATGGTATAAAGTGTTTACATAAAAGTCACATCTTCACACATTTGTAAATTTAACGTAACCCACATGCAGTAAGAAAAGATAATAACCATGAGAATGAGTAAGCTAACTATACATTGCTTTATAAAATTTTGATAGAAATATATATACCCTATGAAAAAATGATTCAGTATGGAATACAAGGCATTGATGATTGAGAATAATTTGTGGGGTACTTAAGAAGAGGAAGACTTGAAGACATACACACATAATTGTGACCCAAAGCTAAATCAATAACGTAAACAAAATGCAAAGAAACACTAAAATTGCGGCGCCACACACACTAATGACAAGAAAGTGAGAATTAAGAGGTCGGTAAGAGATGAGAAGAGTCTTTCAAATGGAGTGGTTAAGACAATTTAGATATTATATTTTCATGATTAAATTACAAAATCAAGTTTGGCAATTGTCACAACAAAGACAAAAGTCTTATTACCCTCCACTATTGCGGGTTTATATACTCGTGCGAAACAAGTTTAACTTTGATGAGGTGTTTTCAGATTTCACTTGAACACGTAATACCTATATTGTATTAGTCTAGATTACTGTTATAAAATAATTTGACCATGTTAGACCTCTAGGCTAATTGGTCCCTAAACAGAATCAAACTCGATAAAGAATGATACAGTGAAATCTAACCCAAAAAAAGCATGGGGCAGTAACGTAAAACTTTAGAAAAAGAATGAGAGAAATTGTAAGGATGTGTACAGTGTCGAATATGAAATTGCAGGGCAGCTGTAATTGTCCTTTAGTACGATGCATGTAATGGGCTTTTGCCACGTTATACACTTTGGACTCAAATCCTTCAAATTAATCCCATCCTCTCCTTGGAATATATACTCTTCTTAATTACATTTTATATATTTTATATGGTTCAGATCATCAGAGATAGATTACCCATTTGTTTCTTTTTCTACCAACAAGTTACCCACTGGTGAAAAGTGAAGACCCATATCTAACAAATGTCCCGTAAAATCATTGCGTTTGATAAGACATTAGATTCAGTATTTTTTTTTATAAACATATTCAAAGTGTATAGTATACTATAGTCTATCTATATAACGTATGAATAGATATCAAAACTAGTGACTACAATATTCATTAAATATATATGTTTCACCAAAACAAGAAAAAAGTAAAAAAAAAATGAGTTGTAAAATTTTGATACAGTGTGTGTTCTTTTCTTTTGCTGTATGTTTTGGAAGTTTGTGAGTAAGCACTTATTATTATTTTCTTTCAAATCCTAATTATATTTCATCACTGCCATGTTCTTTACCGATATAATTACATCATCGTCACATGCACTTACTTGAATTATCTTTTCTTTTTTAAAGAATTTTTTTTTAAAAAATATCAAAACCAAAACCTAATCTTCTTATTAATCACAAAGCTAAAAGAGTTTAAGTAAACACACTATAAAGACAGAACTAAAGTAAAGCTATGGATTTGTCTTCTGAAACAAAACAACTACTTAAAAACTCTCTTCCCATCGTCGCCGGAGAGCTAACTGTCACCGGAGAAATGGGTGTTTGTTACAAAGAGTGTTTGAAAAACCACGCGGCTAATCTCGGCGGCCATGCTCTCGACGGTTGCGGCGAGTTTATGCCGAGTCCCACCGCCAATTCCACTGACCCTTCTTCCCTCCGTTGCGCAGCCTGTGGCTGCCACCGTAACTTCCACCGCCGTGACCCTTCCGAGAATCTCAACTTCCTCACCGCGCCGCCGATTTCCTCTCCTTCCGGCACTGAATCGCCGCCGTCTCGTCATGTGTCTTCACCTGTTCCTTGCTCTTACTACACCTCAGCTCCCCCACATCATGTGCTTCTCTCTCTCAGCTCCGGCTTCCCTGGCCCGTCAGATCAAGATCCAACGGTGGGTAGGTCAGACAACAGCTCAAGAGGAGCAATGAGGAAACGAACGAGGACCAAGTTCACGCCGGAGCAGAAGATCAAGATGAGAGCGTTCGCTGAGAAAGCAGGTTGGAAGATCAACGGCTGTGATGAAAAGTCGGTGAGGGAGTTCTGTAACGAAGTTGGGATTGAGAGAGGAGTTCTTAAAGTGTGGATGCATAACAACAAGTACTCACTTCTCAACGGCAAGAACAGAGAGATCGAACATGGTCTGTGTCTGAACACTCACAGCTGTAACAATGATGGTGATGGGTCTTCATCTTCTTGAAAGAAAGATTAAAGATTTGGGTTAAACCGTATTAGGATACTTTAATTTGGGAAAATATGAGCATTAACCGGTTTTAAAATCTTATTATGATAGTGTTCTTTCTCTCTAACATGTTAATCGATCTTGATATATATATATATTTATGCAGTTTGATATTTTCTGTTGTCTTCACATTGACAGAGATGTCTGTGTTCAGAGATCATGATGGGTTTTTGATAATAAATGAATTTTTAATACGAAGGGTAAACTTAAAAGCCAATTCGATCGATAGATCATTTCTAATTATAGTAAGTGCCCTAATTGTGATTTGTAGAAATCAAAAGATTCGTTTCTTTGTTTACTTTGCTTATATTATTCAATGTTATCTTCTGTATTATTGGAAATAATCACCTGAACTTTAGAGATAAAGTAAGTAAAGTTTGCTTAATGAAGATACGACGACGTGGTTTAATCAAAAATTGTAACAAACTATGGCGTGGCAGAATATAATTAGGGCATCTGGGCGGCACATTATTGTTATACTATATCATATGATTTAAAGTTATTAAAATGCGGGCTTATCTCTTTCCATTTAGGGGATAAGCTTTGGCAACAGCAACCTTGCTTACTTATCCTCATTAAGAATAATACAAATGTTACAATATCGATTTATTAAATATCTATTCTTGTTTGTGGCTCTTCTCACACCACTAATTAATATTTATTATAGATTCATTTTATTTCCCTATTAAAAGCAAAGAAATCGGTCCTCATGTATCTTGATTCTTGACGAATCATAGCAAATGCTTTTTCACGTATAAAGCTCAAATGCTTGGGACAAAACTATATTTCACCATGTATGTACGAAGTAACGAAGCTAAAAGCCTGAACAAAAGACAAGCCGGTACGATATATCCGTGGCAGACAGACCATTGTATGCCAACAAGCTTTGTAGATCAATGACTTTAACTACATGCACTATATAATAGTTAATGATCCAACTTATGGTCTACAAGAACACATTTTTGTATGCTACTATAAATTACAAATCGGTAAGTACTGCTTATGGCAGGATGATTGATTGAAAATTTTGTATGCTACTATAAATTACAAATTAAGATTCCATTCGGACAAATCATATCGGATTTAGATGTTTATTGGTCCGATGAATGAATGTAGAGGGACAGTCGATATCATTAAGGTTCACACATTTTATATGCTTCCGTGGAGGGACAGTCGATATCATTTGAGAGATAGTTTCAAACCTTAAATGAGAATGATACTAAATGGGATCTCCGACAAACATTTGAATACCATACATGCTTCAAACTATATATATAGCTCAAAGTTAAACTCGAATATTATGGATACATAATGGCTGTGAATTTGTTAGGGTTTTTTGAAATAAAAATAAAAATCTGCTGAAACGGGCAAGCTAGGAGGAAATAAATATAACTCAAAAGCCCATCAGTTTATTCATTTTGCTTTTTCGAGAGCTAGACCCAATAACAGACTAAAGAACATTTTATCAACCAAGCCACAATTAAGGGATCCGTTAAGTCATTCACCAACCCAAGACTTGGAAAGGTAAACCGTTTAAGCATTACAAGAAATCAGTATCCGGTTCAGTGGGGATCTTTCCATCCAGAATCAATAAATGATTATTCAAGACCATGATCATATGTTTTACTCCAAGTTTAGGTTTAGGATCATGTCTACTTCCTATAACCATTCAAAACATTGATATGTCTGAAGTAACCTAACCCCTATCCATGATCCATAATGAAAAATATCTGGTCCGAACCTAAGTAAAAGCTAGCCATAATTTAATAGACCGAGTGTTAAAAAGATAAATTTAAATCAATACATAAACACACAGACGAGTCAAATAGTTAAATAAGTCGATTTATGTAGTAGATTTTCTTAATAATTATGCAGTTGTCGTCATCAACATCATTATCAATTTATCATAGAAAAGTGACGTTTATTGTTAATTGTAACAAAAATTGACGTTCATTGTTTATGATTTAAGGAGTATTACCAAAAAAAATGTCAACAATCATACATTTAAAAGAGGAGTGGATACGTCAGCATCAATGTCTGGTCCATATCTACGAGAACACGTGTAGCATTGCATCTCTATTCCACGTTGAAAATGAAACCAAATTTGGCGAAATTAATTTTGCTTTTAACACCTAAAAGAAAAGGACTAAATAATAAAAGACGCATCGAAAATTAAAATGGAGTTTTTTGAACTTTTCAACATATAAAAATGAAGCATCTGCCATATAATGATGCACTACATTGTTTGTCAATCAAAGTTATGGACAGTGACTTGCCCATGTTTGGACGGTCGAAAGGCCAAACTCTCACGAGGTTACATACCCGAACCCATCAATAATACACCTACCAATTGTTCACCATAAGCTAGCTACATTCTACACACGGGCAATTATATTCCGGGCTAGGTCGTGATCCAATCCAAATTGTCACAATTTTCACAAATATAATTATATATATTTTTTAATTAACAACTTTTATAGTAACTAAAACCCTGTTTTGAAAATCAAACTAACTTTACATAAAATATAAAAAATATGAATAGTTTGTTATCTTATCTGTTGTATTCGGACTATCTAATTATTTCATAAAATATATTTAACTTGAAATCTTATTTTCTAAATTTTTGAAATACTAGTATCCTATAAACTGTACGCATTATCCCGTCATTTTTATGATTGTAAATAGTAATTTTATTTGATTTATATCCGCTTTTATTTAATCTTTGCCTTATTCATGCACATATATAGCTTATAATTTTAGTAATGAAATTGAGTAAAAAGGTGGCTTACAATTAATGAAAAATCTAAAGTTTTAAGATTAAAAAGTGGTTTTAATTAAAGAAAATCTACAATTCTATAAAAGTAGTGTGGTTGAAAATGGTTTTTAATTAAAGAAAACCTCACGTTATGACTCTTACAAGATGATATTTTATTTTCTGACAAAAACAAAAGAGCTGTTTTTTTTTCTTTTCTTCTAAACCTTTAAATGAAACAGTTGAAACTCCAAGAGAAAAAGGGCAAGAGTGAACCAATGAATGTTTGAAGCAAAGTGACAAATGGAGAATAGCCCGAGAAGCAATGTCATACCTTTGACTCTTGAGTTCTCCCACGTTGAACTTTGTCCGTTCTCCGAGACAAATGACCAAAACTAAAGTTTTCATTACATACATATATTCGAATCATTTTAATTCAAATCCTAATGTATTGAATATCATCATGCTACAAAAAACAAACTTTATTCTCTCTTCTCCCTTTCGGACATCTCAAGCACACTTATTTTTGAAACCCAAAAATAAAATAAAAACATTAATATCAAAAGAAAAAAATGAGAAAATATATTTAATTTAGAAAGCAAGATATTATTACCATAGGGGAGATATTACATAAAAGAAGAGTTGTGTAAGAATGAGATATTTTCCCATCCACAAATCTCGCACCTGATTCCATAACAAAAAAATTCATCTTCTTCTTCAACGCACATCTAGTGACTTTTTATATGTCCGTATACGTTGTCTCTCCCAATAGTTGAAAGATCTCTTGACGAACTTTTTTTTGGAATTTTCTTGGGGTGGCAAAAGTCATTAAAAACACTAATCATGTTTATGTACCTCTTGAAGACGTTTTTGCGTTTACTTTAAACCACACAAACGCGTTCGAATGGGTATTCTAACGACGACGAAGACTTATACTAACTTCGATTTTGGTGTTGGTTTTAAACAGTTTGTGTACGGTAACACTTTCGTAGTTCTCGATGCTTTCTGGGGTTCTCTCTCTAATCTCTTCTTCTCATTCAGGTAACGTTAAATTTCTTCTCCTTTGTTTTATTTTCTCTGCTTTCGAGTTCTTATTGGTTAATGGGTTTGTGTTCATTTAGAGTTAATTCAGACAAAGAGACAAGCTTGGTCGTGTTCAAGAAACATAACACAAGCGATTCCTCTGTTTACGGAGATCAAAATCAAATTGGTGGAACACAAGACGATGATGAGATGGAAAGCTCTCTGGTTTCGATTAGCAAGAGATGCGAGTTTTATTCCGACAAGAAAAGTATCGTTGGTTTTGTAGAAGAGCCTAAAGCGTTTACCTTTAAGTTTCATGATTACTCTGCTACTGTTCAGGAGGAGGAGATGAAGAAGAAGAAGACTGTGAGATTCTCGGATATTGAGGAATCGAACACGACTTCCATGGGTTTGGAGAAATCAGAATCAGAGGATTTTGTGAAGGAACACGTGAAAGAAGAGATGTTGGTTTATGAGTTCATGAATTGTTGTGTCTTAAAAGAACTTTTAGATCACGAAGAAAACTTGTTTGATGATGATGATGATGGGTTTATAGAACTCAATCCAAGTTTACAGAGATCTCACTTTGCTTATGGAGAAAGAGAAGAAGAAGAAGAGTTTATGCAGAGAGAAGAAGAGCTGATGAATATGGGGTTTGATGAACAAGAAGAGGTATATGATGAGTATGATGATGGTTCAGATTCAGATGATGATGAGTTTGAGCATAGTGATGTGATTGAGAAACTGAAAACAGAACTAAGGACTGCAAGAACAGGAGGATTATGCACCATTCTTGAGGAATCAGAGACTACATTGGAAGAGCTGAAACCACTCAAGATTGATTCAAAACCAGATCAGCACAAAGACAGAATCTCTGAAATTCACAAGGTTTACAAGAGCTATGCGGTTAAGATGCGAAAACTCGATGTCATCGATTCTCAGACGATGCATTCCATCAGTAAGTTAATCAATCCCTTTTTTTAATCAATGTTAAACGTTTTTGACATATTAGCAATGACATGTCTTTAGAGTCTTTTAATATTTGTCTGATTCCACCTCTTGCTTTGATTGTGAGGACATGAATGATTGTCAAAGAATGTCTCTTTCCTTCTTAAATGTTGTCTCAACTACTCGAAGTATAATATTTGTTGGTGGGGTCTATAGTAGTAACATATTGGGTTTGATTTGCAGGTTTGCTAAAGCTAAAAGATTCACCTAAACCAAGCAAAAACAAAGCTAAAGCGCCTAAATCTCCTCTGCATCAGAATCTGTGGCCATTCAAGAAACATAAGCTTGAATGCGATCCGATTGAGAAAGAAGCTAGTAGAGACTTTGAGACTGTCTATGTAGGCCAACTTTGTCTCTCGTGGGAGATGCTTCAATGGCAATACGCTAAAGTCTTGGAGTTTGATTCTCAGGTTCCTTTTTATCAATACAATTTAGTAGCTGGAGAGTTTCAACTATTCCAAGTTCTGCTTCAACGGTTTGTGGAGAATGAACCGTTTCAGAACTCATCTAGAGTTGAGACTTACTTAAAGAACCGTCGCCATTTTCATAATTTCCTTCAGATTCCCCTTGTAAGAGGTAAGTAAACATGTTTTCACTATTCAGTTTATGTACTAAGCCTTTCTTGCTAATACAAAAATCTGCAATGTTTTCAGATGACCGTTCCTCGAAGAGTAATAAGAAATGTAAATATGAAGGAGAATTCGCGGTAAAGATTGAAATGTTGAGAGAGATTATCCGAGAGTCAATGAGTGTTTTTTGGGAGTTTCTTTGTGCAGACAAAGATGAGTTTACTTCAATGATGAAAGTTTCTCACCAAACTCAAGTCTCTCCACAAGATCCTCTAGATCTTGAGCTCTTGACAGATATCAGAACTCATTTCCAAAAGGTATGTAACTCTCCCATTATCTCCCATTCATTTTGTCAAATCACATCAATGTTCTATATCCCACTCAAGAATTTGTTCTTGCTGTAATGTAGAAGGAGAAGAAGCTAAAGGAAATACTAAGAAGCCAAAGCTGTATAGTAAAGAAGTTAAAGAAGAATGAGTCGAAGAGTAGTGTTGGAATCAAGGATGACATACTGATAGCTCAAATCGAACTGAGACTTGTTTCAAGAGTGATGAACATGTCAAAACTTACCACTGAGAAGTTAGTTTGGTGTAGGGAGAAACTTGACAGGATCAGCTTCAACGGTCGAAAGATTCACATGGAACCATCTTTCTCTTTGTTACCTTTTTGAGCCTTCTCTGCATATAAGATTTAGATCATAGATGTTGGAACATTTTGGCTTCATCAGATCCAGGAAGATGTCTTTTTGTTGTTGTTCCTGAGAACAAAATTTTATATCATAATGATGATATATTGTAGCTTAGTTTTGTGATTTTCTCCTTCTACATTTTATTACTACAGTTGATTAATCTATGATTAGTTGAATAAAATCACAATAGAAAATATTTATTTTCACATTAAAGATCCGAATTCATATACAAAGCCACAAAGGACCTTTATTCCTGAACACTACACAGTACACTACACACTGAAGCAGCAATGTATTTCTGATTCAAACCTTGAGGCTTGAACTTATAGTGGGCCTTGGGCCGTTTGGCTTAATAATCTCTGTTTTGTAAGCCTAACAAGCCTGTAAAATCTCGTCTGTTAATGATCATAATTCAAGATGTGATCTGATCCGTCCGATCTAGGGCAAAAGGGTATTGTAAGTGAAAAAGCCCTTATATAAGATTAAGCTTAGCTTATAAAGCCACTTCTCTGCTCCGTCAAGCTGAGGAGGATAAAACCCTAGCAGATACGAGAGGGTTGTGAGAGAGAGAGAGAAGCGAAAATGGTGCAGCGTCTTGTTTACCGATCGAGGCACAGTTACGCCACCAAATCAAACCAGCACCGGATCGTCAAAACCCCAGGTCTGTTCTGTTTCTTCAGCTGAGAAATCAAATTCTGGATTCACCGATCTATCAGATGTGTAATGTATTTTGTGTATTCTTTGATTTGCAGGAGGTAAATTGACTTACCAGACCACAAAGAAGAGAGCCAGTGGTCCTAAATGTCCCGTTACCGGCAAGCGTATCCAGGGTGTAAGTAGTCTTCTGTTTCTTATCTCTTAGATTTGATTTGGTAACATGTTGATTCTAAAGTTGTGTCCTTTGATTGATTTTGGATTGACCCGGAAATGATAATTAGATTGAGTCTTTGAGTTGATTGTGTTGAGGTTGCAAATGCATTGATTGTTGCAAATGTAGTAGCTTTGGTTGATTTGTGAGTGTGCTTATTGACGGTCTTGTGCTGGTTAGATGAATCCACATCAGTAGATAACTTTATCATAAGCTAAATTTAGTGCAGCCTTGTTACTTTTAGTTTTCTCCTTTTGTATGTAAGGAGTCTTCTTTTATCTTGGCGGCAGAAACTTTTGTACTATGTGTATGTATTTTGTATTCTTGGTGTCTGAAAATGTATTAGTTTTGTTTCTGTTGTGCTTATTGACGGTCTTGTGCTGGTTAAGATTAATCCACATCAGTACATAACTTTATCATAAGCTAAATTTAGTGCCGCTTTGGTCTTTACAAGTTTTCTCATTTTGTATGTAAGAGTAACCTTATTTCCTTGGCGGCAGAAATCTTAATAACTGTTATTGTTTGGTTTACATCAATTGTAATTGATGTGGTGTTAGTTGTTTCTGCCATCTTTCTTCAGCACCTAAACTTGTTTCTCTTTGATTCTTTAGATCCCTCACTTGAGGCCTGCTGAGTACAAGAGGTCTCGATTATCCAGAAACAGGAGGACTGTTAATCGTGCTTATGGTGGTGTTTTGTCTGGTTCTGCTGTTAGGGAAAGGTTAGTTCTTGAGCTCAATCTTTGTATCAGTTTTCTTTATAAACAAAGGACTAATTTAATTGCTTCTTGTGATTACAGAATCATCCGTGCTTTCCTTGTGGAGGAGCAAAAGATTGTGAAGAAGGTTTTGAAGCTTCAAAAGGCAAAGGAAAAGGTTGCTCCCAAGAGCTAGACCCATTTAGTTTTTATCTTTTATGGCTCTGTTCTAGCGATAGTACTGGTTGCAGAGAAACATTGTGTACTCATCCAAATTTTTAAGCTTTTTTGTATTGGTTTTGAATCTTTGCCTCTGTCGACAATTCGCTTCGGTTTTGATTTCTCGTTTCTTTGAGTTCATCCTACCCTCTTATCTTATCTTTTGGACATGATTAATACTTTTTATCGGTTTGAAGTATAAAGCTAAAATTGTTTATCCCGACGAGAAAATTACGAATCATATTCCTTCTCTTCGGTAGATTATCTGGATTAAACTTGTTTTGGGGACAAAAGCTAAACACAACAAAGACATACGCTTCTATATGTTTACTCGAATTGTTCTGTATGAAAATTACAACCCGATGATCACAAGGTTCAGATACTCAAGCCGCACACGTACAACGTCTTATATCATAACACATACTCCTCCCAGTTAAGCTTTAGACCAAAGCATTTTGTAAACACCATAACTCTGAGTGAAGGTAGTAACTATTTTGACTGAAATGCTCAGATATACATTATGGAGGGTACAAATATTGAACAAAAATCCTCAGGCTCAGACTTGCAAAAACTCTCAAGTTTGGGTGTTTGTATCAGAAACCTTGCTTCATCCAACTCGCTGAATCAAGATTTTTTTGGCAAGGATCGATTTATAGGTCTTGAAAAATTTGTAACACCTAACTTTCATTATATGATATTTATTCTCTTTCATTGCCGATTGCCTAATCTGCTATGGTATGACGTAATTATATTGGCATGTAAAATGTTCTTTTCATACTTAAATACGACTCCGGATTAAGTTTATAACTCATTGTGTTTATGAGTTAGGAATCGTTTAAAAAAAAAACCCATTAGTTTGAAAGAAGAATCCGAAAAAAGCAGAGCTTTAAGCAAACATATAAAAATCTTGGGGATATGATCATGTTATATCATAAATATATTGAATAACGTCTCTCAAGTAATGGAGAAAGAAGTAGACAATGAGGAATAGTAATTATCTAGCAACATGGAGTGATGCTTCTGATCTCCAACATTACTTGAAGGCAAGTGATGTAGAGCATGATGATCCGGATTCGTATTACTCAATATATTCTCCTCAAAACGGGTCTCATGATGGTGCTCTTGTGGCAGACTCACCAATGCAGGACACTGTTCTTGGGCCAATACCGAACTAGTGAGGTCCCCTATATGATTTGTGTATTCTTCCAGAAACGATGAGTCTGTTGACGAGATCATGTAGTTGGTAATGAACTTTGGGAACTGAGGTGGTTGTGTTTCTTGTGGGAAAAGCAAGAGGTTTCTCAGGTGCTGTTGGTCTAGACGAGAGCCAGGACTGTCGGAGGAACTGAAATCCAAGTAAGAAAAGGGGCTAGTAGTTGTACAAGTACTAGTCTTGGTAGCCTCTTTATGATCGAAGCATGAACTCGGTTGGGTAACATTCATGTCTTCATTGTAAAACTTGAAGCAAGAACTATTTTGGAGGATCTTGTCTGAAGAAATTTGGGATGTGTTTGATGGTTTTTCATAGGGTTTTATATGGGTGCTTTCGTCTTGCGGTAATGAGGAAACAAAGGAGTGAGAGATAGCTCTAAAAGCCGTTGTGTTTATCTTCTTTAATATTCTGCATATTGCCCATGAATCCTGCATTTCACATATACAAATAAGATTAAACTAACTAGGTAACAAAATAAATAGTCCAAAGGAAAGAAAAATACGAAAGAGTATAAAATATAAAAATAAGATTTGACTGCAAAAAATCAAAGAAAAATACAAAAAAAAAAGACTTGTTTTTGGTCCATAAATAAAACTTATGCACAATTAACTACAGACAAAAGTATCATTTGTCAACTTTATAAGAAACTAATTTCTTTATATAAACGAAACCATGTCATAAATTATTGACTAATTAATTGAGTTACCTTTAACTCAATTCCTTTAAACACATTACATATCTATATGCATGGAATTATACAACATGTCAACATATGAGCGTATAACTAAAATACTATGGTAGCTTAAGTGCTTAACCACTAATTAATAACGTGTACATTGCTTACGTTTGAAGAGACATGATGAGTATCACCGAGGGTGTGTGAAGAAGTAGAAGGCAAACGGAACTCATGCATCATCCAATCTGTCTTAATGCCTTTAGCAGCTTTTCCACTGTAATACACAAGTGACTTCCTCAGGCCAATGAATTTGCTTCCGTCCGATGAGTATATCGGCCTGTCCGTTCCCGTGGCTTTCCAGAATCCAGCACCAGTCACTCGGTTCGGTCTCGTGCTGTTCCTATACTTTCTATCTCTTGGACAGTAGAAGTACCACTCTTTCTCACCCATCATCGCAAATTCTACATTCATCAAACATATATATTTTAGGGTTTTCGAAAGAAGAGGAAGATATGTAGAAGGTAAAAGAGATTGTACGTACTTGGAAGATCCCATGGGTCATATTTGTAGATGTCGAGCTGTGTAATGAGCTTGATGGAGAGTGGGCGATTTTCAACCTTCCGCTTAAGATAGAAACTCACGAGCTCTTCGTCTGTTGGATGAAATCTAAACCCAGGCAACAACACATCTTCCATTTTCATAGCTTCTTCGTTAATCTCTCCCATATTAGTATTAGTGAATGTTTTGGACAAGTGCTTAAACTTTGAACACTTTGTGTATGAAGAAAGATATTGTGTTAGTGTGACAAGAGTAGTGAGATTTTTTTTAAACCCTAAATGGAAAAAAGAGAGAGTTGGTATGAGTGAAGTTTATTTGCTTGATTCGAACACAAATATATGCTGCCCTGTGAGGGGTCTGACCCCGAAGGATCAGCCGCCTTTTCTGCTGATTTATTGACAAATATTTTAATGGAGATCAGAGTTTAATTTGTTTGAAATCAAAAGTGTTTAAGTACTTAGTAGAAGCATCTCTAGATCAAAGTTTGCGTACTGTCTTGGGGTATACGTCATAGTATAGTTTAAATTTGACCTCTTTTTGGACTGTCTTATATATGGCAAGAGAAGTTGCATCATTTGTTTGTAACCAAAATACGTTTGGCATGCATATACTTTTTCCATTGTCTAACTATCTTGACTTCCTATTAATTAGATACGTATCGTGGAATTATAAAAGCGTCTACGTGACATGTTAATATTTCTCAACGTTGTGTTAGTTTTTGTAACCAGTTCGTTTTAAATTATTTGAAGGTTCTATATAAGGCAATAAGCATTATAGTGAATAATTTATACAGTGTGTAATTTATTATTTATGTAAACTCATGTAATTAATTAAGAAATGTGTTAAGGCCGTCCCTCTTGTTTGACGTGTGTGACAAAAACCGAGGCGTACCAAAAGATTCGAAACTAGAACTAACATAGCATTAGTTAAATTAATTTAGTTTTAAAGAATCTAATGCTATGCTCAAAATCCGAAATATCTCTGAACGTTTCATTCTTATTCGAACAGCTTCTTCTATTCCCACTGATTTCTGTCAGGCACTAGCAAATTTAGGTTTTTGACTCTAAAGACAAATGCTAACATGTGTGATTGAATATATAGTATGTTAACAATTCTATCCCTTTTTAAAAATCTAATCGGATGTTTTCTTCTGTTGTATTCTTCTAATCGCTTAATTTTGACCACACTATACTTCTCATAAAATTTATCTACGACAAAAGAATGACTTCTATACGATTTTCATGTCCACATGCATGTGTATTAGTTTTGAATTAGTGAAAGTGATTAGACAAAATAAATGAATACTTATTAATGACTTGTAGATACTACGAACTAAAAAACACATTTACAAGAGGGCGCCTGAAATATTCACAAGGTAAAAAGTCAAATCTGCCTATTTTTAACTTCTTAATTTTGATGTGGGTTTTGGCAAAATATCGAATACCAAAGTATAGAATTTCTCAATAATTTTCTTGCTTTTAGTAAATCTGGTTGAGGTTCAAAATTTACTTCATCAATAACCTATGATTTCTTTAATATTTTCTTCTCTACAAGTACCATCAATTTTATCAAGTATTTACTTTAGTGTCAAATAGTTATTAATACACATACCAGCTAAATAGGTAAAAATTTGAAATTTTTAAAAGTGACCGAGACTAATGCATGATGTTCAACTAGACTTTATATAGAAGTTGTACTAATTACTACTCTGTATTTAGTATTTACGTTACGTTTTACTTTTGTTTCCTAACGAATTTTAGAATTTCAGTATGACTTTTAAAGTCAGTATCCTATTGATTGACTTACTCCAAACCATGATCGAACTATAGGCCAAACTCTAAGAATACATCAAATTCAATGAGATCACAAAAAGCCAAGTTTCCTCGGTTAATACCCATTTTGTCTCTTCAAATTTTCTGTTGACTCAGTTTGTTTGTTTTTTAACTTCCCAAACGTGTATACTTGATTTTAGAGCTTTAATTAAATTTTAATGACCCATTGTCTTATTAAGTAATAGTATGAAAATGTTAGGAGTCAAAGTATGGAAGTCTTCAAGCCCAAGCATCCATACCTCTGTCTTCGCGAACATGTTGTATGAGTATTAATAATGTCTTTGGCTCTGTCTTTAGAAAACACATTTACATTGCACCCAAAAAGTCTACTCCATCTCCACTACCATTTTTGAATAATATATCATTAGAGTAACCGACCTCCTTAATCAATCCTCATCAATAAGACTATGGTCAATTAATTGAATAAGAAAGATTTTGGCTTGCACTACAAAATTCAAAGAATCCAATATTAAAATAAGGAGAATTATAAATTTATAATATGTGGACACTTCACTATGTCCAGATCTAAAGAACCATACACTCATTGCAAGAGAGCCTCTAGAACATTATCAGATCATCAACTCTCTCTAATCCGTTGCTAGCACTCACAAACAATGCTTAAACTGCACTACTTCACTTCGTATCATCTATCTATTGGCTATATACACTTGGAGACCATTTTTTTGCAGAATCTATAACCTCACAATTCTCCTCTGCTCTTCAAATTCATCTACTCCAGTGCTTCCTCCCTCTTACCATAGCCACAGTTGTTTTATATGATTTTCTAAACTACATTATTAAAATGTAACTAAGTATCAAGTCCTTATGAAAGACCTTGTAGACAAATAGATTTAACAAAACCAGTGTGTGGTACAATAATACATGCAAAACAAAAACCCAAAGTAGAACAACAGCTCGATAATGTTTATATACAAATCTCAACTTCAACTACTTAGCTCTTGGAAAAAGAAAGGCAAAACGCAAACCAGTTCTGTTTCTGATTTATAAAACTACACCTCCGTGACACAAGTATCATCCATTAGCCAACCTCAGGGCAGATAAACAAACATATATCCAAAATCCAATGTCTTAATCTTCTTTGAATTCTTTAGTAGGACGTGCTTCGAATCCTCCATCTTCTCTTTTCTCAAGAGAATATGGCATGTAAGTTCCCAGAATACGATCCCACATGACAAAGAAAGGCTGAGAGAAATTGTATTTGGTTCCATAGAGCTGATGATGGATATCATGGTAAGCCGAGTTGTTCTTGAAGACCATATGGAATAAGTTTCCAGGAAGCCAGAGACCACAATGGTCATCCACGGTCTTGATTGTGGCGAAAGAGAAGAAGAAGATGGAAGTTCTTGGAGACATACCAGAGACTAGGAAAGATAAGGCCCCACCAATTGTATCCAAGAGAAGACCTTCCACTGGATGGTTGTATAACGCTCCATATGCATATGGGACAATGAGACGGTGGTGTTGAGAGTGGATATGTTTGTATAAGAACTTGTTGTGATGCATATATCGATGCATGAAGTATTGCCATGTGTCGAGGATTATCATGGCTGTCACAAACTGTCTTGCTAGAACCAAAAGGGAAAACTGTTGCGCTTTGTCTGCTTCGTCATCACTTTCTGTCACCTGCATAGACAATAGAGCAGCATATTTGATGAGGGTTAACGCAAGAAACCAGAACAAACAAAAAATAAGTTATTCCATGGTATTGACAAATCATCTATGAGAGACGAGTCAAATAAGAAAATGAAATCTCTCAAAGACATTTCTAGTAACCCGCGCGGTCCACGACATAACAAGTACTGAGGCTAAACAACATTCAAGTGCCAGGAAATGCAGCAGAGTAGAGGTAACGAAGGCAAACAATAATCTATGACACAGCTTCAGGGATTATAACAGCATTCCTGCTATCACTACATAATAACTCATTGTAATTTATTCAACAAACAACCTTGTCTAATCAGATTTAGAAAGGTTGTTTATTGCTACTCGGCTATTTCTTGGTTGAGTACAGTTTTCTCATCACTCATCAGCTAAGCTGATAAAAACCAAAACCAATACCTTCCTTTACTCCTCTCTGAATCCAATACAACTGAAAAACACAGGACTAACCAACAGTCCTAGGGTGAATTCTAGAACAACCTACTCTCTCACAAGTCCCAAACCAATTGCCAATACACTAACAACGCCTTTCACTGGTCTCTTAAATCCTTATTACTCAAGCTATCCTCTAACTCTAACTCTCTGTCTAGTTTATAACACTAATAGTCATGAAAGATTAAGAATAGTTCATCTATAATCTATATCCAAGACTTAAAAACTTTCTTCTGGCATCCTTACTTTAAATTTGGTCAAAGAACCTACACATTTGACAAATGCTCCAACTAAAATCAGATCATTAATGCAAAAAAAAAATTCTCTTTTTGGGTGGAAAACTACAGCAACCCAAAAAGATTCAACCTTTTGTAAAATTCATCATCATCCATCACACCCATAAAAACGTCAGCATCAGATATCAAGATTCCCCAATTTGTTACCATTTTTTCACTCAAACTTCACAAAGCAAAAAACTCCAAAATGGGGAGAGAAGAAAAAAAAAAACCAAAACATTACCGTGAACAAAAGGATAGCGACAACAGCTTGAACAACCTGCTGAAGAAGAACACCTTTCACAACAGCAGATTTCGAGACAAGATTCTTCTCTGCTTCTTCAGCCTTAGAATGTAATCTATAACTCTCCAAAGACGACAGCGCTACGTATATCCCAGAATACAACCAATACACCACAATTGGAGCAACAGTTCCAAGCAATTCATCCGATACAGCAAAACCCATCATTCCCTAAAATCTCTCCTAATCTCAGATCCTCTTCATCAACCAAACGCAAATGATGCAGAGGGGAGAAAAAAATATCCCAAAAAAGCTAAAGATTATTCTTTTCACAGGAATCGAGAGAGACAACTTCCAAAGGTTTGATTTTTATCTTTCAATCGGGGAAGATTTGATAATTGAATCGATGATTGGGGATAGTTTAGGGTTTGGGCGTATTGAGTTGACAAATCAACGATGAAGAAGGAAACAAAACCAATACTTGCGTTTTGTCTGAGAGACAGACGTGGCTGAACTGTACTCATTGACAGAAAAAAAATTAAAATATCCAAGTTATCCAGTGAGGTCATATCTACAGTGACCTGACCTACGTGACGAAATCTAAAGCGTTTATAATTTTTGAGTTGATCCTTAACGTTCGATTCGGTAACCAAAATATCTCGTTAACGTGTTACTTATCGTATCTGATTTTCACTGTTACCGCTTCGTGATTGGTTTGTTTCATGTCGTCTGTGAAAACGACGCCGTATATGTTGGATGCTTGAAAATTTTGATAATGTTGGGTTTTTAAATATTTTGATATATCAACTTGTAGAAAATACAACATTATTTAGCTTCACAATTGATCAAATTTCCAAAAATTGTATAACCCCGTTTCAAACCGCACATAAGATGATCCATAAGATAAAACAGTGTGGTACTTGATCGAGTGGCTTAACTGGAGAAATATTAAGACAAGATATGATCTTTAATTTCGCTATTTCTGTATAAATGTTTTGGAATAAACATAGAGTACGTACTATATCATATAAGGAGGCAATATGAATTAATCCTTCTAGTGAAAAACAAACAAAAAACAACAACTACAGAAAACCATCTTTTCTTTTAAACACAAGTTTACGGAAACTAATTAAAGAACTCGAAATGATGCTGCCTCCGTTTAACATCCCAGATTCAACCTAGTGTCGTAAATCTTTTCTCGGTTTGTAACAGTAGTTGTTTTGTATTACCCAGGTCTAAAGCCCAATTTGGGATCATGAGATGGCACATTAGTAAAGGCATAGTATTTGACCCAAAAAAAGAGTAAAGGCATAGTATTATGTCGTAATGCAGTAGAATAGTCTACTCAGAGTAGATGATTTGATACTCTAAAAGTAATTAAATATAGAGACTAGATGATGGAGAGTATAAAATCCTTTCTTTTAAAAACAAAATTATGGAAACTAAAGAACTCGAAATGATAATTAAAAATTGGTCCAAGACATACAGTATTATGTCGTACTGAAATAGTAGCTAGTAGTAGTAGTCTACTCATAGTAGAAGAATAATAGATATATAATTTGATACTCTAAAAGCTAAGTAAATATAGAGATTAGATGATGTGAGAGTATTTGGTTGCAGAAACAATTTTGAATTCGGCCACAACATTCAAAGTGTCGTCTTTGTCCAAGTAAGTCTTCCGAAGTTCAGCTAAAGCCAAAAAGTGTTTCCACCCCCAACCCAAGTTTGATTTCTCGTGCCAGTGTTTTACTGCAAAAAGAAAAAAAAAAGAAAAAAAAAAAAGAGAAGTGAAACATAGTTAAAAGAAAAAGACGAATGAATATCTCAAGAAGTATGAATTAATTATTGTTATGATTATTATAAGATAATAACACAACTGTCTTATAGAATACGAAACTACATTGGTATCCCATATGTTTGGAGCCAAGCGGGTCTAGAACTCGCAAATGTACTTGCGTGAATATCTTCTCATCTGATTTTAGTGTTTCAGTATCAGCTAAATGAAGATAAAGGGATAAATGTTTGCCATCTGATATAGAGTCACCCTTCGGATGCAGCTTTAGAATCCTACAACGTAACGCATGAAATATTATTGGACTCGTTAACATTTACACACTTGTATCTTTGTATAGTTACGTACATATTTCTTAGTGCAACATAGATATATATATATATAGAGGTACTAACCATTTCCTTCCTCCCAATTGAAAAACTTTTGGATGTGTAAACAGTCTCTTTCAACTTAGAAAGATTCTCAAGAGTCCAAGAGAACTTATTAGGGATTTTCTCATCAAAAGAAATGATCTCCCAATTGGTAAGAGGCGGAGCAACAAGAACATCAACACCAAACTCACATTGACCTCCCTCAAAGATGTATCCATCCTCAGGGTTAATAAATGTATCATATGGAAGCACTTGTTGCAATCCCCACACCATTTTGAGCGCATTGAACCGCTTTACTTGTACATCTGAAAATGTAATAGATATGGCTTTGTGAATATATGTATATACATACACGCATAGGTCTAACTAAAGAAATAAAAAGTTTCACCTTGAATAGTAAAATACTTGTTTTTCTTCTTGTTGTAGACAAAGAAGCGGAGTTCAGCGAAAACCTCAGTTGGTGGTGTGGATACCATCAAGCTCGTGCTGTCTAATTCCACGTACATGGATATATATCCACTTCCATTGTCCTTTTCGTTCCCTTTCGGATATACTATCAATCTCCTGTTTTTTTAAGAAACAGGACATAACTATTGATATGTCTTGTATGTTCTTCTGAAAACCGTATGACTTTATGTCATAGCTTGTATGTATGGGAGTTTAAGATATATATATATATAGATATATATACATTATATATATTTTTATAACGAAAAAATAAACAGATATATTGATATTTCTGATGATGATGTGAACAACGAAGAAAGCAAGATTTGGGTCTCTAATATATATACTGTACATGGCGCTTAGACAATCCGATCCGTACCAGTTGTATTTACCGGAGGTGAAAAGATGAGACTGGTATTTTTGATCAGAGGCGGCGGTAGAATTCTCAAGTTGTGAGAAGTTTTGAATCTTAAAGGGAATAAGAAGAAGGAGGATGCTGTCTCCAGCTCCTCACAATTGGAGAAACTGCTGCTAGTGCTGCGCATGAACCCATTCCTACGAATCTTAAGCTATAATGTATTTGTTGTGGGCACTATATGTATTTGACTATTGAGTTCAATCCTAGGTTTTGGACAATATATAAGTACGTTTTAGGAAAACTAGGTTTATATATTATATTTTCCTAAAACTTACTTATATCTTTTTTAATAAGTTAAATTGTTAATGGACTATTCAATATGAGCATGCAAATAATAATTACTAAGATGCTATTAATAAGAATGCAAATACATATGTGTAATTGGAAATAACATATTAGGGAATGCGTAACAGTTTCAATGTCTCAAATCGATTTTATTAGAATTAGAAGAGCCATGACTCGTGAATCCAGGCGTTGACACCGTTTAGAGTATACAAAACATCCAAATTTCAACTTGTGTTTTCTCCCATATCTGTATTTTTATAGTCAAGAGAAATGTTTGAGTAATGACAATCTCATCTTTCTTAACAATCTGTTTGATTCTTATATTGGCAACCAGTGATTAATTAACCATTTACAAAGAGCTGCACAGAAGACGCTCATCCATGCATGAGAGATACAATTAAGATAGTTTAGGAGAAAATTTATGATCATTTCCCCATCATAGTAATTTGTGATGGAACTTGCACCTCTCGTGTATTCTGTGGGAAATTGAGTCTCCTCTGTCTAACTTTCTTTAATGTTCCTGAATAATAAAATAAAAAAAGAATAAAAACTGTGAGCATAAACAACTGTTTCTACAATAATATGATTTGCAAATATGGTATATGCTTTACTTGAATTATCAACAAATAGTCAACTTGAACAAACACAATATATAGACAACTTGTCTATGAGTCAAAAACTCATGTCATCGAAGTCGAACATGCGCCTAAATAGAAGAGAAGCTGAACGCTAATTTGTAAGATCAAAAACAAAAACAATTAAATATTTTCTTTTGAACAGAAATTTATAATTTACCAATAAGAAAAGCTGACTAACAAAATAAGGGAAACAACGAAGCAAAACAAACAGAGAGACAGTGTTCTCCAAACGTTTTAGGCTAAATAGCGGTAAAGTTTCCGGTCTGTACTATCCCTCTCCAAGAAATCGCGTTCAATGAGTGACTCGATTCTCTTCTTTATCTCTGTCGGGTTTGCCAAGAACCGCGACTGCAACTGTTTGGTGACCTCTGCGATTATGTTGTTGTGATCCAACAGTCGTCTCGCCTTCATAATCCTCACAATGGCTGCTTCAATCTGAGGTTTCCTGTCTTCTTCTACTCTCTGTCTCGTCTCTTGCTTCTCTGGTTCTGTCTCCTTTTGTGCCACCACTGTTCCTATCTTCACTTTGTAGAATTTGCTTGTGAACCTGTCGTTCACAACAAACGAGTCCTCTTCTGCTATGTCCTTGCTCATTGGTTCTTTTCTTAGCACGTTTTTACCCTTTACACATGCCATTGACTGCAAGCAACGCTTTAGATCTGACGCAGGGATTTCAGTTGCATGTTCGATCTCTTTGTAGCTTAGTCGATCGGAGTTGTTGAACAGCATAAGGACACACATTTGGAAAGTAGAAACATTTAGTTTGTGCCTTTGGCTCTTTCCAAACACTGCTTTGATATCTGCTGTGCCCATATTGGTTTGCCAAGATAACCTCCTCCCAGTGTGAGTCCCGAGGTAATATGACCTGAACTTCTCACACAGAACATAAACTTCTGCAGGTAGGTTACAATGTACGGTTGGCTGTGTGGGCCAAGAACCAGTTGTGAGAACCTGAACGACAAGTGTAGGCCCTTCTGAAAGTTCGGGATGACTATAATAAAATCCTAGCAGCGTGTCATGTGAAGTCTTCATGTCAGTAAACATACCTTCCAATTTCGAAGTGAACTGATATCCACATTCTGTCTTCAGTTTCACTATAAGATTCCTCTCTGCATCATCCGAAACTGTTTTTCCAGATAGAAGCCTTTTCGCCAGATGCTGTTTGTAGTATTTCTCAAAAACGTCTTTCTCCTGTAAGTAGCGGAACAACATCATCACCTTATCAAGAATAAGATCCACATCCTCTTCTCCCACACCTTTTAGTCCTTTTCGTAGGTTATCATCAACAAACAGGGAGATAAACTCAAGAGAACGGGTGTTCAAGTTGAGGAAATACTCAAACGAAGAATTCAAAGCATTCTAGAATGTCTTATCATTGCTGAATGCCATGTTGATAATTTTGTCATATTTATCCCTTTCATCCAGTAGACGCTGCACAAATTCAACAGGATCCTTTGATTTCTCTGGATCGGTAACCAGCTGTTTTCCCATCTCCCTAAGATGCAAAGTCATAACATCTCTGACTGTAACAAGACCATTACTAACCCTGCGGAACAAGCTGTACATTCTACCCATATCCTCATACTTGTCATTCAGAAGCATATTAACCAAACCTGAATTCTCCATGTGAACTAGTCTCTGGACATGGTTGGCAATCATCTCTCTTTCAACCACACTAGTAATCTTCGCTTCGCTCTTGGCATCCAAATAGTGAGCTACCCTTTCCACTTCTTCAGTGAGAGGTTTCTCCGCTTTCTTCAAGTAATCACCACAATCACAAGACTCAATGAATCCCTGTGACTCAACCTTGTAAAAATCAGCAGAAGCCCCCAAAAACGGCTTCTCAAAATCCTCCTGATACACAGATTCACCCAAGTCCATGAACATCTTAATCACATTCCTCATCAACACCCTATCAATAACTTCACCAGTCCGTTCCTTATGAACTAAATCAAGAAGCGTATTCAAAAGCCGCGTCTGAATCTTGCTCGAATGCACAACATTATCCCTCCACAAATGAAGTCCAAGCTCATGAACACGAGTTCGAAACGTAAGTCCGATCCATATACATCAGAATATCCCTAATCATTTGCAACGCTTTGTTGTGATCATCCCATTTCCTATTAAGCAGTTATAGAAACGCCCCTCCTTGAGCTTCTTCAATAGACTTACATATCTCTTTGAGATGAAACGTCATAGTGGTAACAAGTCCAGTATAAAGCTTCTCACCAAATTTATGTAGAACCATGTTGTACGCGTTCCTGAAAGAAACCAATATACATAAAAGTTTAAACACAGCTTCAGAACAACACAAACAACAAGGGCTTATACCAAAACTACTACCAGTAGCTAAATCAAAGTCAAATCTATGGTAGATGTAAAGCTCTTCGAAACTGAGTCCACTTGCGTTGTGATTGTAAATCTCATGAATCGCATGTTCGATGATCTTCCAAGTCTTGTCGGCGTATTTTGGATCAACCACGACTCATTGCTTAAACGCTTCAATCTGGAAATTTCTCTTCCTCTGATTACTCATGTTGATAAAAAAAAAAAAACTAAAATAGAAACAAAAAAAAACACCAAAGAGAATCAGAAAATCACTTCAAAGCAAAACAATTCTAGAAACAAGCAGGAACAAACGATGATCGAAGAATTGATTAAACCTTAGCTCTCAATCGAGGAGGAATCAGAAGAAATCGGAGGTTAGGGTTTGAGATGTTTGAAGAAGGAAGAAGAAGTTGAAGGTTGAAGATGATGATGATAGGCTGATAGCAATGGACCGGTTCGCAAACAAAATTTTTTATTTTTTGTAATTGTGTTCTTCTCCCAGTGGTTTTGATTACCTCTTTTGTTACTTCGTCCCCCTTGGTTCGAATCTTAGATCGATCAAAACACGTAGATAATAATAATAAAATGCATAAATGGGCTTTTAAATTGTTAAACGGATGGGCCTTAATTAAAAAAACTTGTGCCAAACAATACATGCCGTTTCAAAGAAGTCGTTCCTTGCTTATTTTTCTCATTCGGCAGACATTGAAGAAGAAGAAGAACAAAACACACTCCTAAAATCGTTCTTGGTTTTTCGAATTTTGTCTCTGAGTGAAATTTCTGGTAAATTTTTATTTGTTTTTCTAGCAAACTTTATGTCTTTGATTTTGTTTGGGTTTTTCAATTGTGGAAAGGATTACCAAAAAAGAAAGAGTCGAATTAAGAAAAGTTGCGATTTTGTGGTTCCTTTTTTTTTAATTATTCTCAGTTAAAACATAAAATGGATTTTTTTTTCCTTCTTGTTTGCGTAAATTTAACGCTTCTGTTCGCACGTCAAAGCAACGCTTCTTTTGATTCTGAGTGATATAAATACTCTAGCTTCAATTTTTTTTTTATTTCCCTGCAACTTGGCTTTTTCTTCTTTCTCTTTTATTTTCCAGCTGGTACTCTTCTCTCTTCTCTTTATTCCCAAATTTATGATTTTTTTGTTTTGTTTTTGTTTGCAATTATGATCTGAGTGCTTGCATTAGTAGTAGTCTAGTGTATGCTGGTTATAGATCTCTTTTTGCATTAGTAGTAGTCTAGTGTATGCTGGTTATAGATCTCTTTTTGGCAAAATTTAGTGTTTTTTTTGCCTGTCAAGTTTTAATCTTTTCGAGGATTTTGTTTTTTGAATGTAGCTAAACATGTCTGGTGAGTTGTGTTCGGTGAGACCTTTGTTCGGTGGCGCTATTTCCACTGCCTTCCCTCAGAGATTTGAGGTTCTGTCAATAACTCTGTTCTTCTTCATCTTCTTCTTCTTTCTTTTTCGCTGCTAATCAAAAAATGGGTTTACTGAATTTATTGACGGTTTTATTGTGAAACTTCAGGATGTGAGTAATATCCGACAAGTTCCAGATCATCAGGTTTGGTTCTTTCGTTGTTCAAAGATTTGGAATTGTTTCTAGTTAAGATGTGTTGAAGAACGGTCCTGAATATCTTTGTTGCTTTTATCATTGCTTTTACAGGAAGTTTTTGTGGATCCTTCAAGGGATGAGAGTTTGATATTTGAGTTGTTAGATTTCAAGACTGAGGTTGGTGACATTGGCAGTGCTTCTTGGTTCCTTAACGATCTTGCGAGTGAGCAAGATGCAGAAGGATTCCAGGTAACACACACTAGAACCCTTCTTATATGTTTAGAAGACAAATCAATTAAAAACTAGTGTTATATCTCTAGAGGTTCTTGATTGTAAAATGTTTTAAGCATATAGATTTCTCAAAGTTGGACCCTTTTTGTCTGAGATAACATTAGTGAGGCTGTTTTTGGGTTAATGTGGATGCAGTCTCTTAAACTAGTCGAAATAGAACTAATACTGGTGTGTTTGTGGTTAGTCTTTACCAATGTTGATATTTTATGAAGATAATCTAGTAATTTTGCCGTGTAATTTTCAGTTGATTGAGCAATCAGAGGTCATTGAGGCGCCTGGACTTTCGTACAGAAACATCCCTGCCGTTGCTACAACTGCTATTGGAGAGATGGTAATGTCCATAAACATAAATGTTTTTGGTTTGTTTGCCCATAAGTTTCCTTTTTATTTGTTTCCCTAACAACGATCATTACAGGCTATATCCAAAGGAAGGCAGGGAAGAGAGGCACAAAACCTAGTGAGGGTAATAAACCTTTTCATAAGTTTTTCTTTTGAGACACAATTTGTCTTATATGATGGTATATTCTGTAGGTATATGTGGCAAATCTTCGTCTTAAGGGAGTTGATACAGATGTCTTAGTGACTGCATATGAGCCTATTCTGATAAAGTAAGTCCCACAAACGTGAAGCTTTGAGACATTCAGTTTATATTGCAAGCAACTGAATATAGATATGCATTGTTTCTGATACAGAACTGAAATATTAAAAGATTGTTGCTGTTTCACATGTCTTTTCTCTCATGTGTTTGCGTATTGTGTAGCCCTCTGAGTGAAAGTGCGGATGCTGTGGGATCTGGTTTAGCTGTCCCAGCTTCACAATCTGGAAAAATGCAAATGTGTGATGTCATTAAACAATCACTCTCGACCTTCAAAGTCAATGACTGGAGTCTTTTCGGTTCCTCAGCTTGAGCCTATGCAAAACGAGAAGAAGAATCAAGCCTGCCAATTTGATGAGCTTGGTTTCTAGAAGTTTGCTTTGTTTAAGCCATTTTGGTTTAAGTTAGTCTTTTAGGTTTATAGTTGGAGCTTTATAAATAGATTTTTATAAAAACAGAGTTTGCCATTGATCTTATCAAGAACCTTGTTAAAATTTCATACACATCTTTAAAGGATCACTTGCTTCTTGAATCTCAGGTTAAACAAGCATGAATGGTGAATCATTTACCTGTATAGCACGTTCAGCTTCACAGTTTTGAATTGGACTCTATGGAAGCTTCAGCATGTAACGTGGCTGTTAATATACACTTATATGAGTTATTATAATGTGGCTGTTATATACACTTATATGAGTTATTATCTCAAAGTCCTTCATAAAGACCTTTATGTTTATACATGTACCTGTTCTCCACTTCCATAGCTATAGAATTATAATCGAACTTGGATCACTTAATTTCTCATTGTCTACACCAACATTATATGTTGAAGAATACACAATTCAGTATTCAAGAACCAGAGTGATTGTGGAATGGGTGATTCCAAAAAAAAAGGCAGACCTCTTCAATAGCCTGATTTATTGATATCTTGAATTCTCTTCCATCCATGTCTGCATACATTCAAACATGCATACATCTATTCATGCACATACATCCAAACATGCATACATACATTCACGCACATACATCCAAACATGCATACATACATTCACGCATATTTTCTTTCTTGATGCATACATTCAGACATGTGCATACATTCAAACATGCATACATACATTCATGCATATTTTCTTTCTTGAAGCATACATACACTGTCTGCTTCTTTACTTACATTGCCAACTTGTTCACTTGCATTCTTATTTGCTTGTTTTGCTGCTTGTTTATTTGATGTGTCTTCTTTGGTTGGCATTGATTCTTTTGATTTTTGCTTTGTGAATTGCTTAACTTGTTTGCTTGCCTCATTTTGATTCTTTGATATTCTGTTTACTTACTTCCTCCATTATTTGCTCGCATTACATGCTTAACTTGTTTATTTGTTATCTTCTATGTTTGTTTGATCTTTGCTGGCTCAATTGATTCAAATGTTGCTTCTATGATTCTTTGCTTTTGTCATGCTTTCTTACATGATTTCACTTCTATACGTGTTCCATTATTTTGTTTACTTCATTCCCTATTTCTTCTTTATTTTTTATTTCTGTAAAATAATTTCTTCTTTGTTTGCTTCTTTAATTTCATTGGTTGTTTTCTTTACATCTTTTATTGCTTCCATAATTCATTTATTCGTTTACTACGTGATTCTTTAAGTGACTGAAAAAATATACTTCAATTTTTGAAAAATATTAGTTTGATAAAAACATAAATACTATAATATTTATAGATTGATATTATAAATAAAAAATGGGGTCAAAAATAAATTATAAATAAAAATAAATATAAATGAGTTTTAAATATAACCGATTAACCGAATATCACTAAAATTTGTATTTATATTTTAAATCATTATTGTCATATAAGCAAAATTTATATCATTGTTAATTTGTTATCTCAAAGTGAACGAAAACTTCAACCCATAATCATGTAAAATGAGTTAGCTAAAACAACCTATTTCATTAATTGCATCAACCGTCCAACAAGTAGGTCAAACTCCTTTGTAATTTGACAAGAACGTTAACATATTTCCACAATTGGAGTAGCTTTGAACCTCTTTGAATAGTTGAGAAGCAAAAAAGAAAGCATGTTAAGAATTAAAAGTAGAATTCCTATTGGAATCCAATAATTTACTTTTATATAAGTTTTAGCTTGAACCTTTTTAGCTTTCTATTTATAAATTATAACTAGCTTTTTTTTGGCTCCTTTGGATGTAATTCTGTCCGCATAAGTCAGTGGCAAACAAACGGAAACTTTCCAACGAACCTATTAGCTTTGTTTTGTTAATAATAATATGCAATTATGGCCGATTATAGCATTTGTCTTTTGACATTATATTTCTATCAATTCCTTTAAACTTGAAAATAGCTATAATTCATTTCCATCCACGGGTAATGGGTTGGTCCTTTTTCTAGGATGCTAAAGACTAGAGAGTTAACCATTTATAATTTGGCTTGACTATTAGGACATAATTTTGTTTTAAGGGAATAATCAACGCCTTGATAGGTTACTGTAGGAAACCTTTCGTTATTGTTCAATTGTCGAATCTAATCAAAAGACGTCTTGTCGGAAAATTGGGGTCGAATCGAATCAATGAAGCAAGAGGTGGTAGATCGCTAGGCTCTAGTCTAATCTATACCAAAGTGAGAACAAAATTGTAGGATGAGATTATTTTAATAGTTATATCACATCACGTTTAGATTTTTCTTAAACTATTTTGGGGTTGAAATGTAATCATATCTTTATTGGTCAAGACAAGTAACAACGAATCAAAATACAAAACCTTAAAATAAGCAAAAGCTGAACTTGGACAAACCACCTAATGATTGATTTTAAGTTTTAAATTAAATTTAAGTAGAGAGTTATTATGATTGACAGCAAAGTTTTGTTTGTACTGGGCTAGGCCCATACATGTCTCTTATGCAAGTCCAAAAGTGAACATGTAGAGCCGTAGAGATGTGAGACACAGTAAAAGAATCACTACGATCATATATATTTCATTATGGTCATAATAAATTTGAGTCTTAAAACCTAGTAAACCGAGTAAAGAATCATTACGATCATATATATATTTCATTTTAGAAACAGAAATTCAATATATAAACACATATATATATATATATATATATATATATGTTAAGGACTAGTATAAAAATTCTTGAGGTCGATCATATATACTACAATTTCTATTCTTTTTCTGTTGACTTTTCAATAAAGTTTTAAAAGTTTCGTAGCGCTTAATAGTGATTTTTCTTATAGATTTTGTTATGAACACAAAAAATTATACACATACGATATTTTTCAAAAATGTTACTTATGCAATTCTTTTTTTGTGTGTGTTACAAATACTTCTTGTCCGACTGTAATATTTTCTTCTTTAAAAGAAAAATAAGGATGATTTTGAAGGAGACTTACGTCAGCCCTAGTAAAGATAGGGAAACGAGAATATACGGACGGTCGGAGAGTGACGTAGCATTGTCAGCCTCACCCACCCAAACTCGGCCATAGACCTCTTTTCCAGTTTCCACTAAATGTGTCTCACGTACATTTTCGATACATATATATATATTACAAAAGTGTCGATACCGTATTCTTTTGTGATTTAAACTGCTTATAAAGTTACAAATACGTATGATTACATATGTGTTTTTATGGATACACTCATACACACGTCGAAATTACAAGGTTTTGTGAATATTTTGCCGACACGGATGTTGATAGGCTCTGGGTGGTGTGTGTGACCAGCAATTTTTTTTATAAATATATATAAAGCTATTATAAATAACGTCAAAATATTATGAATAATGTGGTATATATATGTAGGCTCGGGTCAAATAGTGATGGAGAGAGAAAACGATTGAAAGAAACTTGAGGGTTCCTCAAAATCACTATGTGGTATTTATCGTAATTCTCTAGCATTTGTTCGAGAGGTACTGAAGAAATACAAAACTTTAATAATTTTTTTCCTCTTTTTCATTTTACTTTAATAATTTAAAAACAAATGAAGAAAACGCTCCTTTGGCAGCCCCTTGTCCCCCCTATACATATTTTCGTATAAGCCGAGCAAAGTGGTAATTCCCACAAGAAGAAAGGTTAGACAACCTTAAATATAGATAGAATATTTTTTCTTACCCTAAATTATTTACTCCCTCTTTTAGATTTTTCTATTTATTTATTCCAGCTCAATAATATTATCTTTCATTTAGAACAAAATCATATATATATTACATGTGAGCGCGCAATGCACAAAAAATCATGTTTTTGTATAAAGAAAAATGTGATCAAAGGGTTTGATATCGGATATCCTAGATTGAATGAACCAAAGAACAATATGATAGCATATTTTAGTATCTTTGATGTGTCACGTCACGAATAATAAAATACTTTTAAGGAAAATAATGTTCATACTGTGGAGTGTGGATAACATATAACCAATATCCCCACATTAATAATCAAAATCAACGTGAAAGTTCGAGTTTCCTCGTTTATGTTATATATAATATGAAACTTTTTCTATAGAAGAAAGTAACTCTAATTAGTAGTTACTAGTTAATATTTCTAGAAGTAGTTCTGAATTTCTAATTACTAACTAATGGTCCAAGAGGATTAATATAACAACAGTTTTACGGAAGAAAAACTATTTCATAATTTTTTTTTGTTATTGTTGGTATGATGAACGTAAAATATATTGTTATTAATATAGCAGATAGAGAGAGTAAATGCTTCTGCGCCTTCTTGTGTGAGATATACGCAATATGCATAAACGTACAAACATTTACGTATAATTCTATTTGAGGAGTGAGCTGTGTTCTTTTTTTTTTGGTTGGATGCTATTCCTCTTCCAGCATCTACATGTTACTATGTTAGTGCTCTCGTCTTTTCTTTCCTCACTTTCGTTTCCATTATGTAACATTGTTTTTCTAATTATTGAACTTTAAGTCTTCAACATTAATCGTATATATATAATCACAACAGAGATCCCGCAACTGAAATTATATACACACATGTATATTATAATATTATGCATGCTATGCATTTTCCAAATTTTATGTAATCTATATTCGAAGGTACTTTGTTTTTTTTATTTGACTCAACGTGTAATAAAAATAAGCTATTTTAGTCCATTAATGGAGCACTCAGAGCAGAGTGGAATGAAGTGCGTGTGCGTCTATTCAACAATCTTTGTGCCAAGAATGGTTGACTTTTTTTCTTTTCCAAATTAAAAGAAGTTTCAGACTGGCTACAACGTGTTGGTGCGTTCAAGTATGTGTGTGTCTTTTGATTTTTTAAAATTTTTTTGAACTTCAATCAATTTTTATTGTAAGAAATAAATATTTTGGTCATATAAAGTGATAGGAGATCAAATAATCTAAATTTTGTAATTATTATTTCAACTCATCAATTTTTGTTTAGCTCCACACCGTTTGTTTAACCTATTTCATATGTTCCATATTCACCTTTTTTTTTTGTTTCGTCGATCCATTAATTTGCTCCACAACGTCTGTTTTGATGTAACTATTCTAGCTAGAGTCTAGACCCTTAGACAGT